AATTTTCTTATTTGAAAAAAAATCGTTTAAGGGAATCTACAATCCTATCTTCTCCTAGCATTTTTTGACTTTTCAAATTTGCTTATTAGAGGCAAAATTGTTTAAGAGATTCATTTAAAACCAAAGTATTCAAAAAAATATATATATATATATTTGAAAAAAAAACAAATAAGGGAATCCATAATCCTATCTTCCCCCAGATTTTCTTGAGTTTTAATTTTTTCTTATTTGAAAAAAAACGTTTAAGGGAATCCATAATCCTATCTTCTCCTAGCCTTTTTTGAATTTTCAAATTTGTTTATTTCAGGGAAACAAATCGTTTAAGAGATTCATATAAAATCCTAGTTTTTTTTCAAAGTTCTTATTTGAAAAAAAGCAAATAAGGGCATAATAAGGGAATCCATAACCATATCTTCTTCCAGCCTTTGTGAATTTAAACATTTTCTTATTTGAAAAAAATGTTTAAGTTAAGGGAATCCATAATCCTATCTTTTCCCAGCCTTTTTTGAATTTAAAATTTTCCCAGGCTTTTATGACAATGACAATGATTTGACTTTTGAATCTTGGATGGGTTGGTTTGAGCTAAGTATGTAGTAAGTATATATGTAGTAAAACATTGAATTACCTGGTTACGAGTTATAGTTATATGTAGCATGTATGATAATTAAGGTGACTCAAACGTGCATTGCCTTGTGGTTTATCTTTTTTGTTCCACCTGTGAGCCATGAATCCATGAGAATGGCATGGTTTCTCTTTGGTCCAAAATGCAGAGTTTGGTGCCTATTCGGGGGAGCCCAATCCATAAAACACAAGCCACCAGTTAAAACGCAAGACCTGTGCAAATTCTCATCTGCATCTTCTTTCTTCTATTTTCTTCTTACTCTTTCTCTTCTACTCTTCTTTCTTCTAATCTTTCTCTTCTCTCTGCCTCTTCCCTGCTCTGCTTTTCATCTGTCCATATTGTCGGAAGTTTGACTTCTAAACTTCCTTCGATAAATGCCTAATAGTATAAATTCCTAAATAATAGTATATACCTCCAGGTACATCCGAGAAATTTGGACTCTGGCGCGCCTGGGTGGTTCCTCCGAGACCTGCGAATCTGAAGTCCTGGACACCGTCGCGCTTTTGGACAGATTTGACCATCCCTTAAGTGATATATGGGTATGAGCACACCATGATTAATAAACAAGAATTGGTTAATCATGGTTAAGAATTGGTTAATAATGGTTAATCATGGTTAATCATGGTTAAGAATTGGTTAATAATGGTTAATCATGGTTAAGAATTGGTTAATAATGGTTAATCATGGTTAAGAATTGGTTAATAATGGTTAATCATGGTTAAGAATTGGTTCATAATGGTTAAACATGGGTAACAACGGTTCAAAATGGTTCTTGATCAAACGGTTCAGAATGGTTCTTCCGAATTCGGAATAGATGCTGGTGGCTGTAAAGTTCTATATATATATATATGAACATCTGTTTCAGGATATCATATGGATATGACCAACAGACCTGGGAGCATGCATTTACAAATAATCTGATTATGAACATGCTCCATGCTGTTGGAAGATTTACCTACCTCACTGGATCATGTTTCGGGGTAAATATTGGCAAGTGGCTTGTCCTTTGAAACAATGGAAATAATGTTACAGTAGAACTCCTGAAACTGAACAGAAACGATGGTTTCAAGAAACATTTGTATGCTCCAGAGGGGGTAACATGGCCCATGGCTAAACAGTTTCCAAAGGATCAGCCAATTTGATTCATTTGATGGTCGTCTTAGTCACCCCCAAATGATTGAAGTTTGGGCAACGAGGTGAACAAAAAAACATGGCACGTATTAAGTCTGACTGCTGGAGTACATGTTGCTTTGTAGTTATTCACTTTTCTGTCATGAAATGTCTATTTTGCCTGGTGGTTAAATCACCAGTCCATTGCCAATCTCTTGGATTCTCCAACCAAATCCTCCAACCAAATCCTCCAACCAAATCTGCCGCTGTTCGCTGTTCGCTGTCCTGTCAGCCTCTTCCTCCGACTCTTCATCGCCTTCCGAGGGATCGCTGTTCATGTCCTCGCGAAGCGGCGAATAAAGGGTACCGTGAAATGCGCAGCGGCGCATGTGGTGCACCTTGTGGAGATCCACGGCGCATGTGGTGCACCACGGTCTGAAGTACTTTCCAATATCAAATTGCACATTCCATGACATTATCATAGAGGCACTTTTGTATGTGTGAATGCAACTCAATCAACTCAGGATAATAATATTAAGGGTCACAAGTGAGTCGTGTTGAGTGTGAACCTCCGACATGAATTCCATTATAGTGGCATTTGGCCACCAGATCTGTAAAGAAGTCTTTCGGTGGCTGAATGTATCAGACCAATTGTCTGCTGACGAATGATCCCTAGATCACTGCGAATGTAGCCACGTGATTTACAACTTCTATCTCCACAAGCCAAACAGTGCTGCCCCTTATGAGGAGGATATTTCCCTAGCCAACCACTTCGCTGTCCCGCATGCGTTATGATTGCAAGAAGTAACACCATTTCTCCCAAACATTTCACACACATAGTAGATATAATATTATATGGCAGTGTCATAGCATTCGAAAAAGAAGAAACATGTTGCCACTTTAGTGTTTCTTTGAACTTTGCATACCTAAGCCGGGATCACTGTGTAGATCTGTGTAGTACTTCGCATTATATATAGATACGTTAATTGTATCATACATGGATCATGAATGAGGGTACCTTCTGCCATCTTCACAAGCATATTTTAGGCAAGTCTCGAACGCAGCCATTGCGGGAGGCCTAGCGCGGCATGATCGAATCTTGGACACATCGACTTCGGCGATCAAATAGCGTCTATACAGTAACCATAGGGAAAATGCCTACAGTGACTTCTCATAAGTTTCCGGTAATATAGAAGAGACGAAGAAACAAGTTTCTTTCTACAGTAGACAAAAAAGTAAACATCCACTGAAAGATGATAGATTCTGTTTCTATCGTTTTTGGGGTTACCATAATATAAAAATGGGCGTGCTATGGTCAAAGCGAGGGACTGGTCAAAGCGAGGGACTGTTTATGGTCATCCCACAATCACTCGGGATGCCTTAAAATGGGTATGTAAATCCCTTCAAATGGTGGTGACCTTCTTCCAATCTAGGTATCAAATCCAACTTTTGACCATAACACACATGGTTCATAGTGGCTAGCAGAATGGTGAAATTTGGAAAGGTGGTGCCCCTCCAGTGATCGGAGTTTTCAAACAATTTTGCCATGGAAATCCCACGAAATCCCAATAAATTCCTCCAGTTCCGATGATTCCCATTAAATCCCAGAGAAAGCCATGGAAATTCCATTCAAATCCCATAGTTTAACAAAATCATGGAATCTCTTTTTCGTCCCATACAATGTGAGGCCCCCAATAACTAAGTTGGTTTATAACTCCAATAACTATGGTTTATGGTACTTATAACTATAGTTACTGGGGCTAATAAACCAACTTATAACTGGGGGGCCTCACATTGTAATTTTCCCCTATTTTCCCGTATGTTACCCATACCACATGTCCAGTCACGTTGCTGCTCCCGCACCTGGGTGCCGTTGGTTCCATGGGCACCGCTGGCGCCGGCGGTGCCACGGGTGCCATGACAGCTGACGCTAGGCGCGGCTGCCTGAGATGAAACGCAACATGAGGTGTAGAAAAAATGAAAGGACCGGATAACCCCACAAGTCAACTTCTTCCTAAAATGAGTTTCAATGGTTTTAGCAGGGACAGGGAAGGAAGGAAAGACAAAGGAGGTGGTGAAAGATCGAGAAGGTAAAATGGTATGTATGTATGTATGTATGTATGTATGTGTGTATGTATGTATGTATGTATGTCTGTCTGTCTGTCTGTCTGTATGTATGTATGTATGTATGTATTATGTATTACGATATCCTTTGTCACGTGCCGAAGAAATCACAGCTGCAAAAGAACAGTGCGCATGTACCAACAACAACGAAAGTGAATGTCACCAAGTGCCACGCCTGCCACGCAGAATGCCGCGGCGTCACGCGCGACCAAGGCGCGCCCAAACCAGACCAAGCACGCCAGCCAGAGCCATCTGTCCCACGCCTGCCACGCAAAACGACGGTAGATGTGAGTTTGTGCCACGCCTGCCACGCAGAACGACAGTAGATGCGAGTTTGTGCCACGCTTGCCACGCAAAACGACAGTAGCTGTAAGTTTGTGCCACACCTGCCACGCAGAATGCCGCGGCGTCACGCGCGACCAAGGCGCGCCCAAACCAGACCAAGCACGCCACCCAGTGCCATCTGTCCCACGCCTGCCACGCAAAACGACGGTAGATGTGAGTCTGTGCCACGCCTGCCATGCGAAACGAAAGTGAATGTCACCAAGTGCCACGCCTGCCACGCAGAATGCCGCGGCGTCACGCGCGACCAAGGCGCGCCCAAACCAGACCAAGCACGCCACAGAGAGCCATCTGTCCCACGCCTGCCACGCAAAACGACGGTAGATCTGAGTTTGTGCCACGCCTGCCACGCGAAACGAAAGTGAATGTCACCAAGTGCCACGCCTGCCACGCAGAATGCCGCGGCGTCACGCGCGACCAAGGCGCGCCCAAACCAGACCAAGCACGCCACCCAGTGCCACGCCTGCCACGCAAAACGACGGTAGATGTGAGTTTGTGCCACGACGGTAGATCTGAGTTTGTGCCACGCCTGCCACGCAGAACGACAGTAGATGCGAGTTTGTGCCACGCTTGCCACGCAAAACGACAGTAGCTGTAAGTTTGTGCCACACCTGCCACGCAGAATGCCGCGGCGTCACGCGCGACCAAGGCGCGCCCAAACCAGACCAAGCACGCCACCCAGTGCCATCTGTCCCACGCCTGCCACGCAAAACGACGGTAGATGTGAGTTTGTGCCACGCCTGCCATGCGAAACGAAAGTGAATGTCACCAAGTGCCACGCCTGCCACGCAGAATGCCGCGGCGTCACGCGCGACCAAGGCGCGCCCAAACCAGACCAAGCACGCCACCCAGAGCCATCTGTCCCACGCCTGCCACGCAAAACGACGGTAGATCTGAGTTTGTGCCACCCCTGCCACGCGAAACGAAAGTGAATGTCACCAAGTGCCACGCCTGCCACGCAGAATGCCGCGGCGTCACGCGCGACCAAGGCGCGCCCAAACCAGACCAAGCACGCCACCCAGTGCCATCTGTCCCACGCCTGCCACGCAAAACGACGGTAGATCTGTCCCACGCCTGCCACGCAAAACGACGGTAGATTGTATTTTTATATGTGAAGTTCGTGTGTGTGAAATTATTGTATGTAAGTTAGTGTGAGATTAGTGTATGTCAAATTATTGTATGTTACGTTTGTGTGTGTGTGAAATTATTGTATGTAAGTTAGTGTGAGATTATTGTAGTGTGAAATTATTGTATGTTAAGTTTGTGTGTGTTAAGTTTGTGTGTGTGTGAAGTTATTGTATGTTAAGTTTGTGTGTGTGTGAAGTTATTGTATGTTACGTTTGTGTGTGTTAAGTTTGTGTATGTGAAGTTATTGTATGTTAAGTTTGTGTGTGTTAAGTTTGTGTGTGTGAAGTTATTGTATGTTAAGTTTGTGTATGTGAAGTTATTGTATCTTACGTTTGTGTGTGTTAAGTTTGTGTGTGTGAATTTATGTATGTTAGTGTGTGAAGTTATTGTATGTTAAGTTTGTGTATGTGAAGTTATTGTATGTTACGTTTGTGTGTGTTAAGTTTGTGTGTGTGTGTGTGTGAATTTATGTATGTTAAGTTTGTGTGTGTGAAGTTTGTGTGTGTGTGAAGTTATTGTAATGTGAAATTATTGTATGTTAAGTTTGTGTGTGTGAAGTTATGGTAGTGTGAATGTGTAAGGAGGCGGGAGGAGGAGAAGGAGGAGAAGAAGGAGCCTGGGATACAGAATCAAAACAAGAACCCCACACAAAGTTGTGGGGAATGAATATATGGCACAGAAGTCTTTGGTGTATGTATAACATAATCATATATATATATATATATATATACATGAGAACATATGGTATATAGATAGTTCTAGTACCTCTAAGATGTCGCCAACTTTTGGGTGTGAACCGTAGTTGTACATCCAAGTGGGAAACATGAACTAAGTGATTACATATTACTTTAATGCAATGAACCAACCAAAATAATGTAGATTTTCAAAGGAATAACTAAATTTATTAAATTTCATTTTTTTGTAATTTTATTACTTTAATATACTGTCATGAATTTCAAAGGATTTTCTGGGATTTAATAAGAATGAAATTCGACTAGGGAAAATGGTGATTCAATAGGATTTAACATTTAACAAAGTAGAAATTGAATAGTAATTGGGATATTCATATGACCATTTTTGGGGTGTGGTCTTCAGATGACAAATCATCATTCATCCCGTTCGTTGAAGTTTCTTAAGCCACCCTTTCCATCGGATATGCCTAATGTTGCATCCTGATTGGTAGCTAGGTTCGCTATCGTAGCCACAAATCTCCAAAATATTCTGAACCCATGAAATGTTTGGAAGTTTCACTAGTGTTGCACCCATTTTTTGACAAACCATTTTTTTGTCTAAAAAAAATGTGTTAAACAACTCAACATTTTTTCTGGAAAAAATTGCTTGTCTGCCTTTACCAAAAGAATCAGATCGCTTAAAAACCCTTATTAAAAGAACAGCTTTTCCACAAAATTCCGAGGCACTGGGCCATGAGAGGGTCCAGTTCACTCTAGTGGGTTTGTTCCCAGGGTTCACATTTGCAGCAAACTTGTCCAGAGCTGATCCTGAAGCCAAGAGGAAAAAAAACAGGCTTTTACAAAAGCAACCGTCTCTTTTCTCTTTTCTCTTTTCTCGTGTCTCTTTCTCTTTCTCTTTCCCTTTTCCCTTTTCCCTTTCTCTTTCCCTTTCCCTTTCCCTTTTCTTTCTCTTTCTCTTTCCCTTTCTCTTTCTCTTTCTCTTTGTCTTTCTCTTTCTCTTCTCTTCTTCTTCTTCTTCCTCTTCCTCTTCCCCTTCCCCTTCCTCTTCCCCTCCTCTTCCTCTTCCTCTTCCTCTTCCTCTTCCTCTTCCTCTTCCTCTTCCTCTTCCTCTTCCTCTTCCTCTGTCTCTTCTCTTCTTCTTCCTCTTCCCCTTCCTCTTCCTCTTCCTCTTCCTCATCCTCTTCCTCTCTCTCTCTCTCTATCTCTGTCTCTTTCTCTCTTTCTCTTGCTTGTTCTATTTTTCTTTCACTCCCTCTTTCTCTTAATAAACAACTTAAGGCGGAAAAAGTAACGCGATCAACTTGCTGAACCCCAGTCACTACAAGTTCTACAAATCGTAAAGTACTACAAGTCCTACAAATATCACAAGTTCATCCGCCCCCCAAAAAAAACGATTTCAACAGTCACCAATTGAAATCCAAACTTTTTATGCAGGATCATATTTTTTACACCTATATAACTTTGACACCCGAGGATCTCTTCAGTCTCGCGTGAACGCCCGTGAGGCGGACTGAAAATCCGCGGCACATTGTCTCCTGGGGAACTTCGAACGAAACGTCACCAGTCATGCAGTGAGTCGTGGCCATGGCTATTTGGTTTGAAAACTGGGGAAATAACGGTAGTTATTAATGGTGATTCATGGTGATTCATGGTGAATAGTGCTAAATCATGGTTACTAGTAGCTAATATCGTGATTAATCATGGTTATATCTGGTTGTTTCAATGGGATTATACATTCTAGAAATGGGGTTTTGTTAGTACTTATAACTGGTATTTTGGGCCATAACTGTGGGAAGATGAGATGTCAAAAAGGTGGTTTGACCCAAACACAGCTCCAGAAAATGTTGAAGCATCGCAACAAATGGGTCAATTGATTGGGGATTGGGAACCACAGATGATGGCTGTTCTAAGCAGTTTTCTATGCAAGCCCAACAAGCTCTATTATGTTTGTTCACTGTGAGACCGAAGGAAGCAGTGACAAGCAGGCAGCGTAGATCTACTCATCTACCCGTTTTGGTGCTTGGTTTTGACCCATACGGAAATCATGGAGAGAGGAGATTCTCCCGATTCTCCCCATGGAAATTCCCATCTTATCCCATGGAGAATCACCAATCCAAGTAAATCCCCTATGAAATCCCACTAAATCCACTAAATCCCTATGGGAAAACACCACGAAATCCGCAGCCCTTGCCCCGTTCCCGTCCTTTTCCAGATGGACCTTCCACTCTGGAGCCCAAGAGACCAGGAAGTGGCGTTAGACCGCCTCGACGGCAGCTGGTCATTGGAACATGTATCATACATAGTACCAGTATATGATTTGAAGCCCGTCAGCCCGTCTATGCATGTGTACATACATGCATATATATATATATATGCATGTATCATAATGTATATATTATATATCCATATATATATATACTATACTTTATTACTATATAAATATGTATATATATATAGATTATGATACACTAATCAAACATCATAAGAGTATATTGCAGCTCATTGGTATGGCCAAAAACTTCAGACTAAACCTGATTTAACAACAGCTGAAACATGAGCAACAAACACGCCACCTGTACAGCATCCATGCAATTCAGGAAGGACCGCATTGTCTTTGCGGTTCCCTCACTCCAAGAATCACTACAGATGTTCAGTGGAAATAAACCTACTTTTCACGTAACTGGAATTGGTGATAAGCATTGCAATTTCACTGGGGATCCTGTAATTACCATGGGCAACAGGTCCAACCAACCTTGAACAGGACAAATGTTGGCCGGCTCATACCCATCATATACCCATCAGTCTATGGTGCATGAGTGCGAAGGGACCACGTTGCAAATTCGCCGCAACACATAGGCAATGGAACCAAGAACGCGCATGGAAATCAGCAACTACAGAACCTATATATTCCATCACAGATCAGCTGCCACTCAAATTTATTTGGCCCAAAATGGGGCACCAATGCACACAGAAAATCCAAAAACAAGAAACCATCCATTTTTCCATTTTTTTGAAGTCAAGTCAATAATCTTGACCCATAGTTGGTAGATTGAAACAGGTCCGTGCATTTGCATCGACCATATCTTTGGCTGACATGCCATTGTTTCTCCATGTGTTTCTGGTTATATAAATCCAGACTTTGCCTAGCATATGTTCGATCTATAGGAATCTCCAAAAAGATCGACTAAGGTTTCTGGAATGTAAACAAAACACGTTTCTAACATAATTTTCAGCTTTCCAGTTGTTCTATCTATTTGAAGGTTGCTATAATGGAACAATAGCCAATAAATCCATTTCTTTTAGTTCACTCCCGGTTTTGTGTTGGTCAAATGAACCATCCAACTAAGTTCGTCCATTCTTGTCAATATAAATCAACACGTTTTTTTTTATCATTACCCTCTGGTTATTTAACATAGCTTTGGAAACCATGTTCAATAGGCAATTAAGTCATCAAACAGGTGGACCACCTATAACATAGCAAACTGTGAAATTACTGAAATAACCAAGGGTAAATCACCCCATACATATATATATATATATATCCCAGTTAAACCCAGTTAAAACCTTTATTTAGTTCGGAGATTCCCCAGCCAGCCATCACTGGCTGCAAGACGGTAAATCTATCCTCTCGTAATCTGACACAGCTATGGCCATGGTTTCCAGTTCCCCCATATCCCGACTTCTGAAGAGTACCATGGTTATACCCACGAATTTCACCCCAAATGGATAGGTGATGATAGGTGGACATGTAACTATAGTTTTAACTCGAGGTTGCATCCCAACTTAGGCTTAATTATTAATTCCCATGGTTCTAGCCATGGTTATGTAACCCCGCAGCCCCGCTTTCGACGATCTCAGGCACGACTCACACGCGGCCGTTGCTCCAGTGCCAAATGCTGGGCTTTCAAGGCTGCTGTGGCCACACCTTGGCTCGCTCTGCCGCAGTTCAGCCACGCCAAACCCTTGGCTAACCATGATGTTTATATACAGTTATGGCCATTTACCAGTTATAAGTGGTTATAAATGGGATTATACATTCTATAAATGGGGTTATAAGTACTTATAACTGATAAATGGCCATAACTGATATAGTGGTTTATAATTGGGCTACCCTCTGGAAATTTAAAACAACTATCGGAAATCACCATTTTTAAGAGCTATGATTTATAAGTTTATGAGTCATTCAGAACTGAAGCCATGCTCATCCATTTTCCATAGTTCTGTTAACTTACTGTACCAGAAGGGAACTATGATTTATATAGATTTATGGGATAGAAAATCTGATAATCGGTCACAATGCCCAAGAAACCGGATCGTAGAACACCCTGCAATCATCAAGCAACCATCATTTTTCATTTGTATACCATATGGTCAAAACTCCATTACCCTACCATCAAATAACCAATCAGCAAAGGTTTCGGTCACCGCTCATTTGGAGTGAATCTGCGTATCCCCTGCTTTGCAACTTGAAGTGCCAAGTTGCTGAGATAATTTCGGCGCTCATCCATTGCGCGCGTCCCGGCCGGCCCCCCAGACGGCCTCCTTGGGGTTGCCCCAGCAGAAACAGCTGCGACGGCGGTGTCGAGGATTTAGGATCTTCACCAGGGAATCAGTAGCAGCAGATTTTTGGCTTGCTGGTCTGCTGATCCAGCGCAACAATGTCAAGTGCGATATAAACCCATCCAATTAAACCAAATACAAAATCAAATGTAAGGCTGCAATTCATCAAGCTTGACAAGCAACTAAAAACTAATCATACCATTAATTGATGGTGGAATAATCCATCCAGTATGAACTATCATCTGATGTATCAACCAAATGGTTCCAGCCAGGCATTCCAAGCACTTGTCTTCCTAAAGCTGCAGCTGGGGGCCAAGGATGTCGCTATCTCCACCCTCTGCAGAAGAGAAGACCTGGGATCTGATGGCCCACGGTAAGGCGTAGAAGGGGAATGGCATGGCGCATAAATACCCTCTGGTAAACTAACATAGCTATGGAAAATCACCATCTTTAATGGGCAAATCCACTATAAATTGCCATTTTCAATAGCAAACTGTTGACATAACCAGAGGGTAAGGTCTACCAACGGAGCCATGAATTCGATGGCCTGCAGTATTTAACCATCCCAATATGGGGTGAAGAATTGCGAGTCTTGCCCAGTTGGCGCAGCCCGCATGGAAGCACAACGACACTATGGTGTTGTCTCCAAAAAAACAACACCAGTGTTTCTCAGCATGTTCCAGGCCATTTTGGAATTATGTCGGCATATCTCACTTGCAGACACATTTTTACAGTTATGGCACAAAATACCTGTTAAAAGTACTAACAAAAACCCATTTCTAGAATGATAATCCCATCGAAACAACCAGTTATCACCATCATTAATCACTATTAGCCACGATTAAGCACTATTGATCACCATTAATCACCATTAATAACCATTTATTTCACCAGTTATGACTAATAAATTGCCAGAATTGCAGTGATGCCACCATCGCATGTCCGCTGCGATACGGTCCCCTCCCACGAATCGGAGATAACTCGAAGCTGAGGGGCTCGGAAATTGATCCGAAGGGAATGAACCTGACATGCTCCACAGTTCGTTAGATAAGTTAGTTTATGTATACATATGTATACATTATTATGTATATACATATAGATTACACATATCATATAAATGTATTTAAACTAACTTATCGTACAGGTTCACTGTTGGGTTTGTGGTGATGATACCATATGATAACCAAAGCTAGATGTGTTTGTGCGATCAATTTTGAAAGAAACAAGCCCGAGACTTGAAAACCACAGTGGTTGATTATGTTGACTGATAAGAATCTAAAACCATGGATCAGGCTGGGATCAGTTTGGACATCATGTTTTTTGATTTACCCATTGAAAATGGTGATTTTCCATAGTTTTTTGTATGTTTACCAGAGGGTAATTGAATTAATTTATAAGAATTACCCAACGTACATGTGTATATATTTTTTTAACATGATACAAACCCCTATATCATGGTATATCTTGGTCCCTAAATCATGGTATATTTGATTCGGCAACCCATTCCTCTTCCTTTGCGACTGCCATATGTTCGGCGAGGAACCAAAGTAGACCTTGAGGCTGAAAAACCCATAGGCTCGCGTGCTGCTGGACACCCTGAAGTCCTACAGTCAAGTGCCAAAGTGCTCCCCCAGTGATGGCTATGGTTGGCTTATAACTTCATTTAATTCTAGATATAACCATAGTTACAGTTGGTTTATGGAAGGTAAATCACTATATTCTTGGAGCATCTTGGAGCATCTTGGAGCATCTTATAAACCAACTTAGCTAACTATGGTGGGCTATCTTTTGGAGGTATAAACCGGCCTAGCTGACTTTATGGGGCATCACCATGTAAACATGGCAAAATCCACTCAATGTCCGTTTGTGGCTGGAATCTTTCCTGCTGGAGTGCTGGATGGTGGTTTTGAAACATCACAAATATCATTTAGTTGCGTTATGAAATTATGTCACATAAAGAATGGAGCAGAATGGGAAAAAAAACAGAAGAAAACGCTTGAGCATGAGTCAACATTGCATACAAGGGGCCTTGAATCTTGACTCATCTTCATGCATATCCACACTTTGGCAATGGAGGACTCCTTGTACTCTCAAACTATCACTTTTGTTGGCAAAAATCCCGCCATCAGGTAACAAAACCGTTCAATGGAAAATCCCACTATATATTTCTCCTTAAAACATATTGAAACCTCTATGGCTAGTTTGGGGATTTCCAGCTAGCCATGAGCCGAGCCATCCATGTTGCTTTTTCCGCTCGGCTTAGTTTCGTCGCGAGCAGTGGGCGACACAGCCCAGCGGACGCTTTGCGTCAGCTCGTTTGGGCGACGGCGTCCGGGGATAGAGACTGTACCTAGGTCAAACCACTGGAGCAAATGAAGATGAAAAACATGGCATCTGATACTTCAGTAATCAAAAAAGAGTGCTAAGTAGTCAGCAAAAAAACCTTAACTGGTGATATATATATATACAGCACCCCCAAAAGAGGCTCGATTGGGTGTGTATGTGTGTGTGTGTGTCAAAACCGGAGGTCCGTAGCAGCACAAGTTTGATGTTCTTTGGCGTTGACCCATCTATATAATTGATGTTGTCACGACCCTGTTAACCAGTGGGTACCTCTGCCTGCCAAATATCGTGGGCTAGGAAATCTCTGATTAAAATAACAGCAGCAAAATGATATGATAAACATGTATGTACATATGTTTGTATGTATGTATGTATGTATGTAGGTAGGTAGGTATGTATGTATGTTTGTATGTATGTATGCATGCATGTATGTATGTAAGTAATTATGTATATAATTATATTTAATCTTTTATATAATTATATATAAAATTATGTATATAATCATGTATATAATGATATATATATATATATATATATATAGTTATATATATTATATATATATATATATATGTATGATGATAAATATAAATACGTGATTCTATATCAACGAACATGAGCAAATGAGAAACAACATGTAGGATGCAACCAATCAGCTTGGGAGTATGTTCAAGATCATCGAATCATAAGATATTGGTTAGAAATATGTATTTGGACCCTGCTTAAGAAGTGCGTACATTTTACTAGCCAGCATGTGGCTATCTGCTAATCCATAACTACAGGTGGGGAAACCAACAATGGTTGAGCAACTGACAGACTGCTATCCCAGGAAAATCATTGGTCGACTGCCATGGAATTCAGTGACCGCAGCAATCAACGACAGTGTCAATTCAGATGTGGTTTGATTTGAAACCAATGGAGTAGGTGGCCTGTTCACTTGCATACCTTTCCATTATATAGTCAATGATGGAAGGCATTGTCATTTCCCTCAAAATGTTGGGACATGTTGATGACACCCCAGATGCCGTGACATTACAATGATGGATGGGTGTAATCCCTGATTTGTGTCAGTCAAACATGTAGTTCTTGGCAAATTACCAAACAAGACTTAATTGTTGGGTCGTATAATGATAGTTAAAACAATATATTGCAGCAACCCTCACTGGTGGGGCTTGCTTATATGAGGTCGCGATGAATCACCAGGATAGACTGGGTTGGCTTTTGTGGAATGGGGCCCCTCTTTGACCCCTTTCTGTTTTTCTGGGGTTCCTTGTGATTAGTCTTCAAGCGTTTGTTCCTGAATCTCTATTCTCTGTCTAAATGAAACCAGAATTTGGTTGATTACATCCAGCGTTGCTGGTTAAACCCGATTCTCCAGGCAAAAATGCAAGTTTGGATGCTTCCGCCACCATTTTTTTTGGTTGGCTCTGATGAAGGTCGCTGAGGCATCTAAATGATCTAAGTCACTCTTACACCCCCCGTTTTGTGAATGAAATACCGATCTTCCATTGGTAAGTGGAAACCGCAAGCTCAATACCCCGCCCAAGGGACATCTGTGGATACCTCCTTTGGTTCCTCCTTTGGTTCCTCCTTTGGCTCCTTCGTTTCCGCTTGAGGCTTCGGCTTCGGCTTGGCCTTGGCCTGCCCAAATGGCTGCAGCACCCCTGTGCTGGCATGGAAAAAGCGAGGGTTCCAAACAGGAAACAACTTGAAACGAATCAATTGGAGCAGCAACAAAACAGGGTGTATACCATATGGTTCCACGCCCAAAATAGGGTTAATCACCAACAATGGTGGTATCACCAGCAACAGTGAGAAGGACATCTTTCGGTACAACGGATTGGTGATTGGTGAATGGTGTACCAATATGGCAGAGCTGTACCCTGGCAATGGACAGCGAGTTATTAGATCATGTTTTCCCCCCAAAAAAAACGGAAGTTGCCATGACCAGATTCTTCACATGGTGTGCCCAACAAGAAAATCACAAAACAACAGAATTAGTCTTCCAACCCGTGTTTTCATAATGACAAAAACGATTTCATGGCGCTTTTGCCATGTGTTCAACTTAGATGTCGAAGCTTTTCACACCTCTTCTGCTTTGATGCTGTTGCTGGGATCTGTTGACACCTCAAACATACAACATACTTTATACAGTAAAAACCTGGTTAGACTACAGTAGTGGGATATGCAGTACCATGCTGTACCCTAGTTCTGAATCTAGCTTGTTGACTACAGTCACTAACTTTTTTTGGGGGCCAGCACGCCAAGTATCCCAACCTTTCTGTGATTTCCTTCTGGGAGAAAATCACACCAACGGGCCAACCATCAGTTCACAACTATCTCCGTAAATTTCAAACTATAATTCATGGCTAAATCACCGTCTATCATGACTGGTTGGTGGTTTCAACCCCTCTGAAAAAATGAAAGTCCGTTGGGATTATTCTTCCCAATATATGGAAAAAAAAAATGGCTCAAACCACCAAGCAGATAGTGATATAATATGTAGGTATATAGAGTTTCCCATTGAAATCCCAACATTTGTCCATTCAAAAAGTCGCCATGGCCATGGCGCAACACAGTGCAGCCGCGGGGCCTTGCCCTTGGCCTTGGCCTTGCCTTCGGCTTTGGCCGCCACCACCCCGTTGCTGAGCCACGCGGACCACTTGGCCCGTTCCTGGCGGCTTAGGAGTCACTTCCGAGGTGCCTTTGAGCAGTTGTTGTTCATAGTAAACGCTCAAAAAAATGGAAAAAAGGAAGTAACATCCTGCATATATATATATATAGATATGTATATGTATATATATATATATGATATATGTTTGTGTTTGTATGTATATATATATATCAAAAATACAGTCCTACAAAACATATAATTGCTATATAATTGAAACCCGTTCTATCTTTTTTTTGAGGGGTGCTATAATGATCTCAAAGAGAAAACGGTTTCAATACGTGCTGGTCTTGACCCATTTGTTGGTCCATAGACATGGTTGAGGACAAAAGCATGAACACCATACTTCTTGTGGGGCTAATTAATGGTTAATAGTTCTGGATTGAAGACCATATTTCTTATTTCCAGTGGTTTTCAAGCCAGAAATAGCAGTTCTCAACATATCTCAATGATGAGGACACCTCTTAAAAAGCTGTGGTTTCCCCATGACAAGATTACCAATCTTGGATTATATTTGCTTGTCACCATGTCGAGAAACTCCAACATTACGGCATCAATCGAGACTCTACATGGAAAAGAAAAGCAGCAGAAACCACCAACCTGTGTACCATACAATGCTTTGTGAATGCAGTCACCTTGCAATTGAGCTGTCAACACTAGTCAATCTCATCAGGAGTCTTTCCATTTGAGCAGTGTTCAAAATCCCTCTATCATTCCATTCTACTGGCTGGTTTATAGGGATTCCCCTATTGGAAAACTATAATCCCCAATATATTGCGTATTTTCATCCCCCAACTAATCATCAACCAACAGGGGTGGATCGCAGCCACTCATGTTGATCAGTCCCAAGGTGCCACCCCGTTGGGTCCTGCTGCTCCTTCTTCTTCGCGGCAGCCTTCAGATCAAATTTGTCTTTTCCTCTCAGGCCACTCGCCCATTCCTACGGAGACTAGTGGGAAGAGACCAACAAATACAGCTCGGCACTAACCCCTTCCGCTTTGACATGCTGGCTTCGTGTTTGATCTATGCATTTTTTTGGGGCCCTTTATCGGGGTATGTTTGTATTGGGAGGGGTATGGAATTACCACGTGTTCCATCCTTATCACTTGATATATGAACTTCGAACACCGCAAGGTATCACTTACCCTGTTGCAAATACACATCTCGTATGCTACCATCCCAGGGTCAACCCTGCTGTGATGATCCCTGAACTGTTTAAAATAAGGCTCCAAGAGCACAGTACAGTGCAATCAATGTGGGTCCAAAATCTATTGTCAATATACAGTATTGTACTTATCCAGGATTGTGCATGTACATAATTATACAACCCAGCTCAAACCATCTATCTGGCTGAATTGCATCCAGTAATTATTTATTCACGAGCCTGAACCTTAAGTTCATTGTACTTTCTCCGTGCCGACATTCACTTTACAATTCATCCAGATTCATCCAACATCAAAACACCCCTTTTCTTGGTTCCTTCAAAATCCATCAAAATCCAACTGGAAAAATACCGTGAAATCATCGTTGGGTTTAGCGAGTTGGCCACCAACTATGCCCATCGTCTCAGGTTTCGCCCAGCACTGCCGGCACTTCCACCCCATCGGCCATCGTTGCGGCGTCCTGACGTTTCTCTTTGCAGCGCGGCAGGGCCGTGTATTGATCCAAGAGTTTCCTCGGTGCTGAGAGGATACTGGCAGTGCATACAATATACCATCTGGCTATTTAACATCGCCATGGTATAGATAGCCCATTAATAGATGGTTTACCTATTAAAAATGGTGATTTTCCATGGCAAACTGTTAGTCATAACCAGACGGTAAGTCTTGGTGTCATACCAAAGCCACAAAAACTGTTGTAACGTGCTTGGAAACTTGCGAATTCCACAAGAAACACATCAAATCATGGATACCTATAGGGATATGAGAATTGAAGACAAGGCATGCAAAGGAGCACAGATGTCTGGTCACCTTCGGCTCCTTCCTCCTCACTGATAAGGAGGTTTCCTAAAATGAGAGCACCCCTGAATCATACGTTTTAGTAGGATTGTCCATTATAAACCAACCATTTTGGGATACCCACATTTATGGAAACCCCCATATTGGTTCCCACGTGATGGGCTTAAACGCTGGTAGATAAGCCATGTTGAGGGAGGGTTGGCAAACATCAGCATGAAACAAATTTTGGGGTGGTGTATCCCAACTTATGGTAAGTAGGTATTAGCCATTTTCAAAACCAGTTGTACATTGAAATCGGAATATCACCGGCCCTATATGGGCTGTAAAACTGCAAAAACACTATATATATAATGATATATATATATATCATTATATACACACTGTAATTTGGATGCACATACCTGATGATGTTCCCTTGAAGTCACCACCACGGGTAGAAATCTATCTGATTTCAGGACCTTATTAAGGAGATTATTGGTTGCCATGGAACATCCATACTGACTCCCAAGCTGAATCTAACGGCATGTCGAGCTCCAATTCTGCTGTCAAACATAAGGTCACTAACTACTCAACTCTGATTGTGTACGGTTTTCAGTTTCCTATTTTCTGTGTTAAAAAAGAGCTATCTCCGAAAAAACATGAAGTGCGGGCAAAACCGTTTCGCAACCAACAGAACGGATATCCCCATAGAATTCCAATTGAATTCCCCTTGGTCCCGTGAAATAACCAGCTTGGGATAGTCATCCTGCCTCCTTCCAAGCTTCTGAGTCTTCTCTTCGGCCGTGACGTCATCTGTCAGCATCTTTAGAAGGTCCTTTCCAGATCCCAGACCTTTCCTGAAGAGAAATCTGGAGGAAAGAAATGCATGCAATGTTGTCCCCCAGCAAAGGTTAGGTTTATAAGTCTCTTTAGCTTGAGTTTTTGATTGCTCTTGAAGAGGCTCTTGTCAGAGTCCTGGGAGGCCTAGAGGGGTGAACATAAATCCAACAGAAGTGGAGGGCAGCGCATTGTCTCGTCGGCGATTTTTCAATTGTTCTGGTGCCTTCAGGGATCTGTATACAGATTTGGCCAGTTCAACTCTTTATCCATCCGAAACCCACGTTGATCATCCCATGTGCTCCATGTGTGGAATATTTGCCTACAAAACTGGGCCATGTTTGGGGTAAATGTAGGTAAATATTCCATATCCATTGGACTAACAAACTATCATTTCAACATAATGGATTAGCAAAATGCTGATCATCAAAATATATGTTGCATTCCCTTTTGAACCGATACGGTTGTGGCCTCTGCAACCCAGTCGCAGGGGCGGACACTAGACAAAGCATATTTGAAAGACCGATGAAGAGAGGTGATCAGAGACTGGAACACATTGTGAACGTGCCCCTCCCAGGTTGTGCCTGTTGGGAACACAAAACAACACTATATATATATGATTATATATTATGTCATATTTTGGTCCCATATATATAATACAATATAATATAATATAATATAATATAATATAATTTAATATAATATAATATAATATAGCATAATATAATATAATATAATATAATATAATATATATAATATAAAATAATATAATATAATATAATATAATATAATAATTAATAATAAGTATATAATATAATTAATAATAATATTAATAATATTTAATATGGTTCGATGAAAAAACAACACCACAAAAAACTCTGTCATCATCAAACAAATTACGGCCTTTTTATTTGGGCTCCCTGCAGCTGGAGATTCCATTCAGCCGCACAATATCCAGGCTTGCCCGGCTGAGCCGTGCGCATCTGTGCTTGTCCTGAAGCTGGCGGCAGCAAACAAATGGGATCTCGTGTGACGTCTGTTTTTGGGATTATAATCTGGTAGGTGGTTGACCTACCCCTCTAAAAAATAGGAGTTCGTCAGTTGGGATGATGACATTCCCAACTGTTTCTGGAAAGTCATTAAATTCCATGGTTTCAAACCACCAACCAGATTATTGCTGGCCTTTGTTTTCAATAAAATTTACTTACCATATTACCATATTGGTGAAAATAAAAGGGATGCGGTAATGCGTTTGGATCCATACGGATGAGACCATCATTACAGGGATGAGCCGGATGAGTTTCCAAAGTAAACATTTCTGAGTGTGGAACGAGCAGCGTTGGATAAAAAACATGAATGAAACAACCAACCAGATCATTGGCGTGATAACTAACATACCCCTCTTTAGCACTTAAATATTCAGTTCGCCAGTCCTTCATTCACGCCCATAAGCCAACCCAGCTTACATGAGCGCCTAAAATTATCTCGGGCGTTTTAGGTCAAGCAGGTTGTCGAACCTTCGGATTGCAAACCTTCGCATCCAAGGAATATATTAAATACACCTACACTAATCAACTTTCGAAATTGTATTCAGGATCAGAACATAATGCATATATAACCATATCAATCAAATATCCAAATCCAAACTTCTCCATTCCAAATATTTCCAGCTTCGGATTCTTCCAACTATTCCAACTATTTTCATCAATATGTCTGCAATTTATGAGTATATGTTTCCAAACATGTAACATTCAATGTTCCGTTTTAAACTCAATAGAGAAAGAACATTTTATGTTTAGCACCCTGTAATCAAACCTGCACAATCTCCCATTCTATGGATGTTCGCAGTTTTTTTTGGGGGGGATTTCCCAGCCATCTTTGATTCATAAAGCTTGGAATTTAGACACGTTTCCAAACTTACAAGGTTTGAGATTCTCCCATATATTCCTGGCATGCATTTCCTCAAGAAAAACAAAGGGTAAATCCATTGCTTCCGGTTCAATCACAATTTTGGTGGCTATAAATCCCATTGAATACCCAATAGCATCCATTTTTCATATAGTAATTACCCTTTAGATCCATTACTGGATGAAATTCCATTGCATCCCCAGTATGCACCCTTTAAGTCCTCCATTTTTCCTGTAGATTCTTTAGATCCTCCTCATTTTTGTTGCAGTTCTGGGAAACCATCAGCTCACCACGTCTAAGAGGTAAATCACCACTTTTTCGATGATTGTTCGTTAGAATCACCCACTATGGATGGACGATTTTACCAACCACTTTAAACAATCGCTGTTCCCAAAAACAAAAACATAGGAAAATCACATCAAAACACCAGTTCCAACAGTGAAACCCTTAAGTGTTTTTTTGCTCAACCTCCCAGCGCACCAAGCGTCTCTTAGATCCAGGCGTAGGTGCCGTCTTCACCCGGAGGGGCGCTTGCAGCTGCTGCTTGGAGTAGCCGGCACGGCCACCTGGTGAGGTCAGAAAAACGATGCAGAAAACTGAGAGATCTAAGGGGTCTAGATTGGTATCTACACTTTTATAGATAGATAGATAGATAGATAGATAGATAAATAGATAGATAGATAGATGGATAGATAGATAGATAGATAGATAGATAAATCGATGGATAGATAGATAGATAGATAGATTGATCGATAGATAGATAGATAGATCGATAGATAGATAGATCGATGGATAGATAGATAGATAGATCGATGGATAGATAGATCGATAGATAGATAGATAGATACGTTATATATACTTATATATAGATATACTTATATAGATTGACAAAACATATTTATATAGATATTAAAGAGATTAAATACAAACATAGAAAAAATCTATGTATATCTAAATATTATACAGTAAGGTAGAGAGAGTATAGGATACACTATCTAACATATAGATATTATAGCAACATCCGGAAATAGAGTTGGAATGTCTCTGTATATACAAACAATGTATCGGGATGATTGGGCATACATATTGTGCATTCCAGAGAACTAAATTCTAAAGCAACTAAGACCTGTGGAGAGATGTTGGAATTACAGTGATGACAGGCGCAAGGCGGTACCTCCTACTTAGCAAAGCTAGCTTATAAGTAGATCCATAGAAATTAAACCTGTTTTCTTTCAACAACAGACTAACATCACTGGGGGGCACCAACTTGCCCACATATTATATCTTGATAATTTGTCTCCTTCACAGCTCCCACCAAACTGTACAACTGGATGACGCACACGTCGCTACCCATTCTTCCAACCCGTTGCGAACTATAGAGGTCATGGCACTGTTGTTCAATCCCAGAACAAGAAACAACCATATGCAGCGATGATTTTTGCTAGTACCTGTACATATGTTTACTGTTTATGTCTTGGGGGATTCTTGGGGTAAATTTCAGCACATAATTATTATACATCATACATGGATATTTGTAACCCCTATGTTGATGCATCAACAACATTTTTTTTTTAATGCCATTCCGCTTACTACAGTTATGGCCATTTATCAGTTATAAGTACTGACAAAACCCCATTTATAGAATGTATAATCCCATTTATAACCACTTATACCTGGTAAATGGCCATAACTGTAGGTTCTTCGTGGTGGTATCCGCATGGCCATTCCGCCTTCCACGAGCTCTTCTCTCTCGCGCTCCTTCGCAAGCCTCGGCAAGGCGATGTTCGGGGTGAAGTTCTTAGGTTTCTCATATAGGGTCATAATCTCAATGGATTGGTTTAAGGGAAAATCTACAGAAATCTACAGGAAACCATGGTTTTTACCATCAAATATAGGGGTTTCCTGTAAATTTTCCCATCATCCAATTCTATGATAATCTGGTTGGTGGTTTCAACCAACCTACCATTGGTTGGTAATATACTATTAATATATGGTTAATATGGTTATTATATGGTTAATGATGGTTAATCATCTGGTTGGTGGTTGACCCACCCCTCTAAAAAATGATGGAGTGAGTAACAGTTGGGATGATGACATTCCCAACTGAATGGAAAAATAATCCAAATGTTCCAAACCACCAACCAGAATAATGTTGTAACAGTAAAGCTGAGCCCTTGATGTTCAGAACACGGGAGATGTCCACATGGTGTTGACCATCAGACTCGGAAAACCAAACACTGAGCGGTGGAATGTGTGCTCAGCTAGAGGCAGTGACATGATGATTTGGGTTTACACAATTCTTACTGCAAAACCAGGAGCCAACAAACCTTGAATCATGTTCAGACATAAACGATTGTTTATATATATATATATACATAATAATTAAAAATAATTGAGTATGTATATATATATATGTACATAAATATTAAATGATCTGAATTCTATATAATCTCTATAACTTTGATTGAGTCCTACTTATCTTGGTCTCAGCACATTCACATCGATCTGGTAAACAGAAAGCCATTTTCTCTCCTTTCGCTGCAGTCCAAGCGACTTCTCGTCATATCTTTGCCTCTTTTGCTGATCACTCAGCACATTGTAGGCTTTGTTGAGCTCATCAAAACCTCAACAATCAACACGTTGCCTCTTTTCGGATCACTTCTCGGATGCGACTTTTCCAAGTTCAGAAATGAACCGTGGTTTGTTTGCCCCAGCTATGTATACATATATATATATATAAATATATATAATATATATAATATAAATATATACACTTACATATATGATCCTTTGCATATATCAAGGGATATCATTCCCGGTGATTGATGGGTTAACCACTTTTGATACCTGGGATGCACATCCGACTTGTGAAGTTCAGACGGCGTGGCCCCCATTTACGATAGCAAAGCTGTTCTTGTTGGCTATTGTTCAGCAGGCTATCTGTGGTTTATGGTACACATATATCTTATATATATACACATATCGAACAAGTTTATAGGTTTTTTGTTAACCAAAAAACGAGACTATCATAACTGGTGGTGCCCGGGCCCCTCCGATTGGGGTCCCATTGCCCCTTGGACAAGAAACGGTCTTTATCGCCACCTTTGTCAGGATGTTCCTCCAGTGCTCGCTGACGATACGCTCGAATGATGTCATCCAGTGACGCGTCTTCGTCCAAATCTGCGCGGCTCAGGGAGGTCCCGCCGGAAACCTACGGGACTGAAATGATTTATGAAACGACTCAGGCAAAAAAATCGTTGCTTCCTGGACATCTTATCGGGAATCTTTACCACTTGCACATCAATCATCATCAACCCACACTCAACCCACCAACTGGAGCCCGACCCGTCACCAAGCCAGCGAGTCTATCTCCCGGCCTAAGATCTCGTAAAGAGTTTCATCTAGCGAAACTTCAACGGTGTCAACCAACATGGCTGCAAGATTAAGGGCGGCTGGTGGTTAGTGGTAAATCCTTGAACAATCGACTATCTGTATGGATGGAACCCACTCATTGAACTGAGATTTTTGGATCTTCCCGTATTCTATGGATAAATATTGATGGAACACTCTGCAAGATATTAGGTGTGAAACCACCCGCCATGGTATGTACAAGTCCACCGTAGTCGGCCAAAAAGACGACCCCCTGGATGAGCCAAATGCTGCAGTCCGCTGGAGCATCTGGTGAGCCACCGGGATGTCATGTCAACATGAAGATTTTCATCTGGTCTAGAAAGGGCAGGATATGTGATGATTTATCATAGTCCAGTCATAGAAAAAATCGTCAACATGATTTATCATAGTCCAGTCATAGTCTAGAAAAAAACGTCAACATCCAAACAACTTTAGTTTCAACATCAAACAGTACATTTCAAGAAAAGTCGTTCTAGTCCCTTTCTGATTGAAACTATCAAACGATCACCCCGAGTCTGGGAATGTCAAAACATATCACCAACAAACACCACGACGTGTGTTGGCCATGGCTATTAGTGAACTAACTGGCTATTTCTATGGGATGATATATATATATATATATACATATATATATATATATATATATATATTATATGTATATATTCTATGAGTGGATATAAATGGGATTTTGTTAGTACTTATAACATCTTATAACTTATAACTGGTATTTTGGGCCATTACTGCAACCCGCAAATCCTCCTGGCTTTCCAAAAACAGAGGAAAGCCGATGAATCTGACCCTACAAAAGTAGATGCTTCATGACTCAGTTTCCTGGTGCAAAACACACGTAAACAGATCATACAAATGAGGCACATGGCCATCCACTCATACACTGAAAACACACATGTTGAGATCAATCATCAAATTATACATGGGAATATATATATATATATATGGTTGGTGGTATACCTGACCCTCTGAAAAATACGACTTCGTCAGTTGGGATGATGAAATTACCAACTGAATGGGAAAAATGTTCCAAACCTCTGGTGCTGCACCTTCGTGCACAAATGAAGTAACAAAAGTATCTGCAACTACCCAACACCCAGCCATTCAGCCACTCATCTCAAAAAAACATTAATCCCGCATCTAACAAACTGCATACCATCAAGAAAGTGAGCGGGGTTTCGAGGCAACAAATCCATTTTCAGATTTAACATGATTCAAATCGCGATTTTTGAAGAATCTTGAGTACTCCCATTCCTAATATTAAACACGATCTACATAAGATGATTTGTGAACATTTGTCCCATCAACACTTCACAAAAAGGGCATTCACTGCATGTTTTTTTCCACTCCAAGTCCTGAAGCAGACTAAGACGAGCTCCAAGATTCCCATCTGTTCACAGCCAGGGGTTTGGGATTGAAGATTGACTTAGTGGTGACATGGTGGGAGATTTCATGGATATTGAATGGGAAATAAAGGGAGTCAAATGGAATTTTATGGGATGGAATGGGATTTGGTTGGCGTTACAGTTGGCTTTTGAATAGGTTAACTCGGATTAGTGGCAAAAATGTGTTTTATTGTATACAATATCTATAGTTGATCAGGTCAGGTTTTAAAACAACTTACACATGGGAATCTAGCAAATACCCTGCAGTTGTTTTCCTTGGTTTCTTTGTTTGGACAGCCTGTGGTGAGTACTCTTCTGGTGGGTATACTTGGCCTCAAGCATGATGGTTAGAATTCGTCCCCGCACAAGATCAGAGTACTAAACAGCAGTCTTGAACACCAGCAACAAAAATCCAAACACATTTATCCTGTAGAACCAATCATTGAACCAATTCTGGGTACTCAAAGAACTTGGTGCTGACCATAGATAGGAATCAGGGTGAATTATGATGGATTCACCAAACAAACGTTGGGTGGTTGGGGGAGGTTATCCTGATAACCATCAAGTGTGGTGATGGCGCGATACGGCTATACTTCACCCAAATAGCCTCCGCTAAACAAACAGTTTGCGATGGAAAATGGTGATTTATAGATATTTATAGTAGATTGTTTACCCATTAAAAATGGTGATGTTCCATTTCATGGACAGATTGTCTCAAATGTTTGATTGTACATGTCTGCGAAAAGAAACGAACGAACATATAATAGAAGTAACCCCCCTTGCAACTTCACCAACCAGGAAATGGTTCTATGTTCTATGAGTACATGTTCTTAGTTTAAGGGACAATCTCATGGCTTCAGAATATTCTCAAAGTTTTGACTCTTCTGGACCGATTGTAAATTGTTTAAGGGCAATTCGCGCAAAATGTATTGGCCCCGCGTCAGCATGTTTTATGGGATATGTTGAAATGCTGCATGCCAGAAAAAAACAGAAAAAACAGGTGCTTTCAAACAAACCCAAATGATCCCACGTGTAGGTGTATATATATATATTGGACACAAACCAATAATGTCCTTTGGTAAAAATAGAGGGGCCGGTTTGGTATACCATCTATCATCATTTGCCTGTTGTTAAAGGGCTTTCTTCAAACCCCTCCATAAATCAACCAACCAATAGGAATTTGGGACATCTATGACACAAACCCGGTCAAACAACGTCAAACACTATATCACTATTTAGACAAATTATTGGCCATGCCATTCACTTATCATTTGAGTTTCGGGGCTGCCGGGCCATGAATTATTTCCCCAGATCCTCGCCCATAGGGGCTTCAAACATGGGACTGTAGGAATATGGGTCCCATCAGCCGGGTCCGCAAAAAAAAAGATCCACCAAGTTGCAAACATTGGTGCGATCAAGTCCAAATGATGCAAGTTTTGCTCATGGTTTCAAGTCTTTTGTAGGGAATTTAGAGTAATATTCCTACACGCTGGTGCGCCATAGCTAGCTAAGTTACTTTACGACTAGATCCACTAGGGTTATGGTGATGAAATAACTATAGTTTCATGGGTGGGTAAGCCAACAAACATCACCAAGGGGGCACAACCTGGTATTCTATGGTATATTCATATTTGATCATATTTGATGAACAGAATGAAGCGGAATCAATGAACCAACAAACAAAAACTGTGAATTTTGCACGAGAATCGCGAGCCTGTCTCCAGGACTGCATGGGATCTTCCGCGCCACCACGCCAAAGGCACCGGGTTCCTTTGCAAATGTGGAATGTGGAGCAACAGACACATCTCAGTTGGTCATTTAAATAAGGAAACCATTTCTGAGGTCTGGGATATCAACATGTTGATTTTTTGTTTTTCTTGGTATATTATTTTGAATGGGTTTGGATGACGACATTTGTTGTTCCTTTAGTCAGGTTTGATGATATGTTTTCATTTGTCATCACGTTGATCCGCGGATCATTCCAAAGTGTTTCAACAATGTGAGGGTCCCAAGTCAAAAAACAGTAAATTCATGTCATTCGCTGCCCCACCGCCCGAAAAAAATGATGAGATACCCTACATGCAATATGGTTGGACACCATGAGGTACAAATTGGTCAAGTAAGTTGGCTTGACTAGAGACGACCAGTAGAACTGGATATAGTTAAGCCACTTATCACTGAAACTTGTAGTTAATTACCAATGTGGTTAATTGGTACCCCCTTTAGTAAATGATTTAATATCAACTTATAACTTATAGGTGGTACCACGATGGACAGATTCCCAGATCCAACCAACGCAGGGGGGCACATGTTTTCTCATCGAAAGTGCCGTACCCATCCATTGCAGACCCAAATGGACGGATATTCAAACATTTCAATTGAATATACATATTTTGACACTTAGCTATCCAAATTGTTTAACGTTGCATTCGATGAGTTGCCTATTGATATTCCAGAATGCAGACTGTCGATTTACCAGACGGTAAATCCCGATCATATTCCTTCATATTGTCCATGATATTTCCATGATATCTCGATGTGATTCCCGTTAAAAAAACCCATGAAAACCCCATAACATTGTCATGATTTTTGGAAAATCATGATATTTACCCATCAAAAGAATCCATTAAAATGATTAATTATATTCCATTGCTGATCATTCTATTCAATATTGCCATGCGGGACTAAATATTATTATGATTCCATTGGTCATATTTATCAATTCATGGTATATATTCATGGTATATATTCATGGACTAATCATTTACCATAGAATAATTAGTCCAGCATCATTATTTATGGACTAATTATCAATTATTCTATTTGCCATGAATATACCATAGGATCCATGTATGCTATATATATGGTAACATTTACCATCAATATACCCCAGTCATGTTAGCATATATAGCATACATGGATCCTATGGGATATACCACCAAACATGGATTCCCATAAAATGGATTGCTAAATCACGCCGCTCTCGCCTGGATTGCCAAACGGCACCCACCTGCAAAAAAGGTAGGTTGGAAACACCAAAACATTTCGGAACCTAAATTTAGGATTTTTTTGTGTCACATTAGTGAAATTAATTTGTTGATTTGGTAAATCCGTAAAATGTTATTTCAAGAATGTGTTTGTTAAGAATGCATTTGTTTTATATGACTTACAGCAGCAAAATACTCCCCAAAACAATGCAAACAAGGTTAGTATATGTAATTTTAGCCTGATTGATTGGATTTCACAGTCCTATTTTTGTTGGCGTTTCTATCAATGTTGCATGTTTTGAGCAATATTGGTAAACCCAACAAATGATGAAAATCGGGGTCTGCCACAGTCTGCCAATTTCATCATGCAGGCTCTGTCCATGTGGAAGAGCGATATTGATGGGATTCTAACATTCAACAAAAAAAAGTTTTTCCAAGACATGGATCTAGCCTAGTTAAATTGAGTTCAGTGAGGTTGCTACTGTATAATATATATTTTCCAAAGCCGCTAAGTGCCCAGTTCTTAATGGGAAATTTCTTCAGTGATGCTCAGCATCGAAACCATCGAATCAAAGCGGTTTTTCACATGAAGATGCCAGTAATGTACGTGCAGCAAAAACCCACAAGATGAAGTTATGAATTGATATGAATTGGATATTCAACTACTCAGAATCAGTTCAACTGAAATGAAATGAAATCTGACAACTTCGATGACTGCGAATTGCAAAAGATCTTTATGTGGTAGTTTCGGAAATGATCCAAGGGCCATCTTGGATAATTTGAACAGTATAGGGAACCCCAGAAACAACATTTAAGCAATGTACCTTTCCACTTGCAAACTTGGCGTCCATACTTGATAGGGGAAAATGCAAATGTTCAAACTGTCCCATTTGAATCCTCCTCTGAATTTGGGGAGAAGGGTCGGGAGCACCCTTTTGTAGACGCTCAAATGCCTAGAAAAAGCGTAAGAAACCTGCCATCAATGCAGAATGAGTGTGCCTCCAACAAATCTTCGCCAGTGAACATGCACCGCATTTTAGGGGGCACTCATGGCGGCACAAAAAAGTGTCATGCTTTCAGAGAGCCACATGCTGCACAGCAAGGTGAGTCTCACCAGACATTAACATCACAGTGAACCAGTTTTATATTCAAATTTATCCTTGACGTGTGCGTTTCCGTCACACCATATCTTCGCGCTTCTGAGAATCCCTGCCAATCCCAGCATGCCAACCCATTGAAGCCATGCTGAGCCCAAAAGGCACCATTTCGCAGAGACACAAACGACGGGTGGATAGGTCAATCATGGATGCTGTAGAAAGTCACATCTCTATCCGGATTGCATACTATGCATACATTATGTATGTAATTATTTATGAGTATTTATGTATTAATCTATATATATATATGTATATATATATATATTATTATGATTATGTATATATATATATATATATGTTATGATTATGTATATATATATATATTATGATTATTTATATGCGTAAATCAGGATTTATTCTGCACATGGGATAGCAACTTCAAGTATCAAGTCAGCTGATCTTCAAGCCTTTTACGTTTAAACTTTCGCAGGTTGATTCAGGAATCCCGAACTGAACACTTTTCAGTGCGTGGGGTTGGTTTTTAACTGGGTGACAGACTCACAATGGCATGTGGAAGCCCCTGAAGGGGTGGGAGTACACATCTCAGACCCAGGCTCATTAAAAGAAAAAACGCACAAGGTCATCATCGTTTTGGCACCCAGTGTTGAAAACGTGCAGAAAGCCATGTCTTGCATGCAAACAGCCTGATTGCCGGATAAGACACCCATCCAGCAATTGCTCAACCCTCATATGGATGGGAAGGTACCCTTGGTAAACTAACATAATCCCTTCCTCCTAATACTAAACGTCCCCCTAATACTAAAAACAGGCATCCATCTCCAATTTCCGAAAATTTCAGTTTGGCCAATTTGACTTTTAATTGATCCCCTTTAAAAAACAATTTAAAAATCAACCTACCATTTGTGGGTTCTCCCCCCTAATACTAAAAACTAGTTCACCCCGGGGTGTTTAGTATTAGGGGGGCCTAGTCCCAATCCCTCACTCCAAGCTGCCTAGCTACTCTAGCAATTAGGGGTAAGCTTCTAACTGCCATTTTTGGCAATATTTTAATTGCGTTATATAAGGAAATTTAATTGATTTTGAGATCGTAAAAAATAGTTTTTAGTATTAAGGGTTTTAATTTAGTATTAGGGGTAAGCTTCGAACTGCCATTTTTGGCAATATTTTAATTGCGTTATATAAGGAAATTTAATTGATTTTGAGATCGGAAAAAATAGTTTTTAGTATTAAGGGTTTTAATTTAGTATTAGGGGTAAGCTTCGAACTGCCATTTTTGGCAATATTTTAATTGCGTTATATAAGGAAATTTAATTGATTTTGAGATCGGAAAAAATAGTTTTTAGTATTAAGGGTTTTAATTTAGTATTAGGGGTAAGCTTCGAACTGCCATTTTTGGCAATATTTTAATTGCGTTATATAAGGAAATTTAATTAATTAATTAACATGACTTCGATTTGGTTCCCTAATAATAAATACCCCCCTAATACTAAAAACTACCTGCCGTGTTTTGTATTAGGGGGGGGGGGTTTAGTATTAGGAGGAAGGGATTATATGTGAAACATGACACGTTTATAGATGATTTACCAAAAAAACATGATTTTCCACAATCCTAGGGAGATATTTCATGCTCACACTCCAGCGGTTTGATGATACTTGGGATGGATATACGTGACAACAACCCAGGAGCATGTTCCATAATTACACTTCTGCACTAGCAGCAACTACGTGGGTCACTTGGATGCACGTGCCAGGTAATGAGTGGTTGCTACCGCGATCACATCGTATAATCATATGCCGGATATACATACCTAAATAGTCAATATGACGGAAAGCCTATATCATCTACATGTTCGCAGATCTTACCGAATTTTGAGAATTGTATTGAATAATTGAATATCAACAATACCTCATCCCTGCTGTATCGGTATAGCTTTTTGTTATCGACATGCATGGGGTGTTTCAGCGTGTTTCAGTTTTTATCGTTTCTGGGAATCCACGGAAACCGAACGGTCCGCGGATTTCCCTGCACACAGTACTGTACAATGTGGGGCCCCCGTTTACGATAGCGTTCAGTTGGTGTATATCTCCAATAACTATGGTTTATGATACGCAAATAACCATGGTATTCATGGGGTTATTTCAACCAATTTAAAACGTTTAGGGGGCATCACACTGTACCTTGCATCGCAGGCCAGGACAACATCACGATCTACCCTCGGGGTCCGGTGAAAGATGGACAAAAAAACACGCTTGGTTCATGGTGTGGGAATGTCCATGTTTATCTGGTTGGTGGTTTCAACCCCTCTGAGAAATATGAAAGTCAATGGGAAGGATTATCCATGATTATCCCATATATTATGGAAAATAAAACATATTTGAAACCACCAACCAGTTATGTATGATGAATTGACAAACGCTTGGTTCATTGAAGTTACTGTATAGATAAATCATTGCAGATGATCTGTCATGAACATGATCGAGAGTATAGTCTAGTTGCCTTGGCAAGCTCTAAAGAATTCAGAATGGATCTCAGGCCCTCTACACATTATGGCAACACACTGTATAAATCATTAACCCACCCTTGACATCCATTCACCAATTACAAAGAAAAGGGGGCACCTGAGTTCCATTCTCAGAATCAAAAAAGGCTTCCTCCAACTCCACTGCGACACACGTCGGATGTTTTTGTGATGCTTGCAATTCCTCCAAAAGAGGGTCGCAACACAACCAAATATATTGGGGCATGGAACTGAACTCATGATGACGAGAGGAATAATCCATCTGGCAAACACATATAAGACAAGGGGCCCACTGCAATAAATTTGATGATTCATCACTTCCAAGATACTGTATATATTCTGTATATATTCCAAGATAGCAGGGGTGAAACACTCACAATCCAAACGCTTCTATGAGGTCCACCGTGATGGGTCTCTTCCGTGTGTGGAACTGAGTTGGAGAACCACCTCTCTAATCACCATGCACACATCGGCGATCGCATGTACGTTGATTTCCGCGATTTCCCAAAATTGGAATGCCGATGGCTGTGCAATTGATCCAAATGTGAGCGGATGTGCTTGTAGGGCTTCAGCACAGCTTTACTTTTTAAGTGCAACAAAAACAGATGCAATAAAATAATATAATTACATTGTGCAAAAAATCAAAAATATCACATCATATAATATGTTACAAACAAATAATAAAACATCATATATATACATATATATGTATATAATGATGTTATAACCAAGGACACATCCAACATATGCTCCACCTCCACCTGGGATCAATCGCACAGACCGCAGAAACCTGCGGCCGTTTGACTTTGAAAAAATGTCTCAGCTGACCCGATCCTAAAAACCAATGGATCCGGACCATTAATGCTGCTATACTGTGGCAAAAGCCGAGGGAAAGCAGGCTGTTGATGCTTGAGAACTCGTCTCAGGGAAGAAACCACCTCAGGACCTTTGTTATCATATCCTCCAAGGGCAGTGGGGGTCGATATCTGAACACAGTGTAGTTGAATAATTAGTTGACAGGTCCAATCATGTTATAAGTTCTAAGTGGATATGTAAACATTGTTATAAGATGTTATAAGGCTTATACCCCCAACTTATGGCGGTTCACAACCAACATCACTAGCCATGAAACTAACCTCTGGCCGCCGCAACCGCCCAATACCTATATAACCGGTTGAAGCATCAACGGCCGGGCCAATGTCATCCTCACTGCCTTGCATCCCTGAGGCCGCGGGCCCCCGTTCAGCCCTAAAAATTATCCCAGAAACCATGGTGGATCTTTGGGGAACATAGAATGGGAGTGGTTACTAGTACCATCTGGTTATTTAACATAGCCATGGAAAATCCCTTATAAATGGAGGTTTATAGCTGGGAAAATCATCTATAAATGGGCAATTTTCCATGGCTATGTTAAATAACCAGAGTGTAGGGGTATTGGATTACTAGTTGTGAGATGTTACAATTACGATGCGAACAAAAAATCACGCAACAAGCTTCTTTTGAGAAGAACAGCCACCATGAAGAAACATCGTATGAAACTAATTGTGTTCTTCATTGCAATGAAAAGTCCGAGTTGCTCTTTTACGCAACAATTGGGCAGATTTTAATCCTAGCTGTAAACTGAGTCTCTCCATCGTCGGCTGAGTGTTAAACCACTCGGCCCGATCCTGTTCAGCAATTCGGGCCACCTGGAGCGGTGCCAGATCACAGTATATAATATGTTATACGTTTGTTCTTGGTGGAGCTTGGACACCATCTTTTTTAGAACATAGTGACTTAGTGTTTTCAACAAACATGGCAGTTAGAAATTTCTTATTCAGAAAAGGATTTGTTTGTTACTTGAAAAAGTGAACATGTCTTTTGGCTATATGTTATCAGAAGCTACCTGAAATGTTGCATTGTATGCTGAGAAACAAATTATATATTATATACCTAAGACAACAATGGTGATATGGGTTTCAACTTTGTTAACACAATTGACAACATGTGTGGAAACAGTATGATTACCGGGTATGAACCTTGACATTCCAAAATTAAGCTGTTACAAACCGTTTACCAACTATCTAAATCATTCCAGGGATCATCCAGCGATATGAAGCTTGCGTCAAAATGATTTTCGCCCTGTCTGTTTTTACAAAAATATGATATAGTATGTTGTCATCTAAAGCCCTTACATCCGCTGCTCAGAAAATAAAACAGTTTGAATGCATCAACTATTTTCAAGCATGTCATGCTTCAATATCAAATTTTACACTCCAAACATCAGCCAACTTATACATACTCATACTATACATTGAACATTCAACTCTTATACATACTCATGTCTGTAGATGGTACTTGATTGACCACTTTAACCGCCATCGCCTTGTCCCCTTCATGACAACTCCGCAAAAAATTCACATGATTCGACATGGAAAACGCATCAACTGCAGAGAATTTCCTTTGGAAAGCCATGTTTTCGTTTTCCCGGGTCCATGTAACTTGATAGTATTCATCCAAACATAGATAGAAGTGTTTCCCGATGGTATTGATACCCTCTGGTAAACGTTTACATAACTATGGAAAGATCCACCATGTTATTAAGAACGGTAAACCATCTATTTCTATGGGCTGTCTATACCATGGCAAACTGTTAGTTTCACCATTTTTAATAGGTAATCTATAAATGTGCCATTTCCCATGGCAACGTTAGTTTACCAGAGGCTATGTATTGACACAACCAGAGGGTAACAGTTTCCCCTTACAGTTTCTAGGATTCCAACATTTCAAGCACAAGGCTTTGACTGAAAACAGGCTACCCCCAATTCCCAGGGATTAGAACCTCATTTTCCCTTTGCAAAAATTGCCATTTATAGGGAATCCACTATTTTCAGACTAACCCAAATATGATATCAAGTTGGTGTGTTTTATGTATATATATATACATACATACTTTATATACAAATATATAGTTACCTTGTAAATATATATATATATTATTATACATATATATATTTGTATGTATATTATATATATATAATCATATTCCATTGAATCACATACTTCATCCATTTTATGGGCTTGCCATATATCCTGGATCCGCACCACTCCGCACCATGCGGAAGGCTCGTCTGCACCTCGTCTCCCCATGCGATCCAGGCGGCGCGTCCGTGGGAGCTTTGAGTTACCTCGGCATGGTGCGCCTGGAAAGTCTATGGAAAAAAAACAACGTCAAATTGGAGCAAGATTGAAACATGGTGAGTCAATGTATAATATATATATATGTAACTATATATGAGAATATACATAATTATATATGTAACTATATATGAGTATATACATAATTACACATGTAACTATATGTATATATATATGTAACTATATACGTATATATATATATATATATATGTAAATATATATATATGTAACTACATATATATATGTAACTATATATATATGTATATGTACTACCATTTACTATCTATAAAGTGTCTATCGATACTGCCTACTGTTCCAAAACGCCTTCTGGACTTGTATTTGGGGTTGGTTTTTGGGCTCCAAACACCTTCGAAGATGGTGTTTGGAGCTCTGGGCTAGTCTATGGAAAACAGGTATTCAATGATATTAAAAAGTAGCCATATTCAAATAGTGTTTCGATTTGACCATTTACTATCATCTATCTATATTGTCTATATATAGTAAATAACAAAAGCAAAAGAACTGCAATTTACCATTGTATACCACTTTTTTAGTATGATGGGGGTTGCTATATCCCCTCCATGAAATAAAAAATGTTTGAATTTGTTTGACATATATCCTCAGTACGAAGTCACAATCCCCAATAAACCAATGAGTCAAAACCCGACAACCAATCCACAGGGATCCTTAATGGACTGACTGTATCAGTTTCCCGAAGAAGGAATGGTGTTACAACCAAAGGAAGTTTGAAGCTACGGATTGGTGTTACTTTGAAGTGCCAAAAGAAGGAGTGGTGTGACTTATTTTGGCACTGTTAACTCACTGTAAAAGTTCACGGATCATTCGGATCTGAAAAAAAGTACTGTGGCACCTTCTAATCCATCTGGTGCTTCCCGAAAGTAGAGGCAACTTGGGGCGAACGGATGGGCCGAACGGATGGGCAATATGTCCATCTAGCTAGGTTTAACAACCAACGACTATGACTGGAATGCAGCACTTTGCAATGATCATATATCCTTTGCTAGTAAGAATTTGATACTCACTGAGAAAAGCCATAGGACCTATACTTCGATTTGCATACATTTGCCTCGGGTAACCTCGGGTGTTTTCAGTGTTTTTTCTGCAGAAAATTTCAACAAAGGTCATATCAGCAAGAAATTTACCATGGGCGTACCATCCATAACAAAAAACGTGGATCGTATTCCCACTCTCGTTGCTGCAACTCCCATTGCTTCTTCGCCTGATATATGTACACATGCTAAACAAATGGTAAATTGAAAGTTCTTTGTCATGTGAACTATATAGACTATACTTTCTTTTAGTCACTGAAAGTTGTTTGGTTGAACAGACATAGACTCCGTTGATCCAAACCCGGACACAGTGCCTTGCGCACATACTCCTCCTTTGTGAGTTTGCCTCGGTGTGTGCTGAGAAGTCCCTGAATAGAGGCAATAACAATATTTTATCCAAGCTATATTCGGAATATCCCCGACTATGCAAATCGCTACATAGGGTTAAACAAAACAACATTTGCTCTATAACTGGATGCACATCCAAGTAAGATAAATACAAAGTGAGGCCCCCAAGTTATAACTTAAGTTGTAAGGGGGGTTAACTTAAGTTGTAAGTGGGTGTATGTTATGATGTAAGTTGGATAATTTATCATGAAGTTACAAATAAGATGATGACTTATAAGTATAGATAAGTTCATGGCTGCGAAAAGATACAACTAAGTTACGCGAGTTACGTTTTCGACGTCTCAAATCGAGCGTCAGGTTTACGAGTGATAACTCCTGCCATTTTTAGGCTCAAAGTGCCGAAACAGGTCAAAACAACGCGAAAACAATGGAAGATGCCCCAAGACGCGCAAACATGCAGGATTATAAGAACTTTCCGCTGTACTTAACGGCGGACCTGTGGAACTTGCTTGAGAGCACTGAGACGACAACTTCTCAACTTCGGAAGATAGAATTGCTTTGCAATTATCTAGTCAGCTCTCTAGGACGTCGTCATGCCAGTGAGCCGACGCAGTGTTGCGCTTTGCTTGGTGAGATGCTAGGTGTTTAGAATCAATAATTATATAGGCACAAAGAATGCAAAGACGAACATTTGCAGACAGGAAGTCAGGCTTTCTGGAAACGTTACTGTGTTTCTCCATTGCTTGGATGGAAAAGAGGGGAAACGCGTTTCTGTTTCCCATTTTGGAAGCAAAAACATATAAACGCGAGGGTATGGTCACAAACGAAACATAGGAACGTTCATCTGTTTCCTTCTTATCATATCCAGCAGGGTGGAAGCGCAATCGTGTTTTTTTTGTGTTTCCTAGTCAAACGAGCAAGTTCCCTAAATGTAGTAAAATACTATTGTGTTTCCAGAAAACCTGGGAACGCGGTTCTGTGCCCTAGTACATCGCATATCAACGCGAGCCTGTTTCTTGGTTTTATAACAAAAGGGTTGGAAACGCGTATGTGTCATTTTTGTGTTTCTTTGTGTTTCCTTGGAAATCCAAAAAATAGTACCTTTTAACGTTGCTTCTAGGCTCAAAGGCTTGGTCTCAACCGTCTCAGACTGGAAAGTCGTCGTCATGGCTGAAACCGCAGCTGATGCTCAAGCAGTCATGCAAGTGGCTGCTTCTGAGGAAGCAACTTTTCATTGGTGAGGCCAACATCATGCCAATGGATGAATTGCATCCCTTGCACATCCCAGCCTTCACTAGCGCTGAAAGCGCTAAAATAATTTGTTTACTCTGATGCAACAGCTAATTTGACGTGAAAAACAAGAGTTTGCATGACCTGGCATGACGAAACAAAAAAAAACAAAAAAATGCAATCAACATCGAATTTGCCAAATTGCAGCCGCTGAAAACTTACACGAGATACATCTTAAGTTACAAAACCCCTAAAATAAGTTACGATAACTTCATTGTAAGTTAGATATGTCTATATGTATCATCATAACTTAGTTATATCTTAGGGGCCTCTCTTTGTATGGGATAACAACTTCGGAACATTTTCAAGGTAGGCCAGGACATACAACACGACGACACTATAGTTGGATAAAATGTCAAACAAGCATACCCCAGTACTAGAGGAAGAAGGATTAAAGCCTCTGCTTCACTAAATCAATTCTGCCAAGGCCGTTCCATCTTTGGGGATTTTAGCATGAATCTCCTTGGAAAAGATCAATCATGAGCCTCCCAAAACCATGGCTGAGTCTTTGCTCGCCTAGGAAGAAAATACAGCACTGTAAATCTTACAACTGATTTTGACATGTTTACACATTTTTTGGGGTGTCTGAATCATCTGAAAATGGGAGGAGTACCAATGGCTCGAGGGGTGTACGTCATGTACGTCCAGTGCAGCTGAGGGACTGTTGAAGTTGAAACCCAAATCCACAGGGGGTCGCCCACCTTTACTCCACTCCTGGTCATGCTTACGGGGGAAACTTCCAAAATTAGCGGGTGCAAGATCAGTGGTGTTGTCTAAGCAATGCCAGTAAAGCAATAATAAACCATCCCAACATTTACCGAACATATCCATAAATGGTTTGTCTAAAAAATCAAACTATGAGTGGTTTAATGTGGTTTATTATTGCTTACGAATATTAATTATGTACATGTGCACAGGTATATCGTTTTATGTCATATGCCTCATATGCATACGCGCTGGGGAATGCACCTCCATTTTGGATGCTATTTAAAAGCCAATTGTGTGAAAGTCATTGGAACCCCAAATCATACAGCAAGAATGGAATCGGATCCCAGGCGGATGTATGGTTGGGTTATAAGTACTTATAACTGATAAATGGCCATAACTGTATGTAATTGTGGATATTCTTCTGTTCAAATATAAGTTGCTGTAGCCCCGTTTTTGAATTTAGCTGCACATCACTTTTAGACCCCTTGGCCCAATTCTGGGCCAACAAATAAACAAGGCATAGGTGATGGCGATGGTTTTCTCGTTTCTTGGTTATCCTTGTTTTTTGGTGTGACCTTCTTGCGAGTACATCCTAATGAGTAAGTGGCTAATTACCATACATCAACTCCGTTCAGATATGGAATGTCAATGAATGTCATCCAAATCCGTTCGCGCCCTATAATGTGTGGTGTTTGAGGCATAAATTGTAGAAACAAACAATGCCTTGATAAGTCCATACTCTTGTATAGTTCACACATAACCATTAACTTTATATTATATTATGGTCTTATTAGCTATATATGGTCTATAAACATATTGCTAGACTAATATGTTGAGAATACATCAGTTTTGAGTTCTCAACTATATTGGACCATATCAATTAAATTAATATAACATGTATGATTGACATATATATATATAATATGTACATACATATATGTATAAATTTAAAACATATATTCCCCCGCATTGATGCACATCCCCACGTACTTAACACATCTTCCCCGCGTCTTCCCCCAGCGCTCTCCTCGCAGGCCGTCATGGTCAAGACATGCTGTTCCTGGTCATGCGCCGAAAGATGTTAACCTCCAAGTGGGATCCTCTGTAAATATGGTTTATCTATGGTTCTTAAATGGATTCTTCATATATATATACATATAGTTTATATACATGTATATATATATACACATAGGTTGTATACATAAATATATATATATATACAAATGGTTTGTAGCATTTTGTACAAAAGCATTCTGATGAAAACCGGTTAAATCAAGTTACTATTGGGTTTAAAAACTTGCAATTGGTTTTGTACGCGGCCATTCTGATAAACATGAAGTTACTATTGGATTTACATTATTTTTTAGGAATACTAGCACTATCACTGAGTTGCAGGAGCAGGGAATCTATGGCATTGCAGAGACTTGACTACAAAAAAACTAAAGAATCACTAGATACAGCAGGTCAATTTCATGAACACAGAGGTCGTTTGCATTTCAAGTATGGATGTGTACCTATAATCAGCAACATTACAATATCAAAACTGCGTTGTTTTGCTTAAAGCAAAGGTGGTGTATGGGGCATCTTGTGATCTTTTCAGCAAATTGGCCGGGAACAACACCGGCAGCAGGTTTCTTACATCACCACCTTCCTCCGACAATAGAGCATACTGAACAAATGTACACAAGTAAAATAAGTTCTCTGGAGGTGTCTGCTATCTATTATCTAAACTTAGACAGTCAAACAAAAGTAGCTACCATCATGCAGTAGTTTTCAATGTCATCAGAAACATCGCCAAACATCAACCCATAAATTCACCTACCATAGGTCCCAGTCTGTTACCCCACTGCCCACCCGTGGCACATGGAAATCCAACGAGTGATTTGTGCGGCCTCGTCATCTCGAATATTGGAAAAGACCTCGGCACGGAGTGCCGAGGCACCATCCCCAGGTCACCCAATGGTTATGGTATAGTTATAGTATGGTTAATGATTATATGGTGAATATTAATGGTTAATATTAATGGTTATTATATGGTTAATGATGGTTAATAATAATCTGGTTGGTGGTTGACCTACCCCTCTGAAAAATGATGAAAGTCAGTCAGTTGGGATGATGACATTCCCAAAAATGCCAACATCGGATTCATCAACCCATTAATGAACCTACAAGGTCAGATGGACCTTGTAAGGTCTTTCCTAGTTTTCCCGGTAAATAAACGCCCCCTTAGGAAGGGGTTGATTAACAACGGGAACCCTCTGATTATTATTAATGGGGCACATGGGCTCATGGGGGTACCCTTGGGGAGCTATCGAAACTGCTGATTTTTATAGATAATTTAATTAGACATCGATCATTTTGGGAATATGCTGTTTTTTTCAAATTTTCAATGATCAGCAGTGATGGATTCTGGTGTTCATGAGGTTTTAACTTAAGTATAGAATAAAGAAACCATTTGAAAATAAAGAGATTTGGAAAATAAAACAAAATGGGATTTCAGCACTGGTGGTTGATTAATCATGTCTTAGCCAGACGGTTTACTAATCCGGTGGGACCACCTGTTTTAAAATTACAAAAAAATGGGCAGAGGGGGTTGATAAATACCGCGGGGTTTATTAATCCTAACTTGACATTATATGGAAAATAACACATGTTCCAAACCACCAATCAGTTGTTCATTTTTGAATGAAAACGACATCCAATTCAAGCTCATGAAGCTCAATTCTTGGAGCAGAAATAGACATTGGTCATGAACCAGCACGGGGCACCTGGATTTGCACAATGACACCCGCAGAACCGGTCATCATTTTTTGGGGTACCCGTCATTGGCTGTTTGCCATCCCGCTCACTTATTTTCTTCATTTGATCTGATCTGCGTTGTCTTGTTTGAAAAAAAAGAACCATCCACCAGCAACCATGGCGCGGTACTGGATCTGTACATGCCGGGTTCTTAAGATTATTTTTGTGGTCCATATATTTATATATATATACATGTATATATATATATATATTCAGTCAGTAGATAATTGACCCCACAAATTGAAAATTGTGATGAACCTCAAGCTAAACAAGCATGGGCGGAGAAAAGATGTGAGTGATTGTTTTAGGAACATTGTTGAATCTATAGTACAAAATGTGGATGTCACGTCTTTATTATTCTTTATTATCTAAGATAAATGTGTTTTCCGCAGGATAACTTCAGATTCAGTGATGCGTTGCTAACCTTAGATGCCCTGCAACAAATTACATGACCAATTGTGGACCAAGTTCTCAAGTTCCAAAAGGCATTCCTGCCAGGGGGATTCTCAGAGATGGTTTGATACTAACATTGACTACTTGGGGATTGCATGTCCAATTACAAATGGATATATACACAACCATAGATCCCAATTTGGGTTGTAACCATGACTATACCTATACCCCATGAATGACCCCAACTGCACGTCCAAGTAAAAAAAATGTGGGCCCGTCGCCAATTTAACTACGAAGAATCGTTATAAATTGGTTTCTAAACCCCATTAACTAGTTTGATATATCACCAACAAAAACCATAGTGAAATTGGAGTTTTTCTATTCACCAACTGAAGGCTATCGAATTTTTTGGCACCACCGAACGTACCTTTCCCCAACGACGGGGTTTCCGTTCTCAGTTTTAGCCGTGGCACGTCATAGAGCGTGGCACATGGGGGACGACCTTGGCGAGCCAGGGATGTGCAGGACCCAGGACCCAGGCAGATCTGGTGGTTTTTAAAGAAACATATCACCCATATTAAATCCCAAAAAAGAGCTGGGTTATATGACTGGGTTATATGATCTAACATGATCTAACCACTGGATTGGGTTTAGTCAGTTTAATCTATAATCACAGTTGTCTATCTGGTGGTAAAAGGTTCCATATACAAATGAGTGCTGTACTGATATAACTGATATAACCACTATTCGTATCATTTCGTATCCACTGAGAAACTGGGGTGCATCAAAAAAGAACTGATATTCCCAGCCAGATGCCGGGCACGATTTTAATATCGCTTCCTGGCTGCTGGAAATCAATCCATAGAGTTCTGCAACCAACAACTAAGACATTCGATATCAGATTATAGAGCAGTTCAGAAGCTTTGTTTTGACGACTCCAAAATGAAGTACTGTACGTTTCACACTCATCAAAAGAGAACCACATGTTTTTTGCCCTCTCATGCGCGAAAACCCCACAAAAGTATGCTAGTTCCACAGGTTCCACCAGTCCAAAACCCATCTCTGGGTTCTAAAACGCTTAACGCCGTCAGGCAAACCCGTGTGCATCTTGTCAAAGAGATAGTGCTGGCAGGCTATGGCAGGCTGGGACAAGTGGACCAGCCAAGCTGGGACTGGAATCAGATGTGTTCCGAGCAGTGTGGAAAATGTATGAACATGGTGGTGTCATTCGCTCTCTGTATCAACAAAATATCACGTCTTGGCTCCAAAGAGATACAGTGCCAGGGTAGCCAGGGTATGACCATTTTTTTTCCAAACCTCAAAGGGTGATCTCATGACCACTGATTGACAGCGCTGATGCGAGAAGGAAGAGAATGGAGGCACAAAAAGGATGGGCAGAAGCGTTGTTGACAACCCTGGCTAGTTTTTTCTGCGCCCGGAAATAGGATATTGTAGGCAAGATCCCAATTTGACAATTGATTTATAGGAAGCTTCAAAAAGATTCAATTGGGGGTTACTACAACCATGTTCAAACAATGCTTGTTGACCAGTGACAAATTGACAAAGATGCTAACCAACCAGCACCTCATCATTGAGGTAATACTCCACTGCGATGGGCGGCGGAGGAATTGTCCTGTGAGTTGAAGATTTACCGAATCACTGGGGTCTCTGACTCTGAAATATTGGGCTTTCATGAAATATGATCTGCATGTTGATCACCCATATGCTCCATGGTGCTGGATTATTTACCAACATTTGCCCTTACAAAATGCCCAAATGTAGGTAAATATGCCATACATGGAGCATCTGGGTCATGAAAGCCCAATGTTTCAGAACCGCTGTGGCTATCGGCTATCAGAAGTGACTTTGTTTTTTTTGACATTCATGATCAACATCTATATAACCTGTTGGGCTTGGTAAGGACTTCATGATAGGCTTGTTAGCGGCATGTTGAGCATTTATGGGAACCCTCAAAAAGATAGACTCAATTATAGACCCTAATTTTGGCATTGTAATGGATACCCTAGCACCAAGCTCCAGAAAGTTCCAGATAGATTCAGATAGATGGATGCGACTGTACTACTTTTGCTGGTGGCGCTGTACCCTTGCAATGATAGAGGGCATGTAGATCTCCGAGATACTCTCCATCTGGCGTGGGAAACCACTGGCGTCCCCAACATCTGTGCTAAGTGGCTTTCGTAGTATAGGAAAATCCTTCATTCAGCATATTAGTCGTCTGATGTTTTGTTGAGTGACCGTTTGCATCCACTGTCTGTTTCTATATTGTTCCATAGTCTCCACAATTTAACTTAAATATCAAGTACCTAATCTAATATAGCTTTAGAAAACCAACATTGTTAATAGGTAAATCATCACAAATGATCTATATACATGAACCATGGCTTCCATATGTCAAATTACCAGAGAGTAACCATCAAGCACCAGATATACCTGGGTAAATTATAATAATTCACTAAGCTGAATTAAGGCCATTTGGGGATGATTTCCCTTACTAACCATGATTCCAGTGAGGTCGCAGTGAGGTCGTTATAATTTACCCAGATATATAGGTCAGGCACGAAAAACGTCCTGAGACGCTCTTTGTTGGCGTCCACAAACTCACCATAGGTGTCCACAGCATGGGCCTGTGGTCATGACGGGATGGTCGAGGTGTCCAAGACTTGCCTAGTTGGTACCCTCTGGTTATGTCAACAGTTTGCTATTGAAAATTCCCATAGAAATAGTGGATTTACCCATTGAAAATGGTTATTTTCCATAGTTTTTTGTATGTTTACCAGAGGGTACACTGCATGATTTCTTAGCTTTGGCAATGGAACATCAATTTAAAACGCACAAACAACGAGTATTCTCCGGTCTGGGAGAGCACCTCGATGAGTCTGCTAAAGTTGTAGGACCACTTTGGGTCCACAAAAAAAAACCTCGGCAGGGACACGCAACGCGCAAAAAAAATATGATATAGAACTGAATGGAAAGCCATACACTGTGGAGCACCCTAGATAGGTAAGTTTATGTAAGTTTGTGATAACTCCAGTTTTTAAAGGCATATATATATATATGTATATATGTATATATAAATACATATATATATATATATGTATATATATATATGTATATATATATATGTGTATATATATATATGTATATATATATATATACATATATACAGTTGAATGGGTGGACATAAAACAACAAATGTAATTATGCGGCCCTTATTTGTTCAACCATTCTCTGGAAAACATCCTCGTCGTGTTGTCCAGCTCAAGCTTATTCTCATCAGGTATCAACAAAGAGGAGACGAACCCCTGCCACCCTAGAGCAACGTAACATAGATGGGGAAACCCCGTGGTCTCCCTAGAAAATAAGACTACACATGTTGTTTTTCCCCCAAATCGATCTTTGTTTACAGGAGAGTACCCTATCATAATCCCATCACAACACATCATTTTTTCCACATCTGGGGATGGGTCAAGTTACCAAATGTCACCATATGACTGGGGGAATAAACATCCATTAAGCAGCTATTTTAAGGGGTACCCAGGGTACCAGGCTTTTGACCCGTAACCATCAGCCTGAAAAATCTCACAAGTTTCACTATAGAGACTGTCAAAAGCCGAATCCTGAAAATATCTGTGGCATCTTGCAGCACTCAGCTGCCACAAGAAGGACATACATCTCTAGCTGAGAGGCACTGCACAGCAAAAGTTAAACTGGACAGATGTTCAACCCCAAACTTAGGTTTGAAACTTTACGTTCTCTTCACTTTACAGTATACCACAAAAATGCAAGATTTTCCCAAAGATGGACCATGGTAGCTCATCAAATCTGCTGGAGGAGCCCCTCCGAGACCCCAAGCAGCACTAGGATCCAGTAGTAGGCCACTGCTCCATGTTGTCCTAAGAACCTCCCAGCGGCAAGGGGGTTGCCTGCGTTCCTGTTTGGGAAAACATCCTAAATATGTGGGAAATAGTTTAGCAATTACATGAAATTAATGGACAAACTTGTGCACAATTCTAAGGCACATTCATTTTAATAGCGTAACGTTGTGCTTGGTTGGCCTCCTATTTTGTTAAGTGATTGGCTCTGCACTATGCTATGTGAACGGCAGCAAAACACTGGGAACAGTAGTCTATATCCCAAAATATACCCTTATAAATATATATATATACACTGTGTATATATATATACACTGTGTATGTCTATGTATATATATATATACACTGTGTATGTCTATGTATATATATATATATATATATCACTGAGTAAAGAACCCGTGAAAGATCGAATGTTCCCTTTTAAACCACTTCTTATAAACATTCTGCAAGCCACCTCGGATAATAAACAGAATGGCTACAATCCTATTTTGCATGATATATTGTCATATTCGATAATAAATAGTAAATCTGGTTGGTGGTTTTAACCACCTTCAAAAATATTAGTCAATGGAAAGGATTATCCAATATATATTATGGAACATAAAATTCATGTTCCAAACCACCAACCAGATATATTGTTATTGCAATTATTAACCATTATTAAACATAGATTAACCATGAAAAAATGTTCCAAACCATCAACCAGATACATCATGGCCTTCTGATTTCGATAAACGACGTGAAATTCTTCCCACGTTCAACCAGATCCTGGTCCCCCGCCTGTCCAACCACCTCTGATCTCCACCTGCAACCGGCTTATATGTGTGCGTGCTTCTATATATGACGTTGTATTACACATATTCTATAGTGTATGTATATATATATATGTATATATATTCGTGCAGCAGTTTTTTTTTTAAGTATCTAAGCGTCTATAATAGTATACAAGAGTCTATAATAGTATACAAGAGTCTATAACAGTATACAAGAGTCTATAATAGTATACAAGAGTCTATAATAGTATACACGAGTCTATAACAGTATACAAGAGTCTATAATAGTATATAAGAGTCTATAATAGTATATAAGAGTCTATAATAGTATATAAGAGTCTATAATATTATATAAGAGTCTATAATAGTATATAAGAGTCTATAATAGTATATTTGAGTCTATAATAGTATATAAGACTCTATAATAGTATATAAGACTGACTCTATAATAGCATATAAGAGTCTATAATAGTATATAACAGTATATGATAGTATATAATACTATGGAATAGTATATTTATTAGCATATTATATTATATTGTATACTATCTAGTCTCATTGGCTCCTTTTGTCCAAGAATGGCACCCCAGGTATGTTGGTTTATTATGCTGCTTCTACAGCAATGGTTCCAAACATCCTCCACAATACGCAGTTTGCCTAGTGATACATATATATATACAATTTAACCAACTCAACTATCGGGCCCTTTTCTGTACCACCACCTCAACTTGGATACCAAACACAAAAACAAAAACAACAACCAACTTGTCGGATACAACTGCATGTTTTTCAGGGGTTGTGATACCACTGCACCACCACGAACATGCGGTGGATTATGCTTTCCTGATGTGAGTAACTACGCATTTGCTTAACTTAGACGCTAAAACATGCCCGGACGAAGCGTCAGAAGATGATTGAGCTGCAGAACATTTGTTCATTCATGATTTCTTGCTTGGAATCAGGCGGTGCCAAGTACAAAGATGGGCATATGACTCACAAGTGGTAGCAATGAGGCGAACAGAACAAGGATGGAACTTGATATTGCCAGTGCTGATATGGTTCCAACATGTTCCAACTCACTCTAACCTATATATGATTATATGGTGAAGGCATTCATAGCCATTAAGAAATGATAGATTACATTAAGGATCATTAAGGTACGACTTGCCCCAAAACATGTGACAACTCAAATTTAACACAGAAATCTGAGCAGTGTTCAAGACCCGAGTCACAGCTCATTGACTGATGGATGATGATCAATACATTGGATAGTGCAACCAACAAAATCAAGCATCGTTTATCACTTATCTCTCCAGTAGATCTCCATCTCTTTGATGGTCAAACCCCATATTTGCTGGTGAAAATTCCCTACTAATCATCAACCAACAGGTTGGATCTGCAACCGAGGCGGCCGAACCTAAGGATTCCATGATCAACAGGTGATGCAACCTCGGCGGAGAATCTGGGTGAAGATGTCATGATTTGGAATCAACAGGTTCATTTATGACTGGGGATTCATTGGTGTTATTTCCAACAAAAGAACAACTGTTACTTTGAATGATGACCCTTGGGGGTTGAGGCTGTTTGGTTTTTGATGGTTGAAACCAGGTGGTGCCCCCTTAGTTCCAGATTGGTTTATAAACCCCATGAAAACTAGTTCGATATATCACCTATAAACATCTATAAACCATAATTATTGGAGTTATGTGGCCCCCAACTGAACGCTATCCAATGGGGGCACCACCTTAAACCATCAGACCAGGGCCAATCCATGGGGGACCTGCCCCATTGAAACTCCGGCTCGGCTGGCGTCTAATTGTTCTGCAATGAGCTAGTCAGATAAGTCATATAATGTGTATATATATATATCTATATCTATATATATCTATATCTATATATCTGTATATATATACTCTACAAATGATTACACATCATATCCATTTGGAAGGCGACATGGTTAGTCCTCAGCACATTCTGCGTTCGGTTTCCCCAGGCTGAGGATGGCACTCGTTGTCCTCTTCTGCCTGTGCGACGTGGAGTGAGGCCTAGTACACTGACGTGTCATTGCAACATCTTTTGAAGAATCGCCACATTATGTGTGTCTATATAATTGTCCCTATAAAATTATATATATATATACACATATCATAGTTTGAACAATAGATACAATAGCTAGCTCTTTCTGCGCATGTGCTTGCGAAGAAAACGTCATGTTTGTTTCTGGGGTCACTGGAGGCACCTGCCGTTTGTTCTCCACAACATAAAGCGACATTCGGATATGGGTGACAACACATGTGATTAATTATGTACCCAGTAAAAAAAATCTAACATGTTTTTTTGACTACCAACAAAAACAGAAACATCAGCGATTCCTGAAAGGTGCTGTTTCCTACAGGACGGTGCCCACCGTTAACTAGTTCGTTGTATCTATCATAACCATAGAATTCAGCCACTTATATCTCAACTGAACGCTATCTTGGGGGCCCCATCCTGTAGTTACAGATTACAGGTTGGTTTAAAACTATCTAATTATAATTACTCTATGGATCCACGTGCACCGCCGCGGCACCGCGTGCACCGCGCGCAGTTCGGGCGAACGCCACCAGCCGAAGGTCTCATAGAGGTGAAGAACCTTTCGAAAATTCACTGGGAGGACTTGAGGCGGATCGAATCAGTGAATCACTGGAGTTGTTTTTGGGAAACACATGGAAAAACCATATATATATATCCTATATATATATGTAGGACATGGAAATATATGGTGACATGGTGCAGATACAACAGAACAAATATAGAAACATATGGTTTTTCATTGGATGTAATGGGAAACTCATTGGGATTTTGTTCAAGAGACAGTAAAGATCAAATTGTAATCGGCAGCATTCGGCAGCACTATTCAGTGGTGAAGATGTATGTTTTTTTCCCCACCTGCCAGGTGAGGGTTGTTAGATTTTATGTCAGTTGCCTCCTCCTGCCTCGTCCTCCTCCTCCTCCTCCTCTCCTCCTCTCCTCCTCGTCCTCCTCCTCCTGTCTCCTTGTCGTCCTCGTCGTCCTCGTCGTCCTCCCTCGTCGTCCTCGTCCAACTGCGACCCGCGATCCACAGTGTTCTCTGCCGGACCTCAACCACGACCATCCACGCCCAGTGTTCCCTGCCGGACCTCAACCACGACCAGCCACGCCCAGTGTTCCCTGCCGGACCTCAACCACGACCATCCACGCCCAGTGTTCCCTGCCGGACCTCAACCACGACCATCCACGCCCAGTGTTCCCTGCCGGACCTCAACCGCGAGTATCCCCGCCCAGTGTTCCCTGCCGGACCTCAACCACGACCATCCACGCCCAGTGTTCCCTGCCGGACCTCAACCGCGAGTATCCACGCCAAAAGATATGCCACATAGAGTGCCAGAAGATATGCCAGATAGAATGTTAGAAGATATGCCAGATAGAATGCCAGAAGGTATGCCAGATAGAATGCCAGATAGAATGTCAGCTAGAATGCCAGAAGATATGCCAGATAAAGTGCCACAATGTTTGCCAGATAGAATGCCAGCAGATTTGCCAGATAATATGCCAGAAGATATGCTAGATAGAATGCCAGATGGAATGCCAGAAGATTTGCCAGATAATATGCCAGAAGATATGCCAGATAGAATGCCAGATGGAATGCCAGAAGATATGCCAGAACATATGCCAGAAGATATGCCAGAAGATATGCCAGAACATCTGCCAGAAGATATGCCAGAACATCTGCCAGAAGATATGCCAGGTAGAATGCCAGAAGATATGCCAGATAGAATGCCAGATCGAATGCCAGAAAATATGTCAGATAGAATGCCAGAAGATTTGCCAGTAACAAAATGTATAAATGTCATGGTGGGGATCACACGAAGTAAAGTATTTTTTTCCGTGAGTCTTACATGCACGTGGTTCTTGTACAGTAAAACATCAATTTAGCTTGCTTAAACCACAATCCTTGGATTCAATTCCAGATCTTTCATACACGTAGAACCAAAATCCGACAGAATGTAGGCAAAACAATCTTAAAACTGACCCAAATGCAGGTATTCAGGCTTCTTTGTGCTCATATGCCACATAGTGGTTACACGGTGAGATGCCTCAGCTACAAGAAAGTTCATGAACCCAACAAGTGTAGATATGTCGTCCTTGGATCCAACAATTATTGTTTATTAGTCTTTATTCGCGCGAACACCCTGTTTCGCCCACACCCTGCTTGACTTGGGACGGACGATCAATAAGGGTAATAGGGAATATAGAAGTCCCACCTCCGTTAAACTGTACATTCACTTGAGAAGATCAACAAAGGTGTTAGGGAATATTTATTTAAAAAAAAACCTGGGAAACATAACATTCATTGAAGATCTTCAATAAAGGTTTAATTCTCCAACCCCCGTTAAACTTCTACATTGATTGAATATATTCATGGATGATGGTGATGATGGTGATGATGGTGATAATGATGATGATGATCATCATCATCATGATCATGTTTGATGATGATGCTGATGATGATGATGATGATGATGATGTGGAACGAACCCGCACAGGTCCCTATGCTGTGCGTTCTGATGTAGAGCATTTAGTTAACCACAATGCTAAAATATATACTTTTGTTTAAAAACAACGTTTTCAGCTCGTATGAAGAAGGCGGGCCAACATGCGCGGGCAAATCGAGGTGTTTGGCCTTATTTATAATATATAAATATATATACAAAGTTTTATTTTCAGGACTATCATGTCAACTATAACTCATTAAAAAAAAAAAAACAAACACCTATCCTAAATCATTGATTAATGATTCCTGATTAATGCTTAAAACAATAATAACATTAACTACCAATGCGACATTAAGATGATTAATCATTTAAACATATAATTCTACAATGATTGATAACGTGAGAATCATTAAACTTAAGTACTTCTATATAAAATAATGATGAACACATGGCAACTCAAATACAATCGATGTACTTTTTATTCCAACAAAGTGCCTCTGTTTGTCGATTTACTGCTGCGGTACCGTTCAACCACGTTCAACCCATCCCCAGCCGTGGAGGTCCGTGGCATCCGAGGTCGCGACCGAGCTGTATGCGAAGTAAGGCATCCGAGCCACGGTCTCAAGGAACCAAAACCTGGCCCGTAGAACGCCCCGTCTGCAGGTCCGTAAATGGGATGATACCATAGGAAACCATAGGAAAATGTGTGTTTAATGGGATTTATAGCTGATTTATGCTGATTTATGATAGCTAAGTTGGTGAACATAACTCCAATAACTATGGTTTCTAGGTGAGATATCTATACTTCATGGGGTTTATAAACCAATTTATAACTAGTTCCGCCACTTACAACTGTTAAAGGCCACAACTGTGCTGATCGAGAAAAACATATATGGATTTCAGCAACCAGAACTATTCGAAATTTGGTTTGTTAGTAAAGGATATTTGGGGATATTATGGGATATGATGTGGGGTATGGTATTTAACTAGGATTTAATGAGAATTAATGGTATAACGGGATATAATGAATACTTGAGTTGACCAGCCAACATTACTCGAAATATGGTGGTTTAATGCAGATATGATGCGGGACTTGATTGTAATTAGGTGGTACTCAATGGTGATATTACAGCCAGCAATCTATGGTGGATTTAACCAACTGCTTGATGGGGATTGAATATCTAATCATCAAATATACGTAGGTATTTTAGCATCAACAGTAGGGACTTTACCTACCAAAGAAGAATAGATATGGTATGGTATGTGTGTGTGTGTCCATGTGTGTCCAAAAAGAAAGTATACCCCAAGCAGCAATTTTAATAGGACAGCGTATCCTACCCATTTCAAGAAACCCTTAATATGGGGATCATATATCATATGCGCCATGGACAAAGTTCGTATATGCCAGAGTGGGTGGTGGTATGACAATCCCCCAATACACTTTTTCTTTCAATTGGGGCAGTCAGGGACTTTGGATGTTCGAGCGACGCTGACAAACCCCTCGGCAAGCTGCTGGCCTTTGGATGGGCCGATCTTCGAAAACAACGTCAATGAACCTTGCTGTGGGATGTGACCAAGATACCAAGAAAAAATGGGAATGCAAAGCAACGATGTTTTTTTATTGCAGCCAATCTGTAGGTAGCTAGGTGTGAATATACCCAAGTCAAGTGGGAGAACTCCATGAGGTGGGGACTGGTGATTACTCGTGCTTTGAGTCAGTAAAACCTCCCGGGGTCCACATCCAATTACTGCTGATATGACCGTAGCCGTGGAGCGAGATTCTACAGATAGCTTCACTTCTATCCACAAATATATTTGTCTTTTGTAAAGGGCTGCAACTAACCATCACATAGCGAATGACTCGGGTCATTGATCACAGCGCACCCTTTTCGTTTGCCAATCTTCGTCAAATTCAAAGGATAAGACCATCAGCAACTAAGTAGATCCTAAAAACATACAGCCCGGGAAAAAAGAAAACAGGGGCAGCTCTAGCATACCATTTAGAATTGGAGTTAACCCTCGACTAACCAACCAAAAGGCCAGAACACTTATGCCACATAGATGTGGGTTGCCACTTTCGTAGCCTAGATATTCACATCAAAGCAGCTAATAAACTCATATTCTTCCACCCAATATATATATATATCCAAAAATTGTTTATCCCCGTAGTATCAAATACCCCCCCAGACGAAACCCTGGCTTAGTATTGGATCTATTTTTTAGTGTGATGTTACAACTCACTTACTATATATTAAAAATTGAAAAGGGGAAGCTACTTGGATAGTAAGTGAATTGGAACACCAGTTGACAAACCCTATATATATACTTGCCCTACTTGTAACTGGGCGTGTAACCCACTTTCCAACCGGTGGTGAACCACCTCATACCCAGATCCGCTGGCTCCCAGAAAACGAAGCAGCAACTCACTGGGCTGCCGGCCAGCAAAGGACATCATAGGCCAAGCGGACCTTGGGGAGGCCATTTCAGGCCATTTCAAACGAGGCAAACACGATACCACGACGTCGATTCATAGGGGGGTTTAACAGTTTAACTCCATCCCCAACAATTATGGGTATAACTTTAAGAAATAACTGGGATACAAAAGGCATATCAAGGACATATTGGGATGTGGAAACCGGTATGACTAATATGACTCTGTCTGAAAGTGGGGGTCGACCCGACCCAGAAGTTATGGCCAGTTAATTACCCAGGGAAAATAATGTGTTTAAAATCTGAATTGTTGTTTTTTCACCTTACTTTTCAGACAAAACTATATAATATTTGTTTTGGCATCAGACCTGTGACTTGGGGGTGGGGTCTGAGATGGGACAATTTCAAACTCTGCTTTGAATAAAGAAAAACTGAAAAATATCACTTTGCACCAATGTTGCAAAACCTTTTGTCAACTTTTCAAGAAGCAACAGAAACAAATCTACCGCTGGGCTCAACAAACCACAAAAATCACAGGGCTCAGCTTCAATCTCCCCAAAGCATGTTCATTGGTGTTAAACAGTTGAACCATGTAAATATGTTTCGTCAAACCTTCATTTGCTCAGTTTTGGTCATTTCTTAGTTATAACTGGTTATAAATGGGATTATATAACCTATATTTATTAAATAAATGGGGTTATAAGTTATAAGGACTTAACTGTTAGTGTTTTTGGGGATTATAAATGACGTTAGTGTTTTAAAATGGTGTTATAAATGACAGTTAATAAATGGTATTAAAAAACCATAACTGTTGGTGTTTTTTCACCCCCGAAACTGCCTGAAATCGAACAGCAGCCAGCCATCTCCTCCAAGGCAGCCATCTGGGTTCCCCGGGCCGGTGGCGGGGTGGGCACCTGAGGTCGCGCTTCTTCCCGATCCTTCACGGCCTGGAAGCCATGCCAAGGCGCTAGGCTTGGAACGCTGGAGATGGCTTCCAGTGGGAGATTATTTAGTAGCAATTGATAATGGACAGTAACAATTGTTTTTGGACTTTGGATATGGATTGATATACATATATATATAATTATATATGTATTATACATATATATATATATGTAGGGATATATGGAGATCGATGGTGTAATTCAAAGTTTAGCCCATGAAAATACAAGGGAATTAGATTCAAGTTTGTAAACATATCGGAAATGTGTATGCCGTTCTCCTGGCAGATATGGGACATGTTACTGGGACAAAAATGTGGGATTAATCAACTGACGCTGGTATTTTATGTGTGCAAGCAGCTCTATATATATATAATAATATCTACCATCAATTCCAAGGAATTATCATAAATAAATGTTTCCCATTCAAATTAATTCACATTTTATTTTTTTATATACCCCATTCTTGGACCAACCCGGGTATCGAGAAATCCGAAAGGAAGTAGAATCTAATCCAATCCATCTGACGATGATAAGCATTGTTATTACAATCAACATGAAATAACACCAATGATTCTAGAAAGAGTACTAATCATGATCACGGATAAAGGGTGTTGTTAATGTACTTCCAAGCCATTCATAGCTTGTAATCTTAGAGACCCTGCCTCTAAAAACAATTAAGCTAGTTCTTCTATTCCCAAGGTTTTCGCAGTGTCTATAGTAGCAGTAACTTGATATCAATCATTGCCATGTATAGCCAAACTCAATCCACCATATGGTATGACTCGAAACTATGGCTGCACTCCCTCAATACTACATGGTTACCCTCTGGTAATTCAACATAGCTATTGAAAATGGCCATTTGGTTCGTGGATTGTCCCATTAAAAATTGCAATTTTCAATAGCTACTTTGACATTACCAGAGGGTAAAACAAAGATGCCCAAATTTATGGCTTCAAACAGCTCGCACCCACTTCGGCGTTGGAATCGACAAGTCCACTGAATCTGAGAGAGTCTCAACAGCACTGCGATATAACATCCATTTGACTTTGGCTGAAAAGTCAGGAAGATGCTATAGTAAGCTATGGCTATATTATGCTATATGATATATATATATATTATTTATATATATATATATATTCAAAGGTGATACTCCCGATACTCCCTCTGAACCCCGAAACAGAAACCATGGTCATGTCTCATTGTTTTCCACATCTGCAACTGGCATCGCACCACGGTGCCACGGCATTCGCCGCCTGGTTGCTGAGCCTCAAGGAATCCACGTAGCGCGGCATGCGCCGCAGCGCCGAGCCGCGGAACTTGGCGGCGCGCAGCAACATCCTGCGGATCGGGCGCCCGGGCATGGCTACCATGTGGCGCCCCACGGTTACGTTAACGTTGGTTTATAAAGCCCAATACTGTCATACTACAGTTATGGCCATTTATCAGTTCTAAGTACTAAGAAAACCCCATTTATAGAATGTATAATCCCATAGAAATAACCACTTATAACCGGTAAATGGCCATAACTGTATAGTATTTAAGTATCATAAACCATAAACCATAGTCATTGAAGTTATAAATAAACCAACTTAGCTATTGTTTGGGGGCCCCACATTGTATGTAAGGTAATATCACATAATATCACCATGCTTTTTTGTGGCCTTATATGATACACGATCGTCTCTTTTAGGATCCTAAAAAAATCCATCAAACATGGGGATTACATGGGACATCAATGGGATAAACAAATACGACATATGCGGGTTTTAGTATGTTTTAATGGGATACTACGGGAAATATGCCCAACAATATGACACTTCGATGTGTGATTGAAAAGAATGTTACAACGATGTCAAGCGATTTTGGGTGATCCAATAAGGGATCCGAAGATTTGGTGCAAAAAAAACATGAATTTATATGGAAGATTATGGAAGTATTTATTGTGATTTATTGTGATTTCTTGTGATTTCTTGTGATTTCTTGTGATTTATTGTGATTTCTTGTGATTTATTGTGATTTATCGTGATTTAGTATGATTTCATGAGAACTCATGAGTTTAGTCGTCTCTACATGTGAATTTTGACAATCGAAACATCACCAGCCAAAAGAATTGAGTTTGGTGTGTCTCAACAAATCTGAAAATGGCAAAAAAAACATCTTTAATTGTGATGCTTGTGATAAACCATCAAATTCAATGAGGGGGTACCATATCTTCAGACAAACCCACTTGGATGCTGAAAGTTGGTCCTAGTATTCTAGTAGCCCAAAAAAATGATGCAAAAACTGGTTGAATCCATCTTGAAAGAGATACTAGTGACTTTTGACTATATATATAATATAATATAATAAAATATAATATAATATAATATACTATAATATAATATTTTTTTTTTGAGGTCATACATCGCTGATTTGTGGCAACCGGCTTCTACGTTAGTCTGTTACAAACCATCTACAGTAGTTGAATCATGTGGAGTCTCAACTCAGCAAACCAAGGAAATGACAAGTGGAGTGAACTTGCCACAATGATGAACCCAGCCGGTAGGTGAGATTACGACTAGAATAACTATTGCTAACTAGGGTTGGGCTTGGCATAGCTCTGGCACATCTCTGTCCTGGATCACATTTTGAAGGGGCCTACAATTCCGATCAAACTTTTGCGGAGTGGACATAAGCTCTGTCGAGTTCAGGTAGAAGCGCTGTCTGGTGGAGATGGTGGGGATGAGAAATCCAAGCTCAGGTCCTCCACTCATCATCTTATATCATTTTTGGCTGCTTAAACACCCATATCGTCCCCATCTGAGCCACCAAAGGTACCCCTATCCCTATCCCATCCCATCAAAAACTCGTTTGTTTTCGCACATATTCGTGTTATGGGTTATACATGGTTACATTGTCTGGTTGGTGGTTTCAACCCCTCTGAAAAGTATTAGTCAGTTGGGATGATTATTCCCAATATATGGAACAATAAAAATCTTCCAAACCACCAACCAGTTGTTTATAGGCCCCCAAGAAGCCAGTGTAACCCTACTCCCCAAGAGAGATGCATTTTGGCCCAAACCCAAACTTCCCCTGTCCTCCACTCAGCCTTAAAGTTGGACATAGCCAAGTCCCAGCCACTCATGGGCCGAGGGGGCCGCAGCCGTTGGGACATGCCAGGGCCCTCCTGGAGGCTGGAGAAGGTCCGTTGGCAACGACCAAGGTGGAGGTCACCCAGCAAAATGGCAACGACCAAGGGACAAAAACGCTGAACACCTTGGGATATTTGTGGATATTTGTTGATTGAAGTCACAAATCATGGTGATTTTAAGCCAGAAACAACCGTGGGATATTTGGACATTTCCTAAAAAACATGCAACCCGCTTTAAGCCAGTACAAATCCTGGTTGAACCCGTCCCAAATGGGGGACCTCCAACACTTGCGGGCAACTCCGGTGCCTTCTGCCGGCCGGGGAAGGTGGCGGAGGGCACGAAGAAACTGGGCCGCGTCGACGTGTTGTCGCCATCGCCGGGGGACGGAACTTCCTCCCCCTTCTTGGTGGGATCCTGGAGAGGTCGCAGGCCGGATATGACGTCAGGATATTCTCAGGATCATCTCGAACATGAAACAACATTGGACACCAACAACCAATATAGGTTCATCATGGTGGTTGGATATCAACAATTGGCAACACTTACTTATTAATATCTTCACAATTCTTTTGTAGATACTACTGTGCACACCTGTACACGTAAAATGGGAAACACACAGAAAATGTTGGGATGTATGTTCGTGTTTGAGGAACATGTCTGTTGCTACAGAGTCTTTGGTAATGATTACATGTTCATTGAATTTATGGTTTAAAAAAAATGCTGACTCAAAGGTTTATACCCATTCTATTTAAGAGCGGGTGATGGTGATTCAGTGATGGACCATGGCTATTTCCCGCAAGTGAGCATGTTCATTTTGCCATTCGCAGCGACAGTGACTTTGTGGAGATTCATTGGTCACAAGTTGTGACGAAGAATTCATGGTGCTTCAATGTCGCAAAAGGTCCATCCTTCCATGAGCAGTTGATGACATACCCTCAGGTAAACGTTTACATAGCGAACTGGAAAATCACCATGCTATTCATGGGTAAATCAACGAACTAAATTGCAATTTTCAATAGCTATGTAACAAATTACCAGAGGGTAGATCAGGGTCAAAATACTGAGAGTTTCCATGAGATCCATGAGTTGAATATGAACAAATGACCACACTGTTTGATGATTGATGTCATCAGCAATTTAGACTCTGATCTGGGTTGCCCCCTCTGAACACTTCTGAACTGCATTGAAGCATCGTAGCTGAGACGAGAAAGAGAAACGCAATCTGATTTGGGTTGCGGATAGCATTCCAATTGGTTCAAATGCGAAACATTTATTGATACTCTGATACACACGAAACATCATGGATCATCATGGATCATTTAGTTTCTCCAAAAGATGTAGGCATGGGCCAACATGGAAAATATACTTGATATTTCATCTCAATTAGCGTTGTAGCATTTTAATGGCTTGTCTGAAAATGGGCTATACCATATACCCCCATTGCAGCTTGCAGCTTGCATTTTAATGGGAAGAAATGATGGTAAACCGTGAAATTGGGGTACTGGGCTATGCTGGAATTCCGAGCTGTGGCTGGGCGCTTCGGAGTGTTTCGTGTCCATGTTTCCATAGCCATTACAGGATGGTGCCCCCCAGTTATAATATAAGTTGATTTATAAACCCCATTGACTATAGATATATCACCTATAAACCATAGTTATTGGAGTTATAAACCAACTTAGCTATGTTGGGGGCACCACCTTGTACATCCCTTTAAACAAAAACACAGGAGCGTAGTGACATGAAGAAACTCTCAAAAGTCCTACCCGACCACAGCCATGTCCACAACCCGTGCCCACAACCCGTGGTGCCAAGAATCACCATGATGAGTTCTTACGGACACCACCGGCATAACTTGCCCAACATTTGACCCCTCACTTCAAGCTGTACATGACTCCAGAAGCGAGTGTCTATTCAAGTCGCCAAGAGCGACAGATACAGAACTTGAGATGGGGACTGCGCAGTGAGACCTATCAAATGCCCCTCAAAATAGATGATTCCATCAACGGATCGGAAATACACATCAACTAAATCAACCAACACATACTGATACAATCATCATCAAACATTCAACATCACATCAGTGCTTTACTTCCCCTGGAGTTGATGGTGTCAGGCATTTCTTCGGGTAACTGGTGGGATGACACTGGATTTTGGGCATTGGGAAAATAGATGCCGTCACTTTGGAGCATCGTGTCACGTATTTTTGGTAAATATATGGTCTTGGATGGTGCTTAGACAAATTCCAAACGGGATTATTCCACTAACTTATCGCAGTCCCCTTTTTACCGCCTGCCCTCCCGTGTCCCATCGTCACACTGTTCGCTGTGACGACGGTGATGAGGCAGGCGAGGCTTGAAGCGATGAGGCAGGCGTCTTGTGACGTCTCTCACGATTGTGGGCTGCCTTGGGTGGACATCTCCAAGATATGAACCATGTCACTTGAGGGATATGGGATGCGAGCGTTTGTACTCCAATAGAGGATATGTATAATATAATCGACTACTTATATTGATGTATAATAATATAATATGTAAAATAAAATCCAATAGATGATATGTATAATATCATCGACTAGTAGACTACTTATATTGATGTGTCCGATTGTATAACATGTTGTTGCTTATTCCCCCATGTTGAAACAATCAACCATTACATGTTTGGGTACCCTATTTTCAGACAGACCCACATAAATCTTGTCAGGTCAATGTTAGGATCACAGTACAGACCAGATCCCAGAGAAGACTGCGGTCAGATTCAAAGTAGGAATAGGTGGGGTATATCGGGTATATCCCCAGCAAAAAAAAATGGATGCCGATCAACCTTTATTTCAGGGCCCAAATGCAAACTCTTGCAGCTAAACTGGTAATTGGATGATGCTTGGGGGAAGTGGATGTACATATACATACTTTAATATAAGCGAACATATGATACGTGGAAAATCTAGGCAATATGTTTACATTTGCATACTGCTTCTGAACAATTTACAAAGTTTATGGCTGACGGTAAAAGGGTTGTGCAAGGGAGATCCAATTTTGAGGAGAGACCACCCAGGTATCCAAATCCAACAAAACAAACAATATTCCTATTGTGGGGCTGTACAGAACATACACTTGTTTAGGTGTCTTGTTGGGTCCGCAAATTTAGGATATCAACATATTGGCGGACAACTTTCTGAAGGGAAAGAACATGTCACATACATGTGTGGTTTTAAAAACACTATAGCTTTGAAATCCTTATCCAAGAAAATGGCCTCAAATAGAAACTATGCCCAGTGACGCGCGCAGCAAGGCCTTGAAAGTGGCGGCGCGGGTAGAAGCAACTCTACAAGGTGTGCGGACCAGAAGAGCGATCGTTCGTAGGTATAAGTTACCAGTAAACATGATGATTTAATACAATGTGGGTCCCCACAAGATAGCTAAGTTGGTTTACAACTTCAGTAGCTATGGTTTATGATACCTATAGCTATAGTTAATGGGGTTTATAAAGCCACTTGCATCTCGGGGGCCCAGATTGTCGGATTTAATTAATTCTACTGTAATGGGATCTAATGGGATGTTGTTGGCTAAGTTGGTTTACAACTAGAGTAATTGTTGGGTAATGGTAATGACTAGATTTAAATAGGATGTAATCACAAACCAACTAGGGGCCATGGCCTTGTTGCAGGTCATAAAAAGTGAAATGCTAACGGTGTTTCATGGGACTTAACCAGCAAACAAATGTATGTTAACTGGTTTGAACCTGGTGATTTAAGATGCTTTAAGAGCAGGTCGTAGAAGTAAGAACAATGTTCTTCAAGACATGAAGAATTCAAAAGATGGTTCATTGAGATACGATTTATAGTGTACATGTGTAGAATATCTATATGCATATAATATGATAAAATGACATAGAAACAAATGATACCACCGGATGTCATCATGTAAACTGCATTGCATTCTGCTGGATTATTTGTGGAGTCTACTGACCCATTGAGCTATCGAGTCATCGCAATTCCAGGTGTAAAAAACACGAGTTTCAATGCTAGATGGGAACTTAAAACCAAATTTCAGGTGTTCAATCCCTTATTAGATAATGGATTAATGATGTTGTCATTAATGGGATATATTGCCATTAATAATCGGATATACATATATAACTAACTAATGGAATATTCATGGAACTTAAAACTGGAAATTCATTTGCTATTGCAACAATCACTCAGTCCTCCAATGCTAAAGGGCTCAGATTTGGTGGTTTTGAAGCTTCTTGAAGAGATGTCGAGATGACACATTCCTGTATATTTGTCTTGTATGGTAGACTGGTACAATAGACAAAATTACTACCAGCGCTGCATCGTTTCAGCAGGAGACCCAGAACGGCAGAACGGAAACCACATCAAATCATGGATCCCGATGTTGGTAAAGCGTCAAGGCAAACCACCCATATCTTGATGGTTTTTACAACCCATTGGTAAATTTGGGTGATGCTTTATCTGGTTGGTGGTTGAGCCACCCCTCTGAAAAATATGAATTCGTCAGTCGCGGTTACTATTCTCAAAAATTATATATATATATGGAAAAATAAAAACTGTTCCCAACCACCAATCAGGTTAGATAGTATAATTCCCCAACTAATCATCAATCAACTATCATTTACCAATGATATCCCTTTGCTAACATAAGTTGCTTTGGTTGAACATGTCAAATCCAATCCTCGGGCCTTCCAGTCCCATGGGTTGGCTCCCCCACTGCCACTGACGCCCCGGCGAAACTCTTCCTGCCCACCTGTGGCCGGGCTGGGTGTCCCCGCTCAACAACTGCAAGATGGGTGTCCCCTAGTTGCAAATTGGCTTATATACCATCTGCTCATCAAATATAATGAAATAGATAGGTTTGTATGAACATGGAATACCTCTAACTCTAGGAAATCATGAAGCTTCATGTTTCCAATTCCTTGATGGCCAAACTACCCATGTTCTTCGCATTTGTTTTGGCAGCCACTCCAGGACCTTGCTGCAGCGTTTTTGTATCCGATACCCAACTGGTGGTTTCCTCAAACAAAGCCCACACCATCGGTCCAGAGATTCAGCCACTAAGTTGTTGGGGTCGGTCCGAAGTCACGAAACCTGAACTGGTTGGTGGTTTCAACCAACCCCTCTGAAAAATCATGGAGTTCGTCAGTTGGGGTTATGAAATTCCCAACTGTTTCTGGAAAGTCATAATCCATCCATGTTCCAGTCACCACCAAGCAGTGAAAAAAACACACACCAAAACCCCGGTGGGGCCTGGCGAACTTTGTGGTGACTGCCTCAGAAAAAGTGGCGGAAGTTGCTTCTTTTCAGCCGGCTCTTCAGGGCTCTTCCGCTGATTCTTCTGTGAAACACAAATGAATGGCCAGGACTTCAAGCAAAATCAATCGCTGGTTGGTGGTTGACCTACTCCTCTGAAAAAATGATGGAGTTCGCCAGTTGGGATGATGAAATTCCCAACTGTTTCTGGAAAAAAAAACATAAAAATCAGGTTCCAAAGCACATTTTCCAGATCGAAATCATCAACACCGGCGCCCGCCCCAGAGTTCCAATTCACCAAGCCACGTTCCAATCACCGCCAATGCCTTGGCTCATGGCGATCCAGTGGGGCCCTGACACTCCAAACCCATGTAGGAAAATGGTGATTTCACTAGAGAAATTGGGATTTCATGGGACTTATAGCTGATTTATGATGGTTAGGTCAGTTGAAATCACTCCACTTTCACTGTGGTTTATGATCATACTAATAACTTATAATCTATAAACTATAGTATTCATGGGGCTTAGAAGCTAGCCTATAACTTTGGGGGGCGACATTGTAGGTGGTAGGCCCGTACTTCAAACAGGGTAAATGATGATACATGATTTCTGATCATTCAGAATTCAGAATGTACATCTATATATATATATATATGTATTTTAAGCTACATTAGTTGATTGGTGGACTTATTCAATAAACAATCCCACAGTTGGAATGATTCATCTGCATTATTGCCATGATTTGTTTGCTGCAGCGACACTCCAGTTGTCAAAAATTGTCAAATATGGTCATGGAAAACTACCAAATTATATCAGATGACTTTGGTGTGGTAGGCAGGGTAAATGGCTATGACTTACTGGTGCTTAGCAGGGAATGAGGGAATGATCCATAATCACTAGAGTAGCTATAATCATCCCATTCCCCCATTTCCATCCATTCCCTACTAAGCACCAGTAAGATGACCCCCAGGGTTTCCAACAAGAACCAGGATGAGACCAGCTGACATTTCCTTTCTGTTGAAACCCTGAGATATACCCGGCCTGGTAAACGTTTACAAAAAGCTATTGTTTAAATGGCCATAGAAATAGTGGTTTTACCCAGCTATAAAATGGTGGTTTTCCATAGTTATGTTAAAGTTTACCAGAGGGTATATGTAATTCTGGTACATCCCAGGTGTATCTACCATGGCTTAACTGAAGAAATACCATGAAATGTGGTGCCATGATCTCCACAACCGCCACCATTACCATCAGCAAAACCGCTAGCAGCACCGACACCATCCCTTGCTCTCAATGGCTCCCGACTCCATCGCGGGTGTGCTTCACCAAGGAGGTAAGGCCGGAGGTCACGCCCGACGTTACATCCTGCTGGCTTCGGCCCACTTCAAAGAAACATCTATAGCCATTTGAGCTGCTATTTGCCTGAAGATCAAAGTAAACAACTGTTTGCTCAGGTCACGTGTATACATATTCAATTATGTACTATGTTTTTTAATACATTGTGAAGATTGATACACTTGCCCACACTTCACCACGTTCTCCTCCACCAGGTCAACCTCGTTGCGGGTCAAAACATGGCTAGAGGGAGATGGGTCCTGAGATATTATGACAATTTAGTAAAGCAGCTGCAGAAATAAGGTCATATATGTATAATATAATATATATATATATGATATAATGTGTATATATATATATAAATATGTATATACATACAGGTGATCTACATATTGGTTATATCTAGATCAGCATATATACACTCAGTCTATGGAACTGACTGGACCAAACGTTTTTCGAAGCATAAAAAAACCTATGTTGAACATGTACACACTAATTACTTGTATTTACCAATTAGTGCGGCTCCAAACATGCATAGTCATCATCATTTTCTTTGCAAGGCAGGCCACTTGTTGAAGACAGCTAATGTTTTTAACCCTAAAACAGGGAAATTCTCCATAGCATTTGTTGGTTGAAATGATTTACAGGTTTACTCAAAGTGATGGTAGCTCATCTGTAACACTCTCCAGCCCACACCAAGTCTCAGACCCCTTTCTGCGCAATCGCCTGGGTGGAATCCAATGCAAATAGGAACTGGGGTCTGAATTGGAGAAAAAACATATTGATACCCTTGTTATAGTTATATATGTATATGCAATGTTTGTCGAACTATAAAATGTCGACAAGTGGAGGAATCTGTGAGATTTTTTCCAGCTTTAAACCTTGGAGAAGACTGGAGGTGCAAATCATAAGTTGCACAAGTTAGTCGAGGAAGATTCCAACGCATCTGACCAAGCTCTACAATGACAGTGAATCCTGCAGTAAATCTACAACCAAATGTGTCAAGTTCCGACGCAGGTCCAGAGATTGCAAAGATTTAAGACATATTTCGGAAAAATCAAGCCCCGAGTTTGGAGACTTCCTGCTACCGCTACTTCTGAATAGTCATTGTAATTCAATGTATCATCCCCCGCAACTCCTGAAGCTAGCTCCAGCTATGTATAAGCAGTATAACTTAAAACATTGTAACTTTATTGGTACCGGCAATCATATTGTATATTCCTGCTTGAATGATCCTGGACATGGTGATCGCAACTGGCAAATGACCCATGACATTTCATGGATGGATTTTAGAGAATACTGCCTATAATTATATAAATGGAAACCCAAGTATGATAAAGTTCAAATTGGGACATTGAGGTTTTCAACGGAGAAATACGGTGTAATATCAGGATCTTGTGTACCCTATTTCAGCAAAAATGAGGGATAGGATGTACTGGGAACATGGTGGAATTTAGCAACAAACATGGGCATATACTAGGATATTTATATATATATATGATGTATATTATTGTATATTCTGAACCAATCTGATGTAACCAAAAGAAACGGGGTTGCCCTACTTCTGGAACATATAACATATATGAAACTGATCATGAATCAGCAATGTTCAGTAAATATCATTGAATGATCATTTAGAATGATTGCACCATCAAATAATACAATACATATATATATATATATTATATATGATCATAAACCGCGAAGTTTTGGGGATTCCCAATTGCTTCAAATTACTTGTTGCACGCAGAGTGTGGAAGCAGCGCAGCTCGCAGTTCGCGCCTGAATGGTAGTCGGCCTGCCTTTCAGCTCCACCTTTTCCATCGTGAAGGGAGGGTGGGTTGATGGGAGGAAAGGGCTGAGAAGGGAACATGCTTGGTGGTTCATCCTAGACTTAGATATATTTAGTGAGTAGGTCATAACAACAGATATAAGTTATAAGTGAACTATATAGCCCTACTTAGCCCATTTATGATCAGGGTAATGATACACGAACTAAGTGCCACCGCCAGGCGCCCAAAGACTGATAAGTATGAACCAATGCACAAATCATCCCTTGAGAAGGGCAGAATCAAATCAATGTACTAGTATTGTATAAATAATACTATATTGACTATATTATACTATTTGAATGAAAATCAACTACCCGCATGTTTCCTTTTAGACGTAAACATAGATGTAAATTGCATGCTGAATACTTTACATGGACTGCTTGGGATTGTATGTGAAGCTTTGATCCCCAAATAGTCGCACAATCTGAGACCTTCGGGTCAAAATCATGACCATATGATAATATGGACCATACATATATGCTGGAATAGTGCATACCCCATGTGCTACCATACAATGGGAAATCAAAGTATTGGAAAATGATCGATAATGATAGTAGATGTGGTTGCTTCATACCAGAATTGCGTCAAATAGTACCAATGATAAAACATAATAGTATACACATAATACAGGTAATTATAGTACATCAAAAGAGACTTAGTTGAGTTTTGCACGTCGTGATGACATCTCGTGACGGCGCTTTTTCGGGTTACGCCTCTTTCCTTAGTTCTGCGTGAGCTTCACCCATGACCTGTGCAGGGTATGGGTCAAGAATGGAGCTCCAATGGAGCCACACAAAAAAAAATAGTGACCATTTTTTTGGGGTTGGTGGTTGACCTACCCCTCTCAAAAATGATGGAGTTCGTCAATGGGGTTGGGATGACATCCCATATATGAAATGAAAAAAACATGTTCCAAACCACCAGCTCAGTGAATCGGAAGGAAGCATTGCTGGGGTTGTAGCACCGGACTTGGTTTACAACTAGGAGACATTGGTGAAGCGTGCCCCTGGCAACCCGAGGGCACGCCTTGTGGATGTGTATCCTCAGATCCCTTGAGAAAATCATCACCCATGAAAATTGCTATTTGGGGTACATCGACTGGTTGGTGGTTTGAACCTACCCCTCTGAAACATATGACTTCGTCAGTTGGGATGATGACATTCCCAACTGTTTCTGGAAAGTCATAAAAATCCATGGTTCCAAAGCACCAACCAGTCTATATATCTAGCTTTTTCAGGAACACGCTACATGGAGTCACTTCTGCAATAATGGAGTCACTGTAGGCTTCAGGGGATAGAACCTCTGTGCGCACAGCAAAGAAAAACTCACAGAATATGGGCACAAGCAAGAAGAATCAATCAAACATCTGCTGATCTATATGGGTTTCCTAAGATGGAACCCAAGAATCATCAATTTTTAATCTCGTTTCGGGTATAACACGCACAAATGGGATCAAATGGGTAAAATTCCACATGCATAGACCTGACATTTGAAGTTGCCAGCAATGATGAACCAAAACCCAAAGGTACAAAAAAAACACAACCTGAAGTGACTGGTTGACTTAGCTCAAGATGCCTCAGTGGGCAAGGTGGTTAATGTTTTGGGCACCTTTGCCGTTGGATTCTACACCTACACCTGAAACCACCAACAGCCATTTGTGCTATACCGCCATGTTGCCACATGTGTGGAGGCAGAAAATATATGAAAATAGTGTGTTTTTTTCTCGCTTGCACGGTCCCTAGTTGCTTGATGATTGTAGGGAGTTATACTTCCCAATACATGCGGGATGATCAAAATCTATCAAAATCTATTAATTATAGGAATTCCTACCAAAACTGGATCCTTACAAAGATATTCAACTATATTCAACTGGGTTTTGATACTGCTCACCCGTGTTGGTCCAGCCTTCCGCACATTTGACGCAAAGACCAGGGGATCCGCCTTTTCCTCCTGCAGCACAGGGGTGAGCATTGAGGAAGGCTCCAAATTCATGCAAGCCTTTCTGGTCAAAAAAAACATGAAAACACAAAACAATCGTAGTTTATAAAACTTAAAACGGAATGCAGCCAGCAAAATCAATTTCTCGGAAGAATCAAAAACAAAGTGCAGATACTTGATTGGTTGCATTGGGGACCCCTAGTTCAATCTTGTTGTTTCTTGTCAGCAAGTTCCCACCCTGGTGATAGACATATTTCAGACCCGATCATGAATCAATCCTGCGAGTTTCAGGAAAAATACTTATCACAAATGATTTGGACATTTTGACTACTAAGCCATCCAACTGCAAGGGGCAATCAATATTCAGAGAGAGAGAGAGAGAAGCATTGTGAGTTGTGACTTGTTAAAAAAACATAACTACCAACTGGGTATGAAACAACCGAACAACCCAAAGCTTATCTGTCACACTGTCATACCCCAAAAGATCCCAAAAGATCCCTTAAAAGCAATGGATTTATGTGTTTTTTTTTATACTTTTTTACCATGTCCAAAAACAGAACATGTCGAACATTGGGAACTGAACAAACCAGCCGGCACAAAAATCCTTACATATCCTTACATGCCCCAAATCCATCGAAATCCATATATTGTTTCCTCACTAAACCAACCACCCAACCTCCGAGGGGACATAGGGAGGCAGCACTCGGATCTGCACCGAATGCATCATGTGACCCAAAAACCTGAGGGGCAGGCCAGGTCGAACAAGAAAGGCCTTTGTGGAGCAGTCCTGTTGTCAAGGTAAGTATAAGCTATCCACCTTGGAAACAAACCCAAGGGTAATCTTCAATACACTGCAAGGTTCTGGTGCTATGTTACCACTCAGTACTTCATCCATCATCAACCCTAGTTTAATTCATTTGTGAAGAAAGGTATGTGTCTAGTGAATCCCCACCTTGTGGCAATCAGAACCTCCGCAGCATGAGCAAAGACATGGTTATAATCCCTATTCCCTATTCTGCTGAACAGGACATACCCTCAAAACATGTGGGTGACAAATCACAGTTACCTCAAGCAATAATGGAGGATGAGAGCCAGTCCAAGGTTGGGTACCAATGGACCTCCAAAAAATGTTATGTATATGCTTGGGTGCACAAACATACGCACAGGAACTTGATCACAATCCAAAAAACAGTGTGATTGTTCCTTGTTTTTAATTTTCTATTAACCACGATTCCTGGGATGAAGTAGGGGACCCATATGTGCCATGGTCAAAACATTGCAACAATCTTTTACGCACATCCAAAAACGAAAATCCATGGCCACCATGGGCGGCCCTTTTTTGAGACCGTGTGAACATGGATTGATGACCATCCCCCACCATGGATATGGTACCCTCTGGTAAACTAACATAGCTATTGAAAATTGCCATTTATAGTTGATTTATCCATTAAAAATGGTGATTTTCCATAGTTATGTTAGTTTACTAGAGGGTATATTGACCATGGCACAAAAAAAAAACGCAGAACTAACGCCTCTTGGAGGTCTGGCACGACATCCAAGACACTGCTCGGCCCATTCGGTATCTTCGATCGCCTGAAAAAAACGCTCGGATCGGAGGATCATCACCCCATCGTTCGATGGCCCGAACTGAGGCGTTTTTTGGCACAGTTTCTACATCCAAATCGTCTTGAATTGATGAATCATGTGGTGATCTGGTTGGTGGTGCAATAACCATCTTGAAAAATGATGGAGTTAAAGTCAATGGGGTTGGGATGACATCCCATATATGATGGAAAATAAAATTCATGTTCCAAACCAACCAGAATAAAAAATAGGTTCTGGTTGTGATCCATACACAAATGAATTTTGATTGCTCTGAAAAATCACTGACGCAATGATTTCATGGGCAATCTTCGAAGGTTCGAACATGCATGTCTTTTGCAGCTGATGTAGGTACTAAGCATTGTCAAAGTATGAAACAAAAGAACTGTGGGTATGTATATTTTTGGGAACCTTGGGGCAAATTTCATCACTGCTGTACCCATGAGCATGTTCGTAGGGCATCGATACAAAAACATATCCCAGAAGATGCCCCAGTGTATGTTCCTGGCCCAGACTTCAATCATGGACTTATCTTTTGACTCTGGCATGTTATAGGAAAGACACCATATTTTTTTCCGGGTTTAAAACAATGTGTCTGATTCACTTGTTGCCAGCAGTGAACTTGCTTTCTTACTTGTTCGAAGGAGCATTGCAATTTCAATATTTCAAACAGCATTCAAAAAGAACAATAACGTCAAAAAACAGTACTTGAAGTAATCGAAGATTTGGGCTGGATGTCCAGCTAATTAATAAGGATGTAACCAGCCTAAAACTGAATTGTGGATATCATCTTGGACAAAAATGACCAACCTATCCATGTCGATCGTCCCATCAACGTGCCATCGCGCCTGGATCTTGCCATCTGTTTCTCGGTAGCTCGTGTTGGCAGGGTCCCAACTACCAGTGTAACATAGCACCTCGACAGGGCTGCAGCCATATCAAGACATTTGCATGGGAAACATCTAATGCACCCATAACAGTTGAGGACACTAGGTATCACTAGGTGTCAAGTGTCACCATTCAATCCCAATCTTAAGCAGTCAAATGCCGCCTTAAGGACTCTGTGACCCAGCGCCTCGCAAAATTGGTGCACCATATCTAACTTAAGTTAAGTTTGTATATATAGATTCATTGCTGGGTTTGTGGCTTTACTATATGTCTATATATATATAAATATACAATATTATACTGGTTGGTGGTTTCAACCCCTCTGAAAAATGATGGAGTTCGTCAGTTGGGATGATGAAATTCCTAAGTGTTTCTGGAAAGTCATACAACAATATATATATATATATATAACATGTTTCCAAACATTTCCCACCAGCTATATTAATAAACATATGGGTTTTGTAAACCAACTCAGATCATGTTGGGATGCACCACCTTGAACCAAGTCGCTGCTGGACGGACGGGCACCCCGGGCACAAAGGCGCCTTTGCGAAACCTCGCGGTGGAAGTGAGTGAAAAAATAGTGGTTTGGGCATCTCAATGGGAATCATTAGGTTGGCTTCAAGTAATAACATGATTTGACTAAAAATCGGGTTTGGGAATCTAGTAGCTTAGTATGGTTTGGGAATCTAGTTCAATCTACCATCTGGTAATTTAACAGTTCGCCATGGAAAGATCCACCCATTTTCAATAGGTAAACCATCTATTTCTATGGGCCATCTATACCATGGCTATGTTAAATAACCAGAGGGTATATAGAATGTAGTTATAGGCATTATTTGAAATATTTGATTAAAATCAGACTATATAGAATTTGAATTGGGCAAACATTTGTTAATGTGATAAAACCAATGCAATGCCATAAACCACCTCCAATTTACCCAGCACCGCAAGAGAGGGTTTTTATTTTGGGGTTACGGTATACCTGATCGTAAGAGAACACAGCCTTCAAAATGCTGCTGTAGCTTTAAAGTGTAGGGCGCCTTCATTTTTAGGCGGCACCAAGCACAAATCTTGGTTTGGAAGCTGCGTCTAACATGGGCCATGGCATTTTTTGGGGGTTCCATTGCTTGTGTTCAAGAACGTGTTTGGTGGTTGGTGACTGAGCATATTCAATGTCTACAACGACCGGCAGCTTGTTGATGCATTCTATGTAAACATTTCTGTGGCAGCATGTCCTTATCAAACAGGAAGTCACAACACTTCTGGTTGGTGGTATGCCTACTACCTCTCTGAAAAATATGAAAGAGTTCGTCACTTGGGTTTTCATGAAATTCCCAATGGAAAGTCATAAAATTATGTATATATATATATAATTCCATGGTTCCAATGGTTCCAATTCCCAACCAATCAGACTTCATAAAAGCAGAGGAAAAGATGGCGGCCAACGGTTCAAAGAACCTGGCCTTAGCTCCACCCCATCAACAGCATCAGACAAGATGGCTGCGTGGATTGTAAATCCTCATAGCGAACTGGTAAACGTTTACAGTTTGCGAACTGGAAAATCAGCATTTTTCATGGGAAAATCACCATGCGATGAATGGGTAAATCACCATGCTATGAATGGGTAAATCAACGAACTAAATGGTACACGTTCAATAGCTCTGTGAAATTAACAGAGGGTAAGGCATATTTTGCCTTGATGTCGAAGGGGCACCCTGTCCATCCCAGTAACAGCTTTAGGAAATACTTCAGCCATCGGCTGGAAAAAACAAGTGACCGGCTGATGCTCCCATTTCGGTGACACTGGAAGATGGAAGAAGCACAGCAAACAAGCGGTTTGCCTCTCTCATAACTGGTCGGTGGTTTTAACCATCTTGAAAATATGAAAGTCACTGGGAAGGATTATCCCATAATTATGGAAAATAAAAAATGTTTGAAACCACCAACCAGATAAATACAGTTTGCTGTGCTTGCAGAAACTGATTTATTCAGTCTACTCAGCCTACTCTTGAATTGATTGTGGATGATGCTTGGCGAACCCAAGATTTGGGTGTGTCACAGTGTCTGAGAATGGCGTATACCAGTATACCCCCAAGTAGCCATTTACATGATGATACACCATTGGATGGAATTGGGTTTTCCGCTAAATCTTTGCACAAACCTATTCAGAATGATGATTCCCGTTGTTTTTCACATAAGTATCGCCATATTACATCATAAATCAGCGATAAATCCCATATTTCTATGGTTTCCTGTGGTTTCATTTACATCCCCATCATTAAAAAAACAAGCAAAGATCTTATGTGGTAAATCCCCAGGATCGGTCTCCGAGGGCCCAGACTCCAATAGTCCTTGGCCATTGCTGGTGGTGCCCTGAACGTGGCGACCGAGGTGCCATAAATCGTTAGTTACTTCCCGTTGACTTTGCGCCCTCAAGATCTATGGATCTACGTTTTTTTCACAAAAATGGATCCAGATATGATTCATTTGCCTTTAACATATTTCAAGGCATACATATCATGGTCCTATTGCTATGTAACTTTATCAACAGGTGGATAAATTCAAGGCTTTGGCAGGAATGATACCACGTCAAAGGTGCCCCCATCTAGATCTGCTCTAGTGGCAGTGGCGAAAAACGCTTTGCACTTTCCAACCATTGCCCATGGGACTCTGGGACCACGATACGCCCATACCGTGCCATTTGGGGATACGCAATTTTGACCCATAAAAAGTGCCCAAATGATACCATACCTGTGCATTAATGTCCTCTTATTAATGGGGATAAGGGAATCACTCCTGTCCATGATATTCATTTCATCCCCTTGTCACCCCATGTCATTCCCTTCGCTGGTGAGAGGACATTAGCCATGAATCATAGCAATCATCGATATGATATGAAATGACCCATCATACATTTCTATTTATACTATAATGACTACTCTTCTTAACTGATAAATCATACGTCCATATCTTCGGCTATATTGTTTTACCCTGATTTTGGTCATTTTTTGGTGCCCTAATTTTGGACATGTTGGGTCATCCCGCAGTCCCAAGACACCCTCACTGAAAGCATCTTGGGATATGTAGATCGACTCCCCAGTTTTCACCAATAGGGTGAATTCGGTGATGATAAACATTGAGAAACCATCAATTTTTGGGTCCAACATTGAGAAACCATCAATTTTTGGGTTTTCCCTCAGTTTTAAGCAAAATTCCAAAATTGATGGTTTATCATTTTATTATCATAGATGGTTATATAATGATTAATGGCCTACCATATCATTTTAATGTTTGATGTCCTATAGTCTATAGTGTTCATAAATTCAAACAAACCAAATATGTTAATACACTTTGACAAACGTTGATACACCATATGATGACTAGTTACCCCCCCTATGCCCCACCCAAAAATAAAAAATACCGCCTCCGGAAAGAGCAGCAGCGGCTGACGCCCCGGTTTCCAGTTTGCCACATGGTCCTGCAGCATGTGGTTTCCCAAGATAAGCAGGTTGGTTTGGAATATTGCAGAAAACAGTTGAACAGTTGACATATGTTGAAATCAACATATAATTTTGTGTCCCCCAGTTAGCTAAGTTAGTTGACATAACTAGATTACCTTTTTATTGGTTTATGGTAATGAAACAGATATAGCTAGATCATGGCTGGAAAGCATGAAAATAAGTTTAGGATCATAATGCATTTTTTGTTGGGTGCAAGTACATATAAATACTTGGAATATCTTGAAACTGCAAAATCATTACTAGATTCATCAGTGAATTCACCAATATCACCCACGTTTTTGGCTCATCCCGGTCTTCAAACCGGGGCTATCTTCAAGTAGCTCATCACAGTCCTCAATGGCCTTGATTGTGGCCTCATCAACACAACAAAACCGGCAAGTGGACCATCTGGATTTGTCTGAAAATATGGTACCTCTAAATCCATTGGTTAATTATCATCATTTCCCCTATTAAAAGTTACCTTTTTGGGGGTATACACCATTTTCAGACAGACCCATCTCATGTTGATGAACCATGGTGAACCTCTGAGACATCCAGGGAACTCATCCAGGCCCCTGGTAACAAAACACCGCCACTGGGGCCCCCAACAGCACGGGATTTGGGGTCAGCACGGTCCACCTGACATTTGGAGATGGCGGATTTTTCTGGCCTACTTCGCCTGAAAAATGATGGACTTCGTCAGTTGGGATGATGACATTCGCAATATATGGAAAAATAAAAAATGTTCCAAACCACCAATCAGCTACTTATTTGATCTTATTTAATTAGTCGCTGAGTAATGTCCTATTCCAATATCTGAATAATATGATTGGGCACCCCAGTTTCCAAGCAGTTATGTAACTCCGTGGCCCATAGAGAAAACGTATACCAACTATTTTAGGATACATGCCATGGCCGCCAACCTATACATGGGGCTACAACGACCCATGACTGAATAGGCCATAGGGGTTGATTCAGTTTACATCCACCAGAAATCTGCGAATCACCACTTGGTAACTTTTTGTTACCATCATTCATCACTGAAAATCATGGGATTCATGGGATTAAATCATCTAATCGGATTCAGTACGTGTATATATATATATATGTATTTGCAATCTATATATATATGTTTTTATATATATATATATCAAATCAACTTAAGCCTTCTATTTTCATCTGTATCATCTATCATATACATACACAATGGGATTAAACCTTTATTCATGGGATGTTTACCATCTACTGCTTCCAGATTCCTACCTCGATGACACCGATGTCCTGCGCGAATAAACCGATGACAGGCACGTTCCTGCCGGAGGACATATTCGGGGCAGCCATGGAGTTAAGTCAATTGAAACACCCATGATCATCACCAATCCCATGTTCTTAGATGGTTAGTAACTGTTAGTATATACATGTCTATACATGTCTAGCAACATACTGAAGCGTTGCAGTATCCATTGGGATCGCTGAGGCAAATACTGGTAGCCCATTATCAGATAAACCCGTCTGGGAGACTAATGATTCCCAGCTCTATATCACATAAAATATCCTCATATATCCTTTTTATATTTATATATATATATCCCTCGTATTATTGGTTTTATGTGGTAAATCCACATATATTCTTCAGGGGTTGGAGAGCTTCATGTTCAGCCAAGGTGCAAAGTGCCCTTCATGGCAATAATCTTTGGACCGTGGAAGACAGAGGCCAAAACCATGCCATCCAGGTAACACCTCGCCGTTCGGTTCGATGGTGGAGATCCCCGGGCGTTAAAAAAAGGTGTAAAATTCTGAGAGATTTTAAGTACCATCATGGAACATGACCAATAATATAGTAGGTAGATCACGAATCTGAATGATTATTCATAATCTATTCTGACATGATACTGAATCTCGCTTCCTAATGTGTTTTACATTGGTAACTATGCATAATAATGAGAGTCACCACAACAATGGAATGATCCATGCTAAGCCAGAACTGGTGTATTAGCGGCCACTGAAACTTGCATAAGGTGTCGGAATAATGGAAACATATGGCATGATATCAATCATGCAACCGCAGTGGAAACACGTGAACTATTGTGACAAAAACGCAATCTCAAATGTTGTAGAAGGTGTCCTCAAGGTAAACTAACGTAGATGAGGAACACCCAGAAGGAACCGTAGATCATGTTCTGAACGCGAAACCATGTGGGTTTTCCACATCGATGTGAGCATTTACTCCAGGGACTCCAGTGAAAAGTCAGGAACGTGAAATGCTTCTGCTAAAAACGTAGAAAATCAAGAGAAAACTCAACTAATGGGGCATATATGGGTATATTATACCCTCTGGTAAATTAACATAGCTATTGAAAATTGCCATTTATAGTGGATTTACCCATTAAAAATAGTGATTTTCCATAGTTATGTTAGTTTACCAGAGGGTATGAGGTTTGCCATCACCAACTTGAAGGTATCCGAAGGCCCAGCATAGTGGCGCCTGTAGATCGCCTAACTCAACTGCCTCGAATCCCTCAAAACTGTGGCCCGCACGTGTGATTGCACAGGATAATAGGAGTTTGCTTTACATCCTGCGAGGAACCGTTGTGATATTGTGATACCAACGCACAACATGACCAAATGAACGGTCAAATCAAGTGCTGGAGTGAAACAATGCCATCCTCCAAATCAGGCAAAAGAAATGGATCCAATGCCAAATCATGGTTTCTAGGGGGTGTTTGATGTTGAATCAATATTCGGTGTAAGGGATTATGTTCATCAACCCAGTGGGGATTGATCGGATTGCTCTTTGCCACCCAGTAGTCTGGTGTGCGCATGGAAAACAAATACCAGATGTAACAGTCTCAGTAAAAAAAATGTTTTATAAAGGAAACAGTTAACAAAACAACTGTTTACTGTTATCCAAAATCTCCATGCTCCAGGCCCTGATGCAAACTTTGCTACCATCTGATCAGAAAGGTCCTCTGGCTTGAAAGCCTCCGTGCCTGACATGTGGCTGGGGAAGAAAGGCCATTGTTCCATGATTTGGATTTAAGATGACTTAAGATAGACCCCTCCAAATATGGATTTTGAAGGCAACTTTCCACTAAACATGAGCTATTCTCCGGGTCTATGCTAGTTGGACCGATTTGGAAGTTTGGAACTTGGAACATATTTTGTTTGTTAACTGTGAGGTACCATGGCCTGTCGTAGACAGTGACTGCATAAGTTTTGTTCCCCATTCTGAGGGGTTGGAGGATGAATCAGCAATTTGGTAAATCCAATAATGAACGCGCGTTTTAGGGACATTTAGGGACGCCATGTCTGGTAAAAAATGGGATGGTTCTATATAGGATTTACATGGATTTACCACATGTTTCCAGAATAATTTGGGTAAAACAAAAACAAACCATCCCCCAAATCACCATAAATAATGTCCACCTCTGATTTATAAATAGCCCCCCCCCTCTTTGACCCTAAATAGACTTAAAGCCACCATCAAACTTGTTTGTATGTAAAGGTTTTCAATTACCACAATTGAAAACGAATACATAAAATGCAATTTCAAAAAAAAAAGGAATCCAGCAATTGTTTTAGTATTGATCTAGTACTCATGTCATGGATTTAGTATTGATCTAGTACTCATGTCATGGATTTAGTATTGATCTAGTACTCATGTCATGGATTTAGTATTGACTTAGTATTCATGTCATGGATTTAGTATTGATCTAGTACTCATGTCATGGATTTAGTATTGATCTAGTACTCAGGTCATGGATTTAGTATTGATTTAGTATTTATTTCATGGATTTAGTCTAGTATTGATTTAGTATTCATTTCATGGATTTAGTATTGATTTAGTATTCATTTCATGGAATTAGTATTGATTGAGTATTCATTTCATGGATTTAGTATTGATAGTATTGATTTAGTATTCATTTCTTGATCAGCGGGAGGGGGAATCTCAGTAGCTTTATTCAGGGTCAAACTCTAATTGGTGCTAAGGCACCTCATGGGGGGTACCCTTGATGAGTTGATTTGGAGTTGATTTTGGATAAGTTTAAGTATAGGTTTTGAATAGAAAGAGCACCCATCATTTTTGACAATTTCCAGCTATCATTTTTGAATAAAGGTTTTGGTCAGCCCCATCTGGGCAAATCTGGGTTTAGGGCCAAAAAAAAATAGCACTATTCCGGGTAGTTTTATTATTTAGTTGGGGAGAAAATTTAGCACTATTCAGGGTAGTTTTATAAATCGTAGGTCAACATTAGGTGGGATAAATCATTCCCAAATGGGTGGTTTATGACATTGTTTTAACATGTTTTAACCATCTTATCAATTTCCATTTCAGGATCCTAAATTGGAGGTACCTATCATATATAAGGCCTATATTTCAGGCTTATGTAAGGGAATATCCCCAGAAAATATGGCCTTATATGGTACTAACGTACCTCCATTTTTGGATCCTGGAGATCTCCCATTGACCTTAGATCCCCAGCTTCAACCCAGCAGCATACCTGGCACCGGCGGAACTGGATCATACGTCACTGAGGGCACGATGCCGTTGCACCGTAGCCTCTGCGCCGCAAGTGGTGAACATGACCCATGTGGCCCATATATCATGGGGAGATTCCATACATATATCTGATATATATATATATATATATGGTATAAAATGGTTATAATATGTAATATGTTATAACATGGTATGGTATAATATGGTAAAATATGGTAAATCTATAACAGTTATAGGTTATTGCTACTCTCACAATGTATGTATATTATATATATATAAATATATATATATATTGTAAAATATGGTTATTACTATCCCATCACTCTGATGCACCCACATTGGGGAGAAGGATGCAAAAGCCTCAGAATCCATTGACATCACTTGTGAACGAATCCATGTACAACAGCTTTGACAACTCATGTACTGTACATTTATATACATAAGAAAACGGTACGTGCTGTGGCTGTACATTAAAACGGTACACGATATATATATATATAATATATATATACATTATACATGTACTTTTCTTTTATATACATAAGAAAACGGTAAATATATGAGTGGTTGGTGGTTGAGCCACCCCCTCTGTAAAATATGAAAGTCAGTTGGGATGATGAAATTCCCATTATATGGAAACATAAAACTCATGTTCCGAACCACCAACCAGATGAGTATTGAGTTGTGGCCTTAAACAAGAAACATCAAACAACCTACGTGCTGTGGAAGTCCATTACAGTTAGCTCAACTTCCGTTCACTCCCAGCTTGGTCGTGTCACCAGGTGCCGAAAGCCATCTGGAAAATGTCGGAATCCGCCACGCCCTGTTTTGCATCCTTAGCGGCTCAGCGCAGAAAGCCCGAAAAAAAACACCCAAAATGGACTAAGACCTGGCTGGAAAACTCTGGAGTAGCTCCCCCTCCCCAAGTCATAGGGATAGTTTGATTACCCATAGCTCCTAACAGATCCTAACCATTGGATAGTTGATGTAGACTTAAGTACCTGAAATTCGTCCACGAAGGCGATATGTAAATCCCAATCCTGCTAAAATGACGTTTCCAAAAAATGCCAAAGTGTTTTTATGTCATTTTACCTCAATACTTGGGGATAAGACATTTTTCATATGGTGATATTCACAAGTTGATTTCCTGGGGTGCCATCCATATGGCAGTGTGTCAAAACCAATAGTACCCCTTCTGTTCACATCAAAATAGCTGGGATTTATGGATGTTCATCCCCCTAAAAATGGTATTTTCATAGGTATTGATCCATAGCCATATCTTTTGAAGCCTCATTTTGAAGCCAGGTGCTGGGTCGAGGCTATTTCGGACGCTCGCAGAGACCTGCTATGGAACGGCTATGGAATGGGGATGAAAACAGATACCCTCTGGTAAACATACAAAAAGCTATTGAAGCCATGGCCATTGTAGTGGATATTCCCAATAAATTTGGTGATTTTCCATAGTTATGTGACAGTTTACCAGAGGGTACACCTTTGGGCACATTTGGGGATATCAGTCTGCCCAGTTTAGAATAACCCATATAGCGACTTTTCACCAGAAAAAAAATCGCTGTTTAGAGCATGAACACTTCATCATGCAACCATCAATACTGGCAAAGTCATTACAGAGGGTTCTTCAAAGCTAAAAACTTCTGCAGTGGATTCAAACCAACCACAATGGCTAGGCTCAACATGTCGATCCAAAATCACAGGGTGTATTCCTGCGAGGACTGCCACCTTGTTGTTCATCAATTGCATGTTTAAGCCCAATTGAACCTGCTTTCCTGGCTTCACTGTTCAACAGCAACTCACCATACTTTCTTGCTTGTGAGTTGATTACTGCCTCTGTTGTTGGGTTTATGACTGTATATGGTTATACCCCTTTACCACTATTGAGTTTTTCTGAACATAGGGTCCCTAGGGTATGCTGAAATCTACTTCTTAGTCATGTTTATGATAATTGGTCCTGTTCAGAAAAAAAAACAGAGCCATGCTTGCTGGGTATACCGTGAGATATCCTATGTTCAGTCTGATATCCACCATGTGTTCATTAAATGTTTCTTTTGGCTACTTAAGATCACCAGTGTTTACAGTTTTCCAACATAAGTGTCTCCCATGAACCGTCCCATGTAAATATATCCATCCTTTCGGGTGATTCTACCACTGTTGAAATCTTGATCTTCATAGTCAGATCTCCAATATAGAGTTGTCCTGGAAGATTGATTCAAACTTTCGTGATTATCAAATTCAATTTAAGGATCCAATTTATCACCAGATAGGAACTATACGTATCGATGTTGGAAGGATGGCTAAAAAAACCTGACGTGATTATCGTCATTTTTCCCTGAAAAAAATGTTAGAGCAAGAAATAGTTAGTTAGGTATTGTTGATGGATCTTAGCAAATTATTGACATTGATCCATAGATCTTATTTTCTCCATAGTTAGGATCCAAAGACCCGCCTTGCCCACAGCGTATCCACCGGCCGCCAAAGTCATCCCCACAACGTTGGTCAGGGCCTGGCACAAACGCCCCGCACCAAAGAAAAATGGCAAAACCTGTAGGAAGGGGTGGTTTATATGAGATCTAACTGGGATTTAACCAGCAAAAACGGAGATTTGATATTTGATAGGACTTATGATGGATTTAGTTGGCTATGTTGGTTTGTAACTGGGCTAAGTGTAAATATATGGTGGACATGATATATCTATATACAGCAAAACATATTTAGCGGTTATAAATTCTAAACCAACTTCTAAGAAGGGCTGCCAGTTACAAGGACCGTGGAATTATCCTAAAATAGCATCACTCACCAGTGACCCATTGCCCCCAGTGTCCCAGATACCCCGGCCCCCGGTGATTTTTCCTCACGCCAATCCCATCGAATCTCCGTGCCACTCGCTTCTTCATGCTGCTGTAGGAAGCTTCTGGCCAGACCTTGCAGGTTCAGCTCTGGGCTGTCATCCCCTGGACCAAATTTTCCTTATGATACTGTGGATGAAAGAAATCCTGCAGCACCAATTTGGGATGGTTGAAACCCTATAAATCATGGATGTTTACCATCTATCAGCTGGTGCAGAATTTCTTCCATCCACAGTAGTTCAAGCTGATTCGTGCTCCGCGGTCCGTTCTTTTATCCGCTTCTGAGGGGTTGAATTTCAATGGAATAAGTTGGCTTCACCATTCCCAATCTCAGAGAGATAGTGGTTGCAGCATCGACACATAGTATGATCACAAGAGCGCAGGTTGATGCTTGAATCCAGCTCGTTGGTATTTGAAATCTATGGGATATCCCTAGTAGCACACATACACTGTGTTGGCCCAAAACTGAGACCTGGAAGACCACAGATTGAAGTCATGTTGGAAATGTTGCAGTGTGGTATTGCCCAATCATGGCATCTCCAAATTTCACCCATACTTGGACTTCAACAGACACCCCGACTGTCAACAATCACTCCCCACATAGCGGATGAACCAATGTTGGAAATAAAAAATCACCTTCAACCGCAAAGTCACACACATTCCCAAAATTGATGCAACATGACATATCCCATAGGATCCATGTATGCTAATATATGGTAACATGGATCCCATCAATATACCCCAGTCATGTTAGCATTAATATACCAGCACCATGGATCCTATGGGTATGGTAAAGTCGCTGGAAAGTTGACAACACACAGGTCCCACCATGGCAGCCACGGCTCCCACGGCTCCCAGACGGTCCCACCTTCTCGGTCCGAAAGCCTCGTGGCGGGCTCCACGTGGCGGGACCCGTGGCGGTGTGAAACGTTCGTAGCGGGCTCCGGGGTATCGTAGGCTTCGTAGCAGGGCGGCACGTCCTAGGGATCAGGATGGGAGAGATCCAAACGAGGGAGGTGAATCCCTTCAACATCATTGGAATATATAATTTATGTGGATAGATAAACAACATATGGAATAGGGATGAATATATACTGATGATCGGCCATTGGATTTTTAGATTATACCTTATTTTGAAACAAATCCATGTATAATCCAAATACTTCCTGAGCAGGTAATTAAACCCTAAATGATACCCAAAATCATGAACTTGTAGGTAGGAGGGTATATATCTGAGCGTAAAGACTATCTATATTAGTCTATATAGGAACACCCTTTGCAAATGACCCTCTGGTAATCAAACATGGCGACAAGCCCCCATGTATAGATGACGTTTTCCCATTGATGATATGTTCCATAGTTTTTTGTATGTTTACCAGAGGTTATCTCTATGGGATTTTCCAGCCATATTTCATTACCAGAGGCTAAACAACATGTTTCATGCGCAAATGCTAGTTGTGATGAGATTCATCAAGCTTCGAATTGGGTGAAGTTGGGATAAACATTTCAAAACACAACATTTCTAGTTGGAATATGTTGGAATGGATTTCTCAGATTTGGCAGGTCAAAACTCTGGTACCCTGGAGTTCACATCAAAAAAAATACCAATATGATCGATGTTCATCGGCTTAAATATGGTACCATAGAAGGTGGCTGAAGGTGGTGCCCCCTGTTCTGTTACTTCGGTGATCTTCACCCATGGAACTATAGTTGTTTCATCACCGAAAACCCACCAGGGAAATCTGGTTATGGTCAGTCAGGCTATGAACTGGGGCACCTCATCTCACTTACAACTGGGTAAATCGGTCATAATCAAGGATATAAATCGACTAACCGTACTCAGCCCATTGATAACCAAGGTTAAAACCATCACGTAGGTTTTAAATTGTTTTAAATAATCATTCTCATGCCCGATCTTTTCAAACCATGGCTTTGTCTGCAAATAAAGTACCTCAAATTCCCATGGGTTTATAATCATTTTCCCTTTCAAATTGCCGTCAGTGGGGGGGAATAGACACCATTTTCAGACCCTCTCAAATATCATATCACTTATAGACATATTATACACACCATTATATCCCATTAAAACCACTTAAATCCCAGATTAATTAGCTGTTCAATCCCAATAAATTCCATATACATCCTATAGAATTTCCATGAAACTTCAATAAACATCCCATGTAAATCTCATATAACCACCCTCTTCAACAAACGTTTGGGGGTGAAATCCCTTGAGGTCTTGAAAGTCGACATGGCACTGAAGCCACCCAGAGGCGTTGAAGGCCCAAGCCTCAGGTCGGGCCAGTGAGCTTGGCCATGACAATTTACCATAAACATACCGAAATGGATGTGTAGACATCCGTGAGATTCGATTAGAATGCATAGATATTGTTAATATATGTTAATATATGTTAATATCATATACATACCTAGCCTATTAGCCTAGTCCTTCAATCTATGCACTTTTGCACATAGTCATGACACCACGCGGGCCGAGTAGCAACCCATGCGACAGCACTGCACCGCCTGCTGCGGCGTCGGCACCACGGAGTCCAAGGCTTCGCACAGGCGCCGCGCGTGGTAAAAGGTGGCGCTGGCGGGGAGGCACTGAGCGACGCCTGGGGTCCCCGGGTCCCCGGGAGTTTGGGAACATCTTAGATGGGCCATGGGAAAAACGCGATTCCTGGTGAGTAACTGGGGATTTGTTACCCCCAAAAAATCCCAATGAAATAATCCAATTTACTAACTAGTTAACTAACTCGGAGGTGCACCCCCAAAAGTTGGGAGATGGGCCTGATGGGCCCCCAACAGAACTTTGATACCATGGTTATATATCCACTTAGATACCTGGAACTGCACTTCTACATGGCAAAAAATAAAGGCAACCAGAAAGGGACACATTAGTCCCTCAAACCCATTGCCCAAAGCCCAGAGTTGCTGGCAAAGGAGATGTGTTTACCTGTTTGTCAGCTGGGATCAGTTTCGAAGTCAGCAATCTGAACCAATCCGGGCAAGATATAAATCCAGAACCTAACCTCAGCATTTGAGACTACTCTTATGTACCATGAATGCAGAGCTTGGCAGGTGAGGCCACTAAAATTGATTCAGATCCTTGGTCCGGTGAATCGAATACAACAAATGACAGCAAGGCGTTCCAAGCTACTTTCACTGTTGATCTGCCATGTTCGATTCCTGCGGAGAAAGAAGTCTTTGGGCACCGTGAGATCTTCCATTGGCTTCCAGGCCATGGGTACACTCCGCTACCAAAAGTCCCTCGTCTGTACAGAATTTCCACATGAAACACGTGGTAATTTTGGATGGCTGTTCTTGTCTACATCAGTGTCATATATATAGTGTAATCAATAGGCTAGATCCAAAAATATCCAAGGATTGCATTGATTCTTTCATCCTGGGCTTGCAGCCCCAACTCGTTTCCTGTGCCGGTATCCCTTTCAACTGGTTATTTAAGGCACCCAATGGATCCATGGGTTTTCACCGTTTCACCGGTTTCTTCTAGCGGATATCCCATTCCTCAACCAATGGCCAAAGAAATGTCGTTTACCCGGTGCTGGTGATTTATGTCCATCATTGCTGCTTTTGGTTTCCTGCCTTTGGTTGGAAAACAATTGATTCCTCCATGTTGACAAGCAAATATATTTGTCTGTTCTTTAGGTGGAAATAAGTATCAACTCCCAGCAAAGTCAAATAATCCCATCAAAGTTCAACCCACTTTCCCACCAAATGTTGCTTCAACTTCTCCCTTTTTTGCTTACGCTTCACGTAACCCCAACCATTCACCAACCATTCACCAGCCCCATTTCCGCGGCTCCTGGGTAGCATGGCAGAGAAGCAGTACTCCTGCGGGGCCCAACAGGCCACACCTGCGAAACCGCTGGCCTCGATCAGTTCCACACGCTCTTCCAGGTGACCTGGAGATGTGTTTGGCTGTTGCTGGAAAATGACTTGTGGGTGCACTTCTATGTTACAAGTGGATATAATGATATATATATATACATATAAGTGGATTATGTTTATAGTTATAGGCGTTTTGGGGGTTATATCCCAATGTATGATGGTTATAACATGTTATAACCATGGCCATACAGATTAAGAATCCCTAATGCTCCCTAGTCACGATGATGTAATGGCGGTATTTCATTGATATAGGGGTCTAATAAGGACTTCATAATTTAATGGAATGTACATAAGGACACATGAATTATTAACAACTTCAAATGATTCAGGTTTGTGAATGTGTGTCTGAACAATTGGGATTAAGCATGGGATTTAATGGGATTCAAAGGCCAATATCAATGGAATTCCAAAGGGATACACAAGGATATAACCAACGAAAAGATAGGATGGAATGTCATGTTCTAGGAAGTATCTGAGAGATGTCATGATCGCAAAATAGGGATACATGAAAACATATCACGGAAACTAAAAACTGTTGGGGATATGTCTGGAAGGTGCGGCTAGTGACAACCAGCGGTTATCGAAAAACGGATGAACTGCATGATTTTTGATCTCCCCCCGCGCCCCTAGAAACAAAGAACCAATAAGACCCACTATTTTCAGCCAGGATTTCGTCTGGAGCGTATTTAAACCACAAAACTCGGATGTTATGTGATGCTATCCCATACCCTGAATATCATCCTAATGATGCGTATATCATGGGATAGAAAAACAATGGTTTCACCTGGTATTTTTTTCCCCGTAAATGATCATCAAATAGTTTGCCACTTATAACTGGTTTAACCAATGGCTTGGAACCAATCAAACAGTACAAAGGCCTTTTGTTATATGTAAATGGAAAGTATTTCCTACTTGGATTGGGCTGATGTTACAAAGGCCTAAACTGGATGTCTGACACACCACTTTGCAAATCTTTGCTAAATATCCGAGAAGGCAATGGGTTATCGACATATTGAAAAATTACATGTCGGCCTGTGAGGTCTTGAAAATCTATCTACCCAAGAGGTGTTTTGAAGCAAATTACCATCCATTTACTGGGTTCATTCATGTAATTGAATCAGGCTTCACATATGTGTTTTTCTATGTCTGTCACAGTGGGATTCCCCTTCGGCTATAGCATCTTTCAGGCTCATCCCTGCGAGGGATCGTCCCAAACCACTGTCATTGCCATTGCCAGGGGCACATTGCTAGAGGGGAGTCCTCAGAAATATAGAAATCAATACCGAAAGCCTATGACCCTCCAAGTGCAACCTTTCGGTAACAGCACATGGGGATGCTGTGACATTGGAACAGCCGTTGCTAGGAATCATCAAGGATTATATCAGCGTTATAGTTATAACATTATAATAATACTATATGATACTATAAGCATGTCCAACCATAATTAATCCTCATGATCATCTATTATTGCTTATAGATGCTTATAACTTTATAGCGGATGGCTCCAACCCGTGGCAGCGTTTGTCCTTTATGGAGGACTGAAGAAACACCATCCAACCGGCACCGTCCCACCTTCTTTCTGACACGTCTGGTGCAAGATTCTGGCCTCGGTAAGCTGCCACCATTTGGTCCATGGGCTCGAATTCAGTGATGGGCCACCAAGAAAACACCATGAACTAACTCCACATCAAAAAAAAGTTGGCCCCGCGGCCGGGATTTCCAGTTTGAAGGTTACAGTATATCACTCCACATTTGAACGATAGAATGATTTCATTAGATTGATTTCATTAGATTGAAGCCATCAACCACCACAAGGTACCACAGTTGACAGCATGGGATGCGGAGGGTCACAGATTTGTCTGCCCAGCCAGCCTAGCCTTCTGTTGGAGGTGTCCGTGGCTGCCAGGTCTGAAATTCCTTACCATCTGGTTCTTACTTTGGAACAGCTACAAGCATCCACAAACTAGATCTTGTACGGTAAGGCGGAATGCGATCAACAAACTACTATGGCTGACCAAGACTAACCATGGCTAACCCAAACTTTCCCTTCAAACACTTCTTCCAGTGTGATATCAATTGATAGTTTGATGGATCGATGACAAAGCACCGAACTAAACCAAAAGGTTTTGTCTGAACCTAGATACCCCCAAATCCAAATCCAACAAATTTCCCATCATTTTCCCGCGGAAAGTCGCCATCAAATGGAGAAAATCACCGTAAATCCTCCATTTTTGACCAAACCCAACAGTCCACCCTTGATGGTGTTTCCCCAGTCACCAGGTCCCCATCACATCAACCCCTGGAACCGCACCTTAAAGTCGCCACACCGGGGCAACGCAGACCTCGCAGCTGGTGGCGTCTCCGCCGGCGCGGGACAGAGTTCCACCACGTCCACCAGCGGTCTCCTGTCACGCAAGGCCAGGTAATGTCACTCAGTGAATGAAGTCTTTATTGATGATGATGATGATGATGAAGATGATGATGATGATGATGATGGTGGTGGTGATGGTGATGGTCATGGTGATGGTGGTGATGCTGATGCTGATGATGATGATGATGATGATGCTGATGATGATGATGATGGTAATGATAATGATGATGATGATGATGATGATGATGATGATGATGATGATGCTGCTGATGATGATGATGATGGTGATGGTCATGGTGATGGTGGTGGTCATGGTGATGGTGGTGATGCTGATGCTGATGCTGATGCTGATGCTGCTGCTGCTGCTGATGATGATGATGATGATGATGGTGATGGTGATGGTGATGGTGATGGTGACGGTGATGGTTATGGTGCTGGTGGTGATGATGGTGATGGTGATGGTGATGGTGATGGTGGTGATGTTGATGATGGTGATGGTGATGATGATGCTGATGATAATGATGGTGATGGTGGTGGTGGTGGTGGTGATGTTGATGTTGATGTTGATGTTGATGATGTTGAATATTAATGATGATGATGATGATGATGATGACGATGACGATGATGCAATTCTCATGGTCTCATATTGATCATGACAAAATATTAGTTTGTTGTCATTATTTTAGTCTGTGTATTATCATTACACAGCGTGGATACATTGATGATGGCAATGATAACAATGATAATACTTAAACAATGTTGATTATGGTGCCAGCAAAGTGGACAATTAGCAGCTGAACCCCGCACCGATAATTATTTCAGATGTGTTGAAACCCAAAGCTATAAAGGCCCACACTAGCTGGAATCCTTCGAGCAATGACCCCCAACAATACAAGTTGGTGTGCCCCCCAACCAGCTATACATATCTAACCAGAGTTATACTCACCATGCACCGTGGTAAATCTATGTATATATATGTATATATACACATAATTTATATAAACATGTGCAAAAACTCAACTAACACAAACTGGGGCTTTGGGCACCCCCTTGTCATGATCCATCTCTCAGCCCGTCGCAGCCCTTTTTCGTCACTGCCAAGCTCCTGGAGCCAGCAGCTTCCCGTCCAGGCGTATGTCGCGCAGGCAGAATGTGCTTCCAATGCGCCATGCTTTTCTTGTCCTCCTCCCCGAGACCAGGATCGATCTCTCACGGATCAAAATGATCAAAGTGGCTAGGCTTTAAGGGAATTACCAGGCCCTTCGGAATGCAGCTTTTGGTAGTTTCATCTCCATCATGGTAGGGTGACAAAATTGTGATTTGGTTTGTTTCGTGCAAAAACATCCTCTTGTGGAATACAATGTCAACCAAGGTATGGTTCAACCAAGGAGTACCAATACACTCTTGTTAACCTGCGAAGCACTTCACTGTGGAATCTTTGGGGTAAGAATTCTATGATTTGAACCTCTCATCAAGATTAGCAATGAATGAATCACAAGTGGCTGAGGTAGCCAGGGTACGTCATCTCTTCCAAGTGGCTATATACGGGGGAACGATGGAGCTACACCTTTTTCTGTCCCCTCGCCGATTTTTTTTCAATATTTGCCTAGAAATCGATTAGTTCACTCGTAATTTCATTCACTTGGGGTCTCATACATCAATGTGTTGTATGTGTGTTTCTTTATAAACCCACCCAACTAGAGATATTGACATGTAATCACATGTCATCACCATAAACCCAGCAGTTCATCTACAGTGTGTTTTATTCCAAACTGATGCCACCACCTTGCGTGTGTTACCCTTTTCTAACTAAAGCTCCAATCAACATCAATCCAACAGGTAATGTGTTCTTCAAAAGTAACTTAGCGATTCCGAACTGGGGCATCACCTTGTGCCGAAGCTATGGCTTTTTTCCACACTCCCACCAAGAAGCAACGGTCAACGTAGCAACGTCAGCACCTTCGTGAGAATGGGCGCAGGGACGAAGGCGCCAGGGTCGAAGGGTTCGGAGACGAAGCTGGGCGGAGCCGGCAGCAGTTGCAAGTTGCTTTATAACAGCACCATAAATCCAAATACTGTAAACCCAATATCTATGGATGTTGTTGGACTATATTACATATTTAAGATTATTTAAGTCCTGTACTTATTTGTATACCATACCAACTATATAATTACTGATGATGTTGGACTTATAAGTCGAGCTATCTTGGAGGACCCACATTGTCGCCATATAGCAAGTATATTGGGTAAATGACAAAAGTAATTACTTTACTTCGTGTGATCCCCACCATGACATTTATACAGTTTCTTACTGGCAAATCTTCTGGCATTCTATCTGACATATCTTCTGACATTCTATTTGACATTCTATCTGGCATATCTTCTGGCATATGATCTGGCATATCTTCTGGCATATCTTCTGGCATTCTATCTGGCAAATCTTCTGGCATTCTATCTGGCATATCTTCTGGCACTCTATCTGACATATCTTCTGGCATTCTATCTGGCATATCTTCTGGCATATATTCTGACATATCTTCTGGCATTCTATCTGACATATCTTCTGGCATATATTCTGACATATCTTCTGGCATATCTTCTGGCATATCTTCTGGCATATCATATCTGGCATATCTTCTGGCATATTTTCTGGCATTCTATCTGGCTGGCATCTTCTGGCATTCTATCTGGCATTCTATCTGGCATATCTTCTGGCATATCATCTGGCATTCTATCTGGCATATCTTCTGGCATATCTTCTGACATTCTTTCTGACATTCTTTCTAACTTTCTTTGCACATTCTTTGTCCCATATCTTCCTACATGAGGTCCGGCAGGGAACACTTGGCGTGGATACTCGCGGTTGAGGTCCGGCAGGGAACACTGGGCGTGGATGGTCGTGGTTGAGGTCCGGCAGGGAACACTGGGCGAGGATGGTCGTGGTTGAGGTCCGGCAGGGAACATTGGGCGTGGATGGTCGTGGTTGAGGTCCGGCAGGGAACACTGGGCGTGGATGGTCGTGGTTGAGGTCCGGCAGAGAACACTGTGGATCGCGGGTCGCAGTTGAGCAAGGACGACGAGGACGAGGAGGACGACGAGGACGACGAGGAGGACGAGGAGGAGGAGGAGAGGAGGACGAGGCAGGAGGAGGCGGAGGAGGAGGAGGAGGAGAAGGAGGAGGAGGCAACTGACATAAAATCTAACAACCCTCACCTGGCAGGTGGGGAACTAGGGATAACAAGGGTATGTATTCTGTAGTGGCTACCGTAATTACGGTATGCACTGAGTACATGATTTTAATTGCATTGGTTTCATCACCAGCCATGACATGGGCATCTAAACCAGCCAACAAAAAAGTTGGAGATAAGACCGGCAATGACTGGTGCCTCAACAGAACAGAAACGACTAGCAACAATGACAACTGGCAATGAAAAGCATGGAAGGTGGATGATGTAAATCATACCTGGCAAGGAATTGGCAAGGTAGAAATTAAATAATTACGAGTCTGATATCCAAGACACAGTTAACGTTGGTAGCGGGCCACTTAGCCAAAGTGACGTCTTTGGGTCTGGAATGGTTATGATCCATATGTCTGTGATTTCCAAAGGTCGGCATTCCTAGGTATCTTAAGATAGCTGGTCAATGGATGGTTCTTCCACCAAGCATGTTACTAAATAGGTTTTGACCTATCACCATATTAGGAAACGAGGCCATCAAAGCCCTCAACTTCACTCCACCCTGACGGCCTAGGGTTGGCCATATTCTCCAGAAGGTGGATGTAGTGCCTGACTTGGTTTATGAACCAATGCGGCATCACTACTAATCATTATGAACCAACCAATTGCTGTAACATGAACCTAAAAAATACAAGAATTTGTGCTAATCAATTGCTGTACCAAAATATAGAATATTGAACCATTATTGAAGTACTAAAATACAATATGTGCATTCAAATATACCAACTTGCTGTACAAGGAGCTTGACACAGAATCATTCCCCTCAATCAAACATGGCTTGCTGGAACGTCCCACATTTGCATCGTAACGGAGTAACGGATGATTGTCATATTAAAACCTGCATGGCTAGTGTGGGGATATTCGATTCAGCATTTGGTTCAATGATTGACCTCTTAGAATGGTGATGTTCCAGTTCGTAAACTGCTAGTCATTACTAGAGTGGACGCGTTCCTTCACAATGGTCTACTAAGATTCTGATGAGAACATCTTGATACTTCATAACGAGTACTGGCAATCTAACATAGCTATGGAAAATAGATGAAAATAGTCCATTTATAGATACCTTAATCCTTCAAATGATTTTTTTCCATAACTATGCCAACTCTTCACCATAATCAGTGATCCTATCTAGTCGCTGCTGTGATCCTATCGGTCCTATCCTCTCCCGCTCGGATCATTCGATGATCCCAGAAGTTGGTAAAAGGTTACCCCTCTGGTAAACATTAACAAAAAACGCATGGGAAATCCACCCGTTTTTAATGGGTAAATCAGCTATTTCTATGGCATTTTTTTGAATAGATCAGCCGGAAGATCATCACTTCATATTGGGTAAATCCCGAAACACACCCATGTTTGATGAAGTGACCAACAAACATCTTGAACTAGGCTGAACTAGTTTGAACTAGGCTGAACTAGGTTGAACTAGGCTGAACTAGGTTGAACTAGGTTGAACTTGGTTGAACTAGGTTGAACTAGGTTGAACTAGGTTGAACTAGGTTGAACTAGGTTGAACCAAAGATAGGCACGTACATCGTGATCTCTAGCCGCTTATCAACCTCCAGCATCAGGCACCGCCGCTGCGTCTAGGACACATCTGCGCGTCCAACCCGCCGTGACTCCGCAAGTCCCGGCGCCACTGGAAGAAGGAGCGACCGCTGCAAAGGAATGCATAGACGTGGTCAGCCTAGAGACATGTGGCCCCCCCCAGTGGTGTTTGTTGGTTAACAAAAAAAACATGAATACTGTAATTAACTAAAAGGATACTAAAAGGTTAGAAGTGCCATAAACCGTAGCTATTGGAGTTATGTTCATTAACTTAGCTATCGTTTGAGGGCCCAACATTTTTCCGAGCCATGTGATCCAACTTGGGGATCCGATACTCACAATGAAAACTGGTGCTTTAGCATGGTTTAAGCATCAATGACATGGTACTTTATCTGGTTGGTGGTTTCAACTCCTCTGAAAAATATGAAAGTCCGTTTGGGATGATTATTCACAATATATGGAAAAATAAAATATGTTCCAAAGCACCAACCAGTTATATTGCCCTGTAATACTTAACACTAAGTCACTATATTAGTGAGGAATCTAAAAATGAATCGACCAAATCCACGACCAAACAAAGGGTTTCTAGAGGGCATTGAATATTGTTAAGATTAGTGGACATAGACTACTTATTTTGTGGACTGGTGGTTTCAAGGCCCCTTAAACTTACATTAGCATTGTCTCAAAAGATCAACCCGGGGGTTCTTGATTTGGGCAAAAGAGATCCGATCATCAATTCCTCCTCTGGGGCTGATTTAGCTATAATGGGTTGGAGCAACCCTGAACATGGGGGCACTGATATCATTACCGAACAAAAAAAGTTGGATTTCCAAATTTTAAATAATGTAATTAAAACCTACCTATTTCTCACTGTATAGGGATCTGTTGACAATGCCTTGCCAGCAAAATGCTGTAACTAGTACAGGTTTTGCGGGGAGGGGCAATAAACAGCTGTGGGGGTATGATACCTAATTAAATGTGCATCCAGCTGGTAACTAGCACACGCGTGTGGTGAAGCAATATCAACACCTATATTTGTAGCATGTAGCCGGCTATGTGGTATCTCCCAAAGTTATTTTTACTTTACAAGAACTCCCACAGAGGGTTATCATTATATGCATCAGGCCCGAGAATATATATATATATAGGTATTTATATAATATATATATATGTTGATATAAATATATGTTTATATATATATATACATCCCGACCAAAAAAACAATCAAACAAGAGGGGTCTAGTAAGCCCCTAACGAGTTGATGGTGAGTAATAGCCCCTTTACGAGTTGTTTTTTTGGTTGAGGGCTACCTTTCCCCCAAACACATGCGGCATTTCATGAACGAATCGGGAATACAACCTACAAAATAGGCTTAATAATCAGACATGGGAAATCGAAAACAAACAAGTGTACCGATATGACTGCCGATGGTAAACAAAAACGTGTTTGTAATTTGTAAGTATCTGCAAGTGGCTGCAAGAATGCTGTGTGTTTGGGAGTCATGTGAAAGTTCCAAATCATATATACACAATAATTCCTAGTCATATTGGTATTCATAAACAAACGTATATAGCTAAATCCAACAGTGGTTGCAATTGTAGACTAACAAACACCTATCTCTGGTGGCAACCTATCCTTGAGGACAATCAGTTGTTTCCTGCATGACCCAAGGGGGCCGCTTCCACCAGCCTCCCACCACGGAATGGACGACACAAAGGAACTCAACGAGGAAACCTCCATGGGTGAGTTATGCAGCTGGTGATCCAATGAAAACTGGCTACTAGCTATCAATACATGGCGGGTGTCTAGGTGCTTGATGCACTTAGACAAATATCTGGTTGGTGGTTGATGTGGTTGACCCACCCGTCTGAAAAATATTAGTCAGTTGGGATGATGATTCCCAACTGAATGGAAAAAAAAAACATCTGAAAAAACCACCAACCAGTGTATAGATGGATACATCAACTTAGGAGTCAGGAACTATGGCCACTGGGCGCGAAGAATCACAACAACGTAGCAATCAAATGAGCCATGAGTAAACAACAAATGAACATTTGGTGGCTGGTCCATAAAAGCACCATCAGCGACTCCTTATACCGGGAAAGCGCAAATAAGTATGAGATCTTCAAACTACAAGATGGTGCCCCCCCCAGTTCGAACTTGGTTTATAACCCCCAAGGCTCTGTGTTGAACCCCCCCAAATCTCAATGGTTCAATGCGCGTGTTTGCAAAAGTGGCTTTGGGGGTTTGATTGTTTCGTCCATTGGAGCAAAAGCACCTCAGCTCACATCAACATTGAACTTTGGGGGTGAGGGGGTTGGACTAGATGGAAAAGGTTTGCATATTTCGTCCATCTACGGGTTCGATGTATCTACCATAAACATCCAAAAACCATAGTGAAATTGGAGTTATGTTCACCAACTTAGCTATCAAAAATCAGCTATAAATCCATATAAATCCCATCAAACCCACATTTTCCTATGGTTTTCTATGGTTTCCTATGGTTTCCTATGGTCAAAAACATGACTCCCCGTTCCCTTCCCTTTACGCAGCTCCTGCCCTGCCCTGGCCTCTTCCAGGTCTGTGGCCACCACGCGTCGTTGTCGCACTGACCACAGGCTGGGGCCCCAGAGAAGAGCCAAGGCATCGGTGCCTCAGCTCCGGGATCCGCTCAAGCAATGGGACCATAAAAGGGACCAAATCAATAGGACTTAATATAATGTCAATAGGACTTCATATCTTGTATATATATATATTCATATATCTTAATATATCTTCATATATCTTCATAATATCTTCATGATATCTTCATAGAATGCTACGTTTTTGCCACATCAATATGAAGATATATGAAGTACGAATTAATAAGTAGATGGATGTAGATGGCTCAAGAAACTATAAAAAAGTAGCAAGATCAATCCAAAGGTGAACACATGTAAAAGGCGCTGACTGGGGTGCTAATCAAAGTTTGGAATCCCCATCAGCACCGCATCGCGGTAACCGTCCTGGAAGTTGGCATGGTCAGTGGCTCTCCATAAGCCCTGCAGATGTTAACGTAGCTTTGAACAATATTCATTTTCCATAGGTATGTTAAACTACCAGAGGGTCTATTTCAAAATATGTTCGTTATTATCATAACGATTATTATTGGCCTTTTACTTGAGATATATTACCTTTTTTATCATGGGTCTAAAGCCAATGTTCTATCAACGCTCACCATCCAAGGTGCAGGTATCCAACGCCGCGGCCGTGCTGTGTGGATCTTGCCGATCAAAGTGGAAGTGGTGGTAGCCCACCTTGTCCTGGTCGCCGTGGCCCATACAAGGTGGTGCCCCCGTCTGGAGATGCCACATTGACCATAGAAAACCATAGGAAAATGTGGGTTTAACGGGATTTATATGGATTTATAGCTGATTTATGATAGCTAAGTTGGTGAACATAACTCCAATTTCACTATGGTTTATAGGTGACATCGAACTAGTTAATGGGCTTTATAAACCAATTTACATAACTAGGTGGGCACCACCTTGTAGACATAGCTGACAAGCATGATGACTTCCCTATTAACCATGGTATAAACATTGTGTTTTTCCATGTCAATATGTTAAATTACCACAGGGTGATCTAAGGATAGATTTAGGGGAGACCAGGGGAAGTGATCTAGAAAAAAAACTCCTCAGAGTCATGCTTTTTGTTCTTTGTCAACATTTTTTTTGACGCAGGAAACCCCAGAGTAAGACGGTTTTTAATGTTTTTGTACGGCTTATACCACGGAAAAAGTACCATGGATTTCCTGTCGATTTTCCCTTCAGCCAAGTGTGGGATTCAGTGCAGCTTGCTGCAAACGCTATGGAGACTTCGTAGTATTGTGACATTGTGACATTGAGATCTCTAAAAAGTGTTCGCCCATGTCAAGTCCCCAAACCAATTTGGCCACATTGCCAGGCAGATCTACTTCGGAAACTATCCCACTCAACAAGTGGTGAGCAACATTGAGCAAATATATAGTTGTATAAGTCATAAGATATGATATACCCGGTTTATATTCTTGGAGTATGACATCATATTTAAACAAAAAAAACAGTGGAAATCCCAAAATGGCGCTAATGTGTCTGGGTAAAACAATAATAAACCATCCCCCAGTCATCACAATTTTATAGGTGGTATAAACATGTATAAAGCATAAAAATATGGGTGGTTTATGACATTGTTTTACCTACATGATCATCTTGGTAGTTTCGGAACTCCATATGTGACACAGCGAATCCTCTGAGCTGGTGAGAGCTCCATGTCCAAAGGCCAAGTCCTTGGAACCAAATGGGGGCAAGCGTCTGAAAATAGGCTACCTTCAATATTCCAAAGGGGATGATTATGATATATGTACGTGATTATATAATGTAACGGATTATTAATATTGGAATCATTTTCAACATTAATTTAAATGATCATTTTCCTATGAAAACCATTATATAATTTCAAGGGACCCCCCTACATTCCAATGGATTATGAATGACTATGAGATATGTAAGTGGCTCTCCCCCATTTTCCATCAGTTTCCTATAAAAAACTGACTATATTTAAGTGGGTCTCCACATTTCGACAAACTTAACTAAGGGGTTACTTGCAGGATCATCGATCGTAACTGGTTAGTGACACTAGTTATATCATTATCCCATTTATAACTTGATAGCTATGTAATAACCAACTACTGTGGGTCCAAAAAATAATATACCCTCTGGTAAACTGCCACATAACTATGGAAAATCACCATGTTTCATGGGTAAATCAAACTATAAATGGCCACGTTAAATAGCTATGTTTGTTTACCAGAGGGTGTGTGTGTATATATATACGTTGGATATGACATGGGATATGAGGTAGATATGACCACCAATATCTTTTTTGGGATGTGTTTCACCCGAATAATTAACCATGAACACTGGCTCATCCATGCCTAAACCAGGCTATTAAGAATGCCAAAACTTAGAGAAGTTGAAACAATGAAGATGTAGATATCCCAACTTAGACATCCTAACACTAGAAACCTAGATTTCCTAACATTCAAACACTGATATAACAAGAGAAATTGGAGCTATGGCTGTTTCCTCCCCCACTCAAGACCAAGGTTTGGCCAGTGTAAAACAGGAATCTCTTGGTCGCTTTTCGATGTGTTTCCCATACTTTGGATTGAAACATGGGAATGGTTTGGGAAGCAACCATGCGAGCGTCGTTCCCGCAATACGTTTCCTTCAAAAAACTCTGTGATTGAATTGAAGTTTGGACGGTTTTTTGTGCAGCTTGGTTGCAGCAAGCAGCAGCCTGGAAAGGTATGTCATTTGGAAACCCCACATGACATACTCGAATCTTTCAAAACAACATCAGTATTTGGGGGCACTGTGTGTGTGTGCCATGAGCCATGCATTGCTCCAGTCAGGGTTGACGAGGATGCCCTTCCACTTCCAGTATCGACTCGTGTCGACAATTTACCTGGGAATTCTGTCCACCCCTGGCTGTGGGACAGCATTCGGATACAATGGGCATAGCATGCGTTGCTGGTACTTGGATGTGCATCCCAGAAATGGTCTGCAAGAAGAACGCTACTGGTACGTGGAGAAGTCCTCGCTCGAAAGTAGCGCTCTCAGGACTTCTTCCTCTTCTGGACTTTGCAATGGTCTGTACGGTCTGTACTTAATGATCATTGTTGCCCCTCCCCATAAATGATGTGTAGATGTGTATATATTCACAATATCTATCATACAAACGAGCTTGTTGGATAACAGCTAGTAATGTATTGGTTATTACCCAATTGTTTTAGGATCATGTCCTGTCACTGGGGTTCACAGTTTCTTTCACCATGATTTGTTGGTGCCAATCATCATGCAAAGATAAGGGTATAACCGCCCCAAAATGTACTCCACCCCACAAAATCAAGGTTTAGCCAGCCCTAAAAAGGGTTGATGGGGACAGCAAGGTATACCCAAGTATCATATAAAGTTGTTTATGCGTCCAGTTAATTCCAATTTTACATGAATTCTATCCCCACAAATTGTTGGTTATAAGTATAAGCCTATGTTTGATTGTTCTATTCCCGACACATATTCATATTTCTTGAAGGCTAGAGCCCATGAATACCTAGAGATAGCACCAAACGTATCCATAATGTTGCACTTGGCAGTGACTTTCATTGGTAGAATTTTGATTAATTACCATATATAAATCCAGGATATAGGGCCCCTATAGCTATAGATTCACCATTGGAACTGCACTTCCAAATGTGTAACTTGACACCGGCACATATGGGGGGGTTCTAAAAATGGGGAATACCCAAAACCATGAGTTTCAACACCAAACTGCTTTTAATTTTGGATGATTTGGGGGTACCACCATTTTAGGAAACCCCACTTCTACAGAATCACCCTTCTCTGGTCACTTCCAGGTGATGCTCAAATCCATCATTTCTGCATAACACCCCACCCTGCCACAGCAATCGACCCCCAGCGGCAGCAATGGTCTTAGCATCAAAGCGGGTGCTCAGGAGGACCCGGGGAATCCTGAGCGAAAACCGCGGTGTTCTAAATGGGCAGCTTCATACTCCAATGGGGTTTAAAACGCATATACAATAATTATGGGAATGTAGTTTAACTAACCAACAAGACCCAACTTAAGTAACTCAACACGGGAAAGAATGATATTTAATGAGGATTTCGTTGGGATTGAGATAGAAGTTATACTACCAGCACTATAAATTGCTGTTGATGATGGAACATGGCAAGCTGGGAAATCCCATGGATTTTCTACCAGGCTACCAGGTATTCACTGCGACGAAAAAACAGAATCAAAATGTGATTCAATCAACCAGAATATATTCCAGAATTCAACTATAATGATGATTAATGTCAGTTTTTTTGAGCATATAGCACGGAATAGAACCATCAATGTGATGATGTCTGGTTCTCCCCCTTCTTTTTTAGGGATTTTTACCTCTGACGCATCAACCGTGAGGCTTCATCCAGTTCCAGATGTTACCACGGTGGTCTTTGCCAGCCGTGAGTAGGCACCAGTTCTATGGAATTACCAGGCTTACCAACTGTCAGTTGGGGTCAGTTGGGTGATAAATGAGCTGGCAAGTCCCAAACTGCATTCTTTGCGTTTCTCTGTGTTGCAACAGCACTTGCAAGCAAGCCGCCCCTTCCGCGCAAGATGCGATTCCCACCAAACATTGTCCTCCAGCATGCAGGAGGTAATGACATAGTCACCTCAAGTGAATCAGTGGCAGTAAGCTTGTCGCTTCGCAGTGTCTCATGATTTTAACATACCATATTCGTTCCTCTGCTTGTCTTATGTTTCAACCACATCTAATTGGTCTGTATCTTCAGCGCTAAACAATCTTGGTGAACAACTCCATCTACAATACTGCACATCAACGAATCAGAACACACACACACACACACTTCAGTTTTTTTGGCTCTTCAGATTCGTCGTTGGCTCACATCTATTGTCCCTATCTTTAGTTTACATAGAATATGTTTACTATCAATATGCCATATACAAAAGATATTTTACCAGTATATTGTGATACCAGTATATTGTCCCTATCAAAGATCTATGTTTACATATGCCGTTTAAAGATCTGAGGGTTGTCTTGGAGGCACGGAGGCACTTTTAGAGATCCTTTGGGTTGGGATTCACCAGTGCACTGTAGCTGTATATCCTTAGATTGTGATGATCTACATTATATACATATATATATATATACCAATATAATTATATATATATGCACAGATATGTATAAGCCCCTATAATAACCAATCACCCGCCATGAAAATTGGAGCTTCCCATGTCTTTTCAGAGTCACTGGAAGGTCCATTGGATGGATAACCTCGTTGGAGAGCCTACCAGCAGTGCCAAGGGGATGCGGTTGGGGTCAGGAACGCTGGTTACCCGGCCTGGTAAACGAACAGTTTGTGAACTGGAAAATCACCGTTCGTTTTCAATGGGAAAATCACCATCTTTAATGGGAAAATCACAATCTTTAATGGAAAAATCAACAATTTCTATGGTCCAGCTATTCAATAGCTATGTTAGTCATTACTTTAATAGGTAAATCAACTATCAATGGTCCAGCTATTCAATAGCTATGCAAAAAATTCCCAGAGGGTACTACCCCTATAGCTTGGCATAGGTCCTATGGTCCTATGGTCCTATGGTCCTATGGCTATGGAACTGGCCCTGCCACTCGGCTTGGCCATCAATGTTTCTGGGCTGTGGAAAGCTGCAGGATCGAAGTGGTCATGACAAGTGGCGAATCAACGTGGGATGGGAAATCCCGATCAAACATGGAGGTGTTAATGGACAATCAGTTACCCTCTGGTAATTTAACATAGCTAAAGGCTAGTACCCTCTGGTAATTTGTTTCATAGCTATTGAAAATGGACCATTGATAGTTGATTTACCCAGTAAAGTAATGACTAACATAGCTATTGAATAGCTGGACCATAGAAATAGTTGATTTACCATGATTTACCCATTAAAGATGGTGATTTTCCAGTTCGCAAACTGTTGGTTTACCAGAGGGTATACATGGTGGATTTTCCAATGCTACCTTTGATTACAGAAGGGTTGGTAATCCCTGGCTCAGATGTGACACCACTTTTTTTTGTCCAAGATCATACTTGGTACTGGTGAATCTGCATTAACGTCACCGGTCCATGTCTGTGATTATTCCTTATAGCCCTTGGCTCTTGATATACCTACTGTAACTGTAAAGACATGTAGTGTGCCTTAGAATGGGAAACTTACCCCCCAAATGGCCTTGTCACATCAGCAAAAGAGAGAACCCCCACTTGAAGCGGCCATGTTGATTGAGAAAATGATGATGTTTGCGGGACGGGCGGTAATTGGAGATGATCACTGAAAACTTGCAAAACGGGATTGGTGCCAAACAAGCCAAGGGATTTGAGATATTCAGTTCGATATCATAGACCAGCGCTGCTCGGATTTGAGAAGATTCGTCAAACAAATGCGCTCCGGACTCCAGCTGCTACATTAAGCATATGCAACTTGTTCAGCACTGAAGCGGCAAGTTTGAGATTGGCAGTTCTGAAAAGATCGGGCTGCTGCAAGCGCTACACCTGAAGAGTTCGACCACCAATCAAGCGAGCGGCCTTGCTTCGAGCCTGCTTGAGAACTCGACAAGATCCGAAATATGCTGTCAGTAGTGGAGGGAAGATCTGATCAGCAACAAATTTCTACATCCGCCAGAGCCAACATAGATGGTTCTAACACCTTGTTGTGTCCATATCGGTTCAATCCAATGCGAATCTTTGTTGCCACGATCTCGAAAAGCTATTTGCAAAGGACATGCCAACAAAGCTACTGTTTTGATTTGTTTGTCAGTTAGCCCTTTTCTATCTCAACCGTTGGATTTGGATGTTTTCCATGGTTTTGCCCTACATGTTCAAACAAACTCATATTTCAACCAGATTTCATTCACCTCATTGAAGTAGCAACTCTTGCAGCTATCCTACTACTTATTGACATTTGGACAATCCACCATTTATATCCATTTATAGATGATTTTCTTGGGAAACCTCGGCTTTTCATGGCTTTTCCATATCTTTCTTAGTTATTTTGGTTAACCCCAGGGCATCCGTTTCGGAATCCAACGTCCGCCTTCGCAGCCGCATCGAAATTGAAGATGCCAGCATCGAAGAAACCTCGAGGAGAAAAAATGGCGTTACGAACAACCGTTGGAACATGGATGAATGGATTTACCACTGGTAATTTAACGTAGCTATTGAAAATGACCATTTATAGTGGATTTTCCCATTAAAAATTGCGATTTTCCATAGTTATGTTAGTTTACCAGAGGGTAACCACTAGAAAATGATGCTTAAACACGATTAACCGTTAGAAAATGTTGATTCCAATGGCTCTGGTATGGATTAACCACATTATCATGGGGATATAATCAATGGTATATTATTAATCATGATCATGGATTATCCAGCAGCCATTTGAACATGATGATCAATGGGGATATATATACAGTTATACAGTTATACTGTACATGGATATACCACATACCCTGTAATAAAAATGGATGGGGATATACTCTTCTAGTAATCTAAGATAACGAATATGGTAAAATAGATGGTACTTACCAATTTCAGGTGGCTTATTTGTTGTGCGGCCAAGTATTACCATCAACAAAGAAAAATTGAATGCATTTTTAACGAATGTTTGACGTATTATTTTTGAAGCTCAATAGTTTTGGTTTGGAGCATCAAGCAAGTATGGTTCACATTGTATGTATCGTAGCAAACTTCCCTGGTGTTGACGCTTTCAATTGTCAAATCCTAGCGTGGCAATCCCGATGCTATATTCATGCATGAATTCTCATGTTTCTTTTCCGGAAAAAAATATGGAGGTATCAAGTCATGGGGGTACCCCAAGTTATCCAACATGAGATCAGTGAAGTATTGAAATCGATGGTGTTGAGGATCCCACATTTAACGAAACCTCCATATGGTTGGATGTGCCGCCTTCTAGTGCTATCCAACGGAGCAGCAGCAGCCTCTAGGCCAAGGGACGACGTTGGAACAGGATGCCGTAGGTTGTATGGACCAAGTTGGGAACTGCACACATTCCCCTGCAGACGGATCAGGTGATCAGACTCTTTTGTCCGGGCAAAGTGTAGTCATCAACTCAGAAACCCATGACGGATCCATGTATGTATGCTATATATATGGTAACATGGATCCCATCAATATACTCCAGTCATGTTAGCATATATACCAGCACCATGGATCCTATGGGAAAGTATGTGCCGCCGTCATAAAATCGTATGTTCACCTATTGTCTCTTCGTAAAATACGTATTTTTGGGGTATTTTCTCATCCCATGTCATGATGGAAATCCTTAAAAGTACTATAAATATTAGTAATCCATAGTAATCCCCAATAATTAATATTAGTAATCCCTAAAAGTACTATAAAATACTATAAATATTAGTAATCCCTAATTGGTTGATGACCCCAAACATGGCTGCTATAGTGTATAATCCAACTAGTGGCCATGGCTCAGCTAAAGTTGGGGATGGGGAAAAACATATCTGCTATGGATTCGGCTCATCTGTAGAGTCATATACACCGGAATGTTCAACGCCCGGTTTATTCATTACATGTAGTTGCAGATTTGCAATATCCACAATGACCCATAGGTAGATCTATGTGATATAATAGATGAAGTAAGTAAACAGGTGCCTCTCATGCTGACACATCTACACTCCTGTGCCAAGGACCGGTGCCAGTCTTGACCATGCTACATATGGACTGAATGGACCACCAGTTGCCATATGAGAGATATAATTATATATAGGGTTCAAGTTCAAGCACAGAACATTGGTCCGTACCTTTCGAGGCCATACCATCTGGCAAACCTTTCGAACCTGTGAAAAACCATCCCAAACTCAGTGAAACCGGGATTCAAACACTGGAGATACCATCTGGTTATTTAACATAGCCCTGGTATAGATGGCCCATTTATAGATGGTGTACCTATAAAAAATGGTGATTTTCCATGGCAAACTGTTAGTCATAACCAGATGGTAAGCTCGACTACCTATCTGGCGCCTCTTGTTGTGCTTCCAGCATGGAATCCCAGGTCGGTGATAGCACTGACCCCCAATCATCGCTCCGGGAATATCAGCGCTGATGGCCAGCATGCGCTGAAGGAGATATGGATGATAGAGTTGATCATCATCCACCTTAGAGATGTCAAAACCAGATCAGTACCCCGGAATTCCTTGGAAAGTTACATCATAAACAGCTGGTACTTTGGCCATTTATCAGTTATATAAGTACTAACAAGTCACCCCATTTATAGAATGTATCTCATCCCATAGTTTTATAACCATTTATAACTGGTTTTTATGGCCATAAACTGTAGGGTACTTTGGGAAACAACATGCGATTCGCCACATTTTTTCATGGTCAAGATGTCTGGGAACTGGTCAAGTTAGCAGCCCCAAGAAGGTAGGTAGGTAGTTGAATGGGAAAAACCATAGAAAAACCATAGGAAAATGGTGGTTTAGTGGGATTTAATGAGATTTACCCTCTGGTTATGTCAAACGTAGCTATTGAATAGCTGGCCATGATTCATGGCTAAATCCACTATTTCTATGGTCATGTTCAATAACTATGTAACAAATTACCAGAGGGTAGTCATGTTCCTTCCACAACACATGTTGAATATGTTGGGCTTTTGACATGTTATGATCCATCCTCAAACCAGCAAGTGAGAAGCGCCTCGGCTGGTAAGCTGGGTTATCCTGAAGCTGGCCTAAAAAAAAGGAGTGATTGTGTAAGATTAATCAGTTATTGTTTGGTGGTGAGTGGCTAGGCAGCTTAAAAACCTGTTGGTTACAATCAATCATGTGGAGAACAAACATCCTTGCAAATCACAGCATTCATCTTGTATATACAGTACTATAGATAGAGATTGAACATGTGAAAATGTTCCCATACTCAAAATCATCCGTGCATCATGATCTTTACCTGTATGGCCTTTACGTTTGCCATCTTATGCATAAAAATTGTCAGGATCCCCCAGCTTTAAAAAACATGCAGATCCAAGGCACCACCAGAATTCTGGTATTTGGATCCTGCTCATACTGCAGCATGCCTGGAACCGGTCAACTTGGTCAGGGAGGTTTCTCTCATAGAAACTGGTATGAAGCGGCCAATTTTTTTGGGATTCAGATGGATTCAGCGCAGACTTAGTGACGATTTGGCGTGGGGGTATGATGATTACTGGAGGGCAATGCTCTCTGTTTATCTGTTCCAACTAGAGCTCGATCCCCTCATCTTGTACCGCCAACAACAGTTCGCCTGACACATGTACCTCTGGTACTGCAAGGGCATGCTCTGATGCAGGTATCATACTGTATCATCATCACATGTCATTCCTCCTGAGGCACTAGTTCACATTTGGGCGCTGCCACGATGCATAGTATACCTGTGTTGCTGCGAAAATCCTGCGGAACGATGCTGGCAGAAACTGAAGCTGCTGAACTGTCGACATCCCCAGTCCTTGTTTTGGGTGGGGATTACCCTCTGGTAAACATACGAAAAACTATGGAAAATCACCATTTTTGATGGGTAAATCAACTATAATATCTATAAATGGCCATTTTCAATAGCTATGTTAGTTTACCAGAGGGTAAATCAAACACACTTTGGAACTCATATGAGGCGGCAGATTGTTGCTGATCACACACTTTGGAATGTAAGCGATATCATATATGTTGTTTCTATGCTAGATTCGGGGTCTCATAGGGACATCCAGCCCCATATATACAGCAGATGCTTTTTGCAGGTTGTTACATGTCTAGGTTATCACCTCGTCTGGAAAGTCAAACATTCATGGCATTTCCCTTTCCAAATCAGACGATCGCACAAACTTGCACTAGAAAACAAACATCACCCCCATTTCTTTTGTGGATTTGTCTGAAAAAAGGAAATACCCCAATTTGAATGGATTCTCATCATTCTTATCGTTTAAATTTCCAATTGGGGTTTACATCAATGGGAATTCCAGGATCCTAAAATGGAGGTACTGTACCATATAAGGCCATATTTTGTGGGGATATTCCCTTACATAGCCCTTACATAGGCATATATATATATATGGTAGGTACCTCCATTTTAGGTTCCTGAAATGGCCATGGATTACACTCCATGTCCAGATACACCCGAATATCGTATTCTTGGCTGTAGATATACCATGAGATCCCAGATATTCATATTATTGGCGTGTCAATCCAATTGAATCTTATGATTATTGCAGTTATGGCCCAAAATACCAGCTATAAGAAAACCCATTTATAGAATCTATAATCCCAACAATGTTAATACCATCTTATGATTATTCAAATATCTCGAGCATATCGTTGGTGAACCATAGAACCTTCCCTGCTGCGCTCCACGCTCCACAAACCTGTTCGCAGCGCACGATGCGCATCATCGAGCCCATGAAGCCGTACCTGGACCAGGTCTCAGGCTTTGCTGAAGTGGTTCACCAACCAATATGGTATATGGTGTATATATATATATAGGACTTTTTTGTTGATCGACCGGTTATGAAGTTTATTTGTTTATATGTGCTAGCTCAGTTTTCCAACTTTGCTTTTATCTATTCATCGACTTGTAAATGTATATAAGGACTTGTTTTTGATAACTATCTGTAAGTGGATACCTAACATTTTTTTAACAACTAGGAGGCGTCGCAAAGCGATCACCATTGGCTGTATCATCCAAGAACGCGGGGTTGTTGCCAAAGCGGCTTGCCATTTACCATAATTTACTTGTAACTTGTTTATACTACATAGAATGGGTGGAGGCAACCCACCAATCAAAAACAACAACTGGAGATGGGTTTTACATGCTTTACTATAATCTATAAGTTTCCCATATGTTCCCATCATTTTGCCATCATTTGCCATGTTCATTCCATAGCAGTCCCAATCGTTTGATCAACTTTCTCCGGAAGTTCACAGGATCTTCGTCCCCGGCGGTACCACCAGGGATGTTCGTAGGGCGTCCAGCTACGTGAGTAGAAGTAGGGAATGGATAAGTAGATGGCATCCTCAGCAGTGAAATGGCCACAACTGTTGGTGCAATAACTGGTTATTAATGGTGATTATTGGTGATCAATAGTGCTTAATCATGGTTAACAGTGGCTAATAATGATTAATGTTGGTTATAACTGGTTATAAACCTATTGGATGAGATACATTCTATAAATGGGGTGACTTCTTAGTGCTTATAAGACTTGTAACTTGCATATAAAGGGCCATACCTGTGGATGAACATGGTGAGCTTCTCATATCATCAGCTCGCTAAAAAACATGTGGAGTGAAGGGAGGGATTCATGGTTCGTTGGGAAAATCGGTGATGAAATGGTGGATTTTCCAGCAAGCCATGATTGATTATGGAGGGGTATTGCATGTTATTCCCATCTCAGCGGATACTGGTTGCTAAAAAAATCATATTCCAAGAATCCCCATACCCCAAAAAAACAAACAGTATGAGTTAAGACCCCAAACAGTTTATCAATCAGTTTACGTTTATCTGCAATTCCGTCATACTGCTAAATCGGGATTCCCCATATGGATGATCATCTCAATTTATGGCAGTTCTGGCCCTAAATAAACCAGTTATAAGTACTATACGAAAACCACATTTATAGAATGCATAATCCCATAGAAATTAGCATTTAATAGCATTTATAATAACCAGTAGCCATGGCCATAACTGTAAAAGGCAGCGCAAATTCCCAACATTTGTCTTGAGCACTGCTCAGGTGTCAATGTCCCGTGGGAAATCTGGGAAATCTTCCAATTCATCTCCACACGATCGAAATCAGAAACATGCCTGGTGAAACTGAGAGGGGGCATTCCCGCGTGAGTTTGTCATTTTCTGAACCCCTTCAAGCGCCACCTTTGAGATGCGGCCATTCCAAGTCGAGTATCTGGTGGCCGTGATTGTCCTCGCGATGTGCAGCCAAGAAAAGGCAAGATGGCTCGTGATTTGGTCAAGTTTTCCCTAAAGGTTGAAGTGCAATCCCCTGAAAAGCTAGTGAACTGGTCCATTTTCCCAAGTGAGCAGTGTCAAGAAACTGCTGCAAAATCACCCAAATAATCACTCAAGGACTGTGATTCATGGTAATCCCTGTAACCAACCATGACTTCCGGAATCACCATGTTTGATGGTTCAAACCTTATTTTTCATGGTCAAAACCTAGTAAATCACATTGAATCATATTGAATGCATATTTTTGGTCGGGGAAACCCAATTAAAACATATTAAAACCCTATGTTTCTTGGCTCAATACCCCTGAAACAGCCAAGGCTCGAATCAAAGACTTCAAAACATCGCTCAAGTCGAAGAGCCGCGGTGGAATGGTCGTCATCCTGGTAGCACCGGGGCGGGAAAAATACGTCAGAAATCCAAAATATCTGAGGAACATGACATAGTTGTTTTGTCATCTATGTACAAAAAAATGGTTTGCAGCTATGATTGCAACATATGTCATATGTAAGAACTATGTAAGTATATATAATATGTATATGTGTCTAACAGTTCAAGTTTGCAGGAAACATAACACCTGCTCCTTCTACTCTCTTACCTACCATCCGTGTTGCGTCACTGCATCCAAGCATCGCCACCACAGCGCGAAAGTCGTACTGTGCGGGCGGCGCCGGCGCGTGGCTTTGTCGCAAGGCGTCAGCTGCACAGCAGAGTCGGAATGAAAAGCCTGGCTCCAAGGTACAAAAGAGACAAGGAAACATCCAAATAGAAAGTGGCTAAAGCATGGTAAGGCTTGAAACAATCTACAACTATGTGGTGATGTAAAATCCATGTATACTATATATATATAATGCATATATGTAATATAGATACATACAGTACATACATTTAATTACGTCTTACTTTAATCAAAATAACATACATATATACTGTATATATATATATATGATATCTATTTTAATCAACATAAATATGTATGATTGTGTAAGCCTAGTCCCAACACCACCCCTTCACAATGCAGACAAGAGCAACTACATAAGATCGATATCGCTTGAACAATAATTTGAACCAATAAAATGGCCATGGACATAGGGAAGATATGGGAAACTGATGATTAAGGTCCCTAGAAAAACATAGAAAATGGTCTGGTAAATTAACGTAGATCCTGAAAATAACATAAAATAACATATTTTTTAGTGGAAACTAATCTTCAAAACCCTATCTTGCATGGTATAATGGTATATGTTAATTTACTGGAGAGTTGCTGTTGCTGAAACTTGAGACCATCGAGTCTTCTCAATGCACAAAAGGTTTTCAGTTGGGTACACCCCCCTCTCTTGATGTTGGTTCCCCTCCGGTACTCAAACACGGCTGGTTGGGACACCTCTATAAATGGAGGTTTAAAGCAGGGAAACACCAGTACATCAAACTAAATATGGGATTTTCCACCAAACCATGTTTGCTTATCAGAGTGTATAAGGGTCAGGAAAGGCTTCAAACATCATAGCGGTGGATCAAGGTCGAGGCAAGGTCACTTGCATAACATGTGCAGGTGGAAAGTCCGCGCAAGCGAGCTAGAAAACGTGTTTCAAATCATTTCACACCAACGAAACTGAAAATTGCACTTCAGAATTCTTTCCTGTCAAATTTGGTGAACTTGGCTTTTATATCTCGGCTCCACTTGAATTTTCACTGACAAAGGTGTCAGCAAAAGCACGCGAGAGGCACAAACAATGTAAGAAAAGTCCTACAATAACGGCATTCAACTTGCAAATTCGTGAACTCGTGTCTCAAACACCTCAAATTCGCAACGGAGCCCCTTGCGCCTGGAATTTGCCAACAGTTGGGGTTACCACGGCCTGCCCGGCAAGACAGTTAGTTAGCTAACTTGTTGGTTTATGGTGATAACTACGGTAAAATGAATTTACAGCATTTTTTTACTAACACGGAATTTTTACCGTTTCAGCGACATGTTTGATACAGGTCGTTCCACAGAAATGCATGAACACACATACATGATTTCAACTCCAAAACACGCAATCCACTCCCCTTGATTAGTGAGGAGGCAACCCCAGACAGTACACGAATACTATTTGAACGTTCACCCATCAGATCAATCAACCACGGACTATAACTGATGCTGGGGTGAACGTCAACACTCAGATTCCACTCCAAAAACAGACTCGGAATGGACATTGATTTACAAGGGAAACTCAAAAGAAACTTCGCACTTCATGGCAAAAAAAACATTTTTGTTGATGCCAACCCGCCACCTAAACCCTCTAAGTACCCAAACACTTGGTTGTTCCACCCCTGAATTGTACTATGTGTACTTACTTTGAACATGATTTTTGTTGGGTACTTGGAGGGTCGACAGGTGAGTTAGGTATAATATGTTTTCCCCAATCCATGAATTTTGGAAAGCCAATAGCATCATCCCTTTTTCGGGATGCTGACCATGGCACGGACTGAAAACAAATATCCATTACAATCCCATACCAAGATTATTAGAGTCCTAGGGGTTTTATTGGATAGTCATAATCCGCCGACCCCGGCCTTCGCCAAGGCCGGGGCGGCGCCTGGGACCACCGCAGGTGTGGAACTTTTCCGCGCACATAGCCCTCTCTCGTTAGGGCATTCGAGGCAGCTGCCACCACGCCCTCTGGCCGGCAGCCTTTGCTGTTCAACCCTCCAAAAGTCCGGCCAGCTCCGCAAGGAAAAGGTACCCCAACAAGCCCAACGCGCGCCACTGCCGCACGCAAAAGCCACCACAAGGCCACAGCAATGGCTCAAGGGCACCCCACGGCCGCAGCAATGGCTTCTTATACGCGTTCAAGGCTGCCGTTTGCCAGGCCTCAAACGCTCCAAAACCCTCCAAAACCCTCCAAACCCTCCAAAAGTCCGGCCAGCTCCGCAGGGAAAAGGTACCCCAACAAGCCCAACACGCGCCACTGCCGCACGCAAAAGCCACCACAAGGCCACAGCAATGGCTCAAGGGCACCCCCGGCCGCAGCAATGGCTTCTTATACGCGTTCAAGGCTGCCGTTTGCCAGGCCTCAAACGCTCCAAAACCCTCCAAAACCCTCCAAAACCCTCCAAACCCTCCAAAAGTCCGGCCAGCTCCGCAGGGAAAAGGTACCCCAACAAGCCCAACACGCGCCACTGCCGCACGCAAAAGTCACCACAAGGCCACAGCAATGGCTCAAGGGCACCCCACGGCCGCAGCAATGGCTTCTTATACGCGTTCAAGGCTGCCGTTTGCCAGGCCTCAAACGCTCCAAAACCCTCCAAAACCCTCCAAACCCTCCAAAAGTCCGGCCAGCTCCGCAGGGAAAAGGTACCCCAACAAGCCCAACACGCGCCACTCCCGCACGCAAAAGCCACCACAAGGCCACAGCAATGGCTCACCCCACGGCCGCAGCAATGGCTTCTTTTATACGCGTTCAAGGCTGCCGTTTGCCAGGCCTCAAACCTCCATACCGTCCAAAACCCTCCAAACCTCAAACCCTCCAAAAGTCCGGCCAGCTCCGCAGGGAAAAGGTACCCCAACAAGCCCAACACGCGCCACTGCCGCACGCAAAAGCCACCACAAGGCCACAGCAATGGCTCAAGGGCACCCCACGGCCGCAGCAATGGCTTCTTATACGCGTTCAACGCTGCCGTTTGCCGGCCTCAAACGCTCCAAAACCCTCCAAAACCCTCCAACCCCTCCAAACCCTCCAAAAGTCCGGCCAGCTCCGCAGGGAAAAGGTACCCCAACAAGCCCAACACGCGCCACTGCCGCACGCAAAAGTCACCACAAGGCCACAGCAATGGCTCAAGGGCACCCCACGGCCGCAGCAATGGCTTCTTATACGCGTTCAAGGCTGCCGTTTGCCAGGCCTCAAACGCTCCAAAACGCTCCAAAACCCTCCAAACCCTCCAAAAGTCCGGCCAGCTCCGCAGGGAAAAGGTACCCCAACAAGCCCAACACGCGCCACTGCCGCACGCAAAAGCCACCACAAGGCCACAGCAATGGCTCAAGAGCACCCCACGGCCGCAGCAATGGCTTCTTATACGCGTTCAAGGCTGCCGTTTGCCAGGCCTCAAACGCTCCAAAACCCTCCAAAACCCGCCAAACCCTCCAAAAGTCCGGCCAGCTCCGCAGGGAAAAGGTACCCCAACAAGCCCAACACGCGCCACTGCCGCACGCAAAAGTCACCACAAGGCCCACAGCAATGGCTCAAGGGCACACCCCACTGCCGCAGCAATGGCTTCTTATACGCGTTCAGGCTGCCGTTTTGCCAGGCCCTCAAACCCTCCAAACCCTCCAAAACCCTCCAAACCCTCCAAAAGTCCGGCCAGCCCCGCAGGGAACAGGTACCCCAACAAGCCCAACACGCGCCACTCTCGCACGCAAAAGCCACCACAAGGCCACAGCAATGGCTCAAGAGCACCCCACGGCCGCAGCAATGGCTTCTTTATACGCGTTCAAGGCTGCCGTTTGCCAGGCCTCAAACGCTCCATACCCTCCAAAACCCGCCAAACCTCCAAAAGTCCGGCCAGCTCCGCAGGGAAAAGGTACCCCAACAAGCCCAACACGCGCCACTCCGCACGCAAAAGTCACCACAAGGCCACAGCAATGGCTCAAGGGCCCCCCACGGCCGCAGCAATGGCTTCTTATACGCGTTCAAGGCTGCCGTTTGCCAGGCCTCAAACGTCCAAAACCCTCCAAACCCTCCAAAAGTCCGGCCAGCTCCGCAAGGAAAAGGTACCCCAACAAGCCCAACACGCGCCACTCCCGCACGCAAAAGCCACCACAAGCCCACAGCAATGGCTCAAGAGCACCCCACGGCCGCAGCAATGGCTTCTTATACGCGTTCAAGGCTGCCGTTTGCCAGGCCTCAAACGCTCCAAAACCCTCCAAAACCCTCCAAAACCTCCAAAAGTCCGGCCAGCTCCGCAGGGAAAAGGTACCCCAACAAGCCCAACACGCGCCACTGCCGCACGCAAAAGCCACCACAAGGCCACAGCAATGGCTCAAGGGCACCCCACGGCCGCAGCAATGGCTTCTTATACGCGTTCAAGGCTGCCGTTTGCCAGGCCTCAAACCTTATACGCGTTCAAGGCTGCCGTTTGCCAGGCCTCAAACCCTCCAAAACCCTCCAAACCCTCCAAACCCTCCAAAAGTCCGGCCAGCTCCGCAGGGAACAGGTACCCCAACAAGCCCAACACGCGCCACTCACTGCCGCACGCAAAAGCCACCACAAGGCCACAGCAATGGCTCAAGGGCACCCCACGGCCGCAGCAATGGCTTCTTTTATACGCGTTCAAGGCTGCCGTTTGCCAGGCCTCAAACCTCCAAAACCCTCCAAACCCTCCAAAAGTCCGGCCAGCTCCGCAGGGAAAAGGTACCCCAACAAGCCCAACACGCGCCACTCCCGCACGCAAAAGCCACCACAAGGCCACAGCAATGGCTCAAGAGCACCCCCACGGCCGCGCAATGGCTTCTTATAGGCGTACACGCGCCACTCCCGCACGCAAAAGCCACCACAAGGCCACAGCAATGGCTCAAGGGCACCCCACGGCCGCAGCAATGGCTTCTTATACGCGTTCAAGGCTGCCGTTTGCCAGGCCTCAAACCCTCCAAAACCTTCCAAACCCTCCAAAAGTCCGGCCAGCTCCGCAGGGAACAGGTACCCCAACAAGCCCAACACGCGCCACTCTCGCACGCAAAAGCCACCACAAGGCCACAGCAATGGCTCAAGGGCACCCCACGGCCGCAGCAATGGCTTCTTTTATACGCGTTCAAGGCTGCCGTTTGCCAGGCCTCAAACTCTCCATACCCTCCAAAACCCTCCAAACCCTCCAAAAGTCCGGCCAGCTCCGCAGGGAAAAGGTATACCCCAACAAGCCCAACACGCGCCACTCCCGCACGCAAAAGCCACCACAAGGCCACAGCAATGGCTCAAGAGCACCCCACGGCCGCAGCAATGGCTTCTTTTATACGCGTTCAAGGCTGCCGTTTGCCAGGCTTCAAACCCTCCAAAACCCTAACCCTCCAAAAGTCCGGCCAGCTCCGCAGGGAAAAGGTACCCCAACAAGCCCAACACGCGCCACTCCCGCACGCAAAAGCCACCACAAGGCCACAGCAATGGCTCAAGAGCACCCCACGGCCGCAGCAATGGCTTCTTATAGGCGTGCACGCGCCACTCCCGCACGCAAAAGCCACCACAAGGCCACAGCAATGGCTCAAGGGCACCCCACGGCCGCAGCAATGGCTTCTTATACGCGTTCAAGGCTGCCGTTTGCCAGGCCTCAAACGCTCCAAAACCCTCCAAACCCTCCAAAAGTCCGGCCAGCTCCGCAGGGAAAAGGTACCCCAACAAGCCCAACACGCGCCACTCCGCACGCAAAAGCCACCACAAGGCCACAGCAATGGCTCAAGAGCACCCCACGGCCGCAGCAATGGCTTCTTATACGCGTTCAAGGCTGCCGTTTGCCAGGCCTCAAACCTCCATACCCTCCAAAACCCTCCAAACCCTCCAAAAGTCCGGCCAGCTCCGCAGGGAAAAGGTACCCCAACAAGCCCAACACGCGCCACTCCCGCACGCAAAAGCCACCACAAGGCCACAGCAATGGCTCAAGAGCACCCCACGGCCGCAGCAATGGCTTCTTTTATACGCGTTCAAGGCTGCCGTTTGCCAGGCCTCAAACCCTCCAAACCTTCCAAACCCTCCAAAAGTCCGCCCAGCTCCGCAGGGAAAAGGTACCCCAACACCCAACAGGCTTGAGAAGCAAACGGCCATATGTCTGTCTTGCTGTCCGTCTCCCTCTCTCTCTCTACAGTACCCCCCCTCCAATTAGGGGGGTCGGCGGCACCTGGGCGCTAGCCCATTCTATAAGATTATAGTGATAAATATCTGAAACACTTATTTTTTATAAATAATATATATATATAGCTTATCATAATAACAGTGTTTATAACAATATTGAAATGATAGAATTCTGATATGTTTTGTTCGACGTTGACATATGTTGGCCCAGGATTCGCCACCCATTTATTGGTGGAAAAGCTGTGGCTTGGGGTTTGGCATGGTTTTATCAAGCAGTCGAAAGAGGACATCGATGATTAAGATGCCCAGATTTTTGTACACAGATATATCAACCATGGATAAGTCTATTCTGAGAATCTTGACTCACATTTTTCTGCGTGTGGCATCATGCGTTTGATTGGAATCGCGGTTTCAGAACTAGCAGGAAAAAAACATGATGAGTGAAGCAGAAAGAAGTGTGAAAGAGACGTGATTCTTCCAAAACTGGGATTTCCACCGACTTTGGGACAGCGACTTGCAGATTTCTCGATGCACAGCCAGTGATTTTCCGCTATCCACCTGAATCAAAAGAGTGCTGCCCACCACCGCATGCCAACCTCATATCGCAGAGCTCGCATGCCATGTGTCAGTGAGACTCTGCAACAGGGCCCATATTCCGCATCTATGTGAAGGTTCAGCGCAGCGAAGACGGCATGAAACATCTTTTTTAATGGAACGATGAACTACCCTCTGGTAATTTAACATAACTATGGAAAATCACCATTTTTAATGGGTAATAAATCCACTATAAATAGCCATTTTCAATAACTATTTTGACATAACCAGAGGGTATGTCTTAAAAGAACCTTGCCCTGAATGAAACCAGGTCCTCAAAAGCTTGAAAAACCAGGTCCAATTGAACGCCGAGATTTGCCAAGTGATCCAAGTGGCTTCTGCGGATTTTGGACGCTCTGTAGACGCTTTGAATCCTGTGATGGACTGGAGTTTCTCCGCTGTTGCTGGGAAAAACAACGGATTGCAGAATTCCCCTTGCCGACCAGAAACCATGAAATCTTCCCACGAAATCATCTGAGATAGACACTTTGTCACTGCTTCAACCTCAAGACATCTCAAGACCCAAGGCCAAGGTTTTAGGTTTGCACCACTGACTTTTACGAAGATTTAGAGTGAAAATATGTCCAGAAATATCAGCGGGTGAATATCGATTTCTGCGAGCCGCTAAGGCCGGTTCCGCGTGTAGATCCAAAATCCACCGCACGTTTCAGGGCAGCAAGTTCCAAGATCTGCACCCGCTTCTCAAGTTCCGCCACTCGGCTCCCCTCTTGGCTTCGGGGATCTGGTGACAGATCCTGTCGCAACATGGCGGAAGTCACTGGAATGGCAGAGCAAGTGTCTCAGTGATAAGTGTTCTGTTGAACACATGTCCTAAATGTGGGACCTCAAAAAACTTATGCCTGTTTCGTAAAATAGGGGTAGCCCCAATCATCCAAGTCATGAAAGAGTATTTTTGTATTGAAACCCATTCAGTTTTAGGGTACCCCCATTTATGGAAACCTCCAATTTTGGAAACTCCCAATTATATCTATGTCAAACATCATCTACTGTGAAACTGGTTCTGCTGTGCTTGCCGTGAGCCTTGATCAGCGGAAAATCATCTTGCAACTGAAGTGGAAACCCACATGGCACCAAAGTTCTGTGTATAGCAAGCTCAAAATAGATAGAAACATGGGAAACTTTCAAATATGTGGTGAATATCATCCAGATTACCATCCTGCGAAACACTTTCAGGCATCTTCTGAGGGGTTTAGGTGGGTTTCGTTTTTAGTAGCATTATATTATCTATTAATATCTATTAATTAATATCTATGATATTGCTGTTGTGCGCACCCTCCGGGGTTGGATATCCTGCATTGCAACAGCCAACAGCATCACATCAGCCCAGCGGGATAACGCCATGAACTTTGTAGCGGAACATGCGTCAACCATGTCTCAACGGACATGATCATCGGATCTCAAAATGGTGTTCAATCATCGGACTACTTCCATCTCAAAGTTTACCAGAAGATCAAAGCCTTGAAGGCCCTGAAGTGAAAACAACTGAGGCAACTGACAGGTATCACATGCGTCCACCCTCGAATCCTCGAAGCAGTTCCACCTGACGCGACACGACACAGGTGAAATGGACATTGCTACGAGATGCTTTAGCTGCTAAAAGTACCTGGTTCAATGGATCATTGTTGATGCTTGTAGGGGCTAAATTCACTTCAGGTTGTGATCAATGGATCAACGAACCTTTTGCCTGGCAAGGCACGGCTCCCGCTTCCTACTGTAGCTTTTCCAGCCACCCAAGTCCGCCATCCACAACCAGGCTCGTTATGTCAAGATCGTTTTGACAAGTACAGTCTTGCGTGCTTAGGATGGGGCCGGGTTGGCTTGCGCGACAAGCTTTCTTTTTGCCGCAATCGGATTTTACGTTGCACTGACCAATCCTCTAGCTACTCTAAAGGGGCGCCCCGCTTCACGGGAAACATCTCTGCCGAAAAACATCGTGGCATTAGAATAGCAGCGGACGATCGTGATGACCACATGATGATCACGTGATGACCAACTTACAAACAAAACCAGCTCTGGCAGAGGTGAAGCTTCACAACGGAATTAAGCCAGAACCAAGGCACCAACTGCACATATGGCGGTCCAGCCCTCAATATTCCTCAAGCCCCCGCTACTCAAAGTGCGAACAGCGTAGGAGGCCCGCTTCGCAGGAAACATCTCTGCCAACTAATAAACAAACAAACATCAGCAATCACCAAAAACTCATAGCTCAAAACCATAACATCATTACATGACATATTATAATTATAAATATATATATATGATATTAGCATGATATCATGATAATGGTGTGATGACGATTTCATCGTGTCCAACCGGAAGTTCAAACAGCATAGGCAGAGGTGAAGCTTCGCAACCCTGTGGCCAAGCCTACTGAGTGACCTAGGCCATCAACATCCACTGCATCCACTGCATCCACTGCTTGGGGTGTTTTATCAACATATTCTCCACAACCTCATCGTTCAGGGAGTTCTTCACTTCCTCTTGGAGCTGCAAAAGTTGTCTCTTTCAGAGCCAAAGTCCTTCCAAAAGCGATCCCTGGATGTCAAGAGGGTCTCAGCCCAGTTTGCTGTTGCAAATGCTGATGCACATGCGACAGCGTCACGGAGTGGTCCCATCCTTTCTCATGCTGCGGACAACGAAGCATCGAATGCCTGCATAGTGGATGGCTGCCAGAAGGTTGTCATCCCCTTCAGACCAACGACCATCCGTGACGATGCAGACGGCATCGAAGTATTTCAGGCCCATGTTGCAGAGATATGTCATGGAAGGAATCTTCGAAGTTCCTTGGCCGGGAGATCCCACAGAGAGACTTGACCCAGTTTCTCCAATGGAAATCGTGTGGGCAGAAGCGTGCCATCACCTTCCATGGAGACTTTAGGCATCTGGTCCGGAGGCAAGTCGACTCCAAAGTGTTTCAGGATGACTTTGATCAATGAACTCTTTCCGGTTCCCGAATCTCCAAGCATGGCCACGTTCACGAAGCGGTCTCGAGCAGCATCAGCCTGTGCATCCTCACTCACTTCGTTGACGTACTTCTGAAGGAAGGAGGGGATTGGATAGTCTCGCTTCAACCTTTGCCACTTCTCAACCTTGGCCTTTTGTACGTTGTCACGTTCTCTCTGAAGTTCCTCAACCAAGCGTTGTTCAGCCTCACGCTCTTGTTGTTCGAGTTGTTCACGAGCTCTCTCGCTCTCCCTTCTCCTTTCCTCTTGTTCTGCCTGCAAACGCTGCACATAAGCGTCTCTTTCTTCAGCACGGAGTTGTTCAGCTTTGCGCAAAGCTTCTTGATGTCGTTCCAGATTCTGCTGATTCCTCCTCTCCTGCTCTGCCATTTGGCTGCGAATTGCAGCCATCTCCTCATTGGCTTTTCGAGCCATTTCCTTGGATTCCTTGTCCTCGTGGTAGTGGTGAACCTCCCTGCTGCCCCTGCCGCCCATGTTTGCAGCGGCAAAAATTGGTCGAGTTCTGGCGGGCTTTGGGCTGTCAGCTGCTGGGCACCAAAAAAAACAGGAACAATCTTCAGTCCGCCACCAACCTCCCAAGAATCCGGATCTTCCCAAAAAAATCCTCATCTGATTCATTTGCTCAAAGGGCACCCAACTTTCGCTGACAAAAAATCATGAGTTCAAACTGCCACGACTTTGACCCGGAACATGCGTCAGGCCTCTGCATCCAATATGACGCCTTGCCACATCACACAAGTCAGCCTTCAAGCGCAGAAAAACTCTGCTTGGGAAAGAAAATTACAAAAGATGTGGGGTTTTGAAGTCACTGGAAGCGCCCTTGCCTTATCGTTTTTCATGATCTAGCTGCCCCTGTGGTCACACTTTTTTTGGGGCTCATGGGTTGTCTACGCACGTTTGCAGTTCTTGTTTCACATTTTATCTGCAAGGGGAATGCACTGTCGAGGCCCCAACACGACAAATGAAATCAAACAAAGCAGAACCGAATGACCCAACTAAGGGTCCTCAAATGCACAGCGGCAGAATCGATAAAGGAAACCTGCAACGTGTTTGCTGATAGAAGCACCCCAAGCGTCACATGCCCTTGAACATCAAAAGTTGGGATTCAATCAAAAGGTTGCAACATATGAGTTTTGACTGTTTTGACCAGTGAATGATTCTGACTCTCCACCAATTCGAAAACAAGTGCTACGGACATGATAAAGATCATGAAAGCATAAAGGCACGGACCTTCTTCAAAGTCGTTCAAGAATGCTCATTGAATGGGACCTTCGCTGGCGCGGATATTGACACCGACAGCAAATCCTCAACATGGTCACTGAAAAGCGTGCAAAGCTCCCAACTGCTGTGCTCCCAAAGAGCCACCTGCAAAACAAGGCTGACAAGGCTGTCAACAACTCCCTTCAACCCTTCAGAGACTGACTTCATCTGGTTGAAAGTGTGAACGCTCTTCAGCTTCAATCCGGCATCAGAAAGGTGGTTCGCACGGTTGTCTGGGCGTGTGGAATTATATCCTCTTTGATCCTCGTTGATTCCGTTTTCTATCCAATCTCACCAACTATCCAACCACCCAGGACCTATTCTGCATTCGCATTCGGACGACAACGAGCTGTCTTTTTGCCGCAAACGGACTTCGTGTTGCACTCACCGCCCCTCCAGCTACTCTAAAGTGGTGCGAACAGCATAGAGGGGCGGCCTGCTTCACAGGAAACATCTCTGCCAAAAAACATCGTGACAATAGCAGCAGATGATTCGTGATGACATGTCATGATCACATGATTTGACATGATGACCTCCTTACAAAGAAAGACAGCTCTGGCAGAGGTGAAGCTTCGCAACGGAACCAAATCATACCAAATCGCTGCAACTTGCAGTGCAGCCTGAACTTGAACCCAGCCACCAACTGCACATGTGGCGGTTCAACTCAAGCCGAATCAAGGCCTCAAACCCTCAAGCCCTCAAGCCCCAGCCCGCTTCACAAAGCCGACTGGTTTGAAGCACTGATTGTCAATGTCAAGGCGAAGGCACTCGACCTTATCGACCTGATCATCACATGTCATGATGCAGTCATCCATTGCATCCATTGCATCCATTGCATCCATGTTCACATCTTCCTGCGGTGCCTCTTCAAACATCTGCTCCGCAACCTCTTCCTTCAGAGACGCTTCCACTTCCTCTTGGAGATGTTTGCAGAAGCTGTCCACAGAGCCGAAGTCCTTCCAAAAGCGATCCCTGGATGTCAAGAGATGGATGCGATGTGGTTTCAGCCGAGTCTGCCGTTGCAACTGCTGACCCACATGCAACAGCGTCTCAGCTAGGCCCCATCCCTTGTCCTCCACTCCAGCATCAACGGCAAGATCCACTTTGCTTCGGACAACGAAGCATCGAATGCCTGCATAGTGGATGGCTGCCAGAAGGTTGTCATCCCCTTCAGACCAACGACCATCCGTGACGATGCAGACGGCATCGAAGTATTTCAGGCCCATGTTGCAGAGATATGTCATGGAAGGAATCTTCGAAGTTCCTTGGCCGGGGAGATCCCACAGAGAGACTTGACCCAGTTTCTCCAATGGAAATCGTGTGGGCAGAAGCGTGCCATCACCTTCCATGGAGACTTTAGGCATCTGGTCCGGAGGCAAGTCGACTGGATGACTTTGATCAATGAACTCTTTCCGGTTCCCGAATCTCCAAGCATGGCCACGTTCACAAAGCGGTCTCGAGCAGCATCAGCCTGTGCATCCTCACTCACTTCGTTGAAGTACTTCTGAAGGAAGGAGGGGATTGGATAGTCTCGCTTCAACCTTTGCCACTTCTCAAGCTTGGCCTTTTGTACGTTGTCACGTTCTCTCTGAAGTTCCTCAACCAAGCGTTGTTCAGCCTCACGCTCTTGTTGTTCGAGTTGTTCACGAGCTCTCTCGCTCTCCCTTCTCCTTTCCTCTTGTTCTGCCTGCAAACGCTGCACATAAGCGTCTCTTTCTTCAGCACGGAGTTGTTCAGCTCTGCGCAAAGCTTCTTGATGTCGTTCCAGATTCTGCTGATTCCTCCTCTCCTGCTCTGCCATTTGGCTGCGGATTGCAGCCATCTCCTCATTGGCTTTTCGAGCCATTTCCTTGGATTCCTTGTCCTCGTGGTAGTGGTGAACCTCCCTGCTGCCCCTGCCGCCCATGTTTGCAGCGGCAAAAATTGGTCGAGTTCTGGCGGGCTTTGGGCTGTCAGCTGCTGGGCACCAAAAAAAACAGGAACAATCTTCAGTCCGCCACCAACCTCCCAAGAATCCGGATCTTCCCAAAAAAATCCTCATCTGATTCATTTGCTCAAAGGGCACCCAACTTTCGCTGACAAAAAATCATGAGTTCAAACTGCCACGACTTTGACCCGGAACATGCGTCAGGCCTCTGCATCCAATATGACGCCTTGCCACATCACACAAGGCAGCCGTCAAGCGCAGAAGAACTCTGCTTGGGAAAGAAAATTACACAATATCCGCCGACCCCAGCCGGATGCTGGGAGAGCGCGCCGGAGAAGAATGCGCCGGAGACAGAGAAAGACAGACAGACAGACAGACAGACAGAGAGACAGACAGACAGACAGACAGACAGACAGACAGACAGACAGGCTTTGGCCGCGGGCAGCTGCATTTTTCTTGATTTTTTTATCGGGTCAGAAAGCAACGTTAGGCACTGGCAAGGGTTGACACAGGTAACCATTCGACACGCGCTGACAGGGGGATGAAGCGTTAGGAGCCAGCATTTTTTGGGTCTTGGACCGCTGGCTTTGGCCGCGGGCAGCTGCATTTTTCTTGATTTTTTTATCGGGTCAGAAAGCAACGTTAGGCACTGGCAAGGGTTGAAACAGGTAACCGTTCGACACGCGCTGGCAGGGGGATGCAGCGTTAGGAGCCAGCATTTTTGGGTCTTGGACCGCTGGCTTTGGCCGCGGGCAGCTGCATTTTTCTTGATTTTTTTATCGGGTCAGAAAGCAACGTTAAGCACTGGCCGGGTTGAAACAGGTGACCGTTCGACACGCGCTGACAGGGGGATGAAGCGTTAGGAGCCAGCATTTTTTGGGTCTTGGACCGCTGGCTTTGGCCGCGGGCAGCTGCATTTTTCTTGATTTTTTTTATCGGGTCAGAAAGCAACGTTAGGCACTGGCAAGGGTTGAAACAGGTAACCATTCGACACGCGCTGGCAAGGGGATGAAGCGTTAGGAGCCATTATTTTTTGGGTCTTGGACCGCTGGCTTTGGCCGCGGGTAGCTGCATTTTTCTTGATTTTTTTTATCGGGTCCGAAAGCAATGTTAGGCACTGGCAAGGGTTGACACAGGTAACCGTTCGACATGCGCTGACAGGGGGATGAAGCGTTAGGAGCCAGCATTTTTTGGGTCTTGGACCGCTGGCTTTGGCCGCGGGCAGCTGCATTTTTCTTGATTTTTTTTATCGGGTCAGAAAGCAACGTTAGGCACTGGCAAGGGTTGAAACAGGTAACCATTCGACGCGCACTGACAGGGGGATGAAGCGTTAGGAACCAGCATTTTTTGGGTCTTGGACCGCTAGCTTTGGCCGCGGGCAGCTGCATTTTTCTTGATTTTTTTTATCGGGTCAGAAAGCAACGTTAGGCACTGGCAAGGGTTGAAACAGGTAACCATTCGATACGCGCTGACAGGGGGATGAAGCGTTAGGAGCCAGCATTTTTTGGGTCTTGGATCGCTGGCTTTGGCAGCGGGCAGCTGCATTTTTCTTGATCTTTTTTATCGGGTCAGAAAGGAACGTTAGGCACTGACAAGGGATGACACAGGTAACCATTCGATACGCGCTGACAGGGGGATGAAGCGTTAGGAGCCAGCATTTTTTGGGTCTTGGACCGCTGGCTTTGGCCGCGGGCAGCTGCATTTTTCTTGATTTTTTCATCGGGTCAGAAAGCAACGTTAGGCACTGGCAAGGGTTGACACAGGTAACCATTCGACACGCGCTGGCAGGGGGATGAAGCGTTAGGAGCCAGCATTTTTTGGGTCTTGGACCGCTGGCTTTGGCCGCGGGCAGCTGCATTTTTCTTGATTTTTTTTATCGGGTCAGAAAGCAACGTTAGGCACTGGCAAGGGATGAAACAGGTAACCATTCGATACGCGCTGACAGGGGGATGAAGCGTTAGGAGCCAGCATTTTTTGGGTCTTGGATCGCTGGCTTTGGCAGCGGGCAGCTGCATTTTTCTTGATCTTTTTTATCGGGTCAGAAAGGAACGTTAGGCACTGACAAGGGATGACACAGGTAACCATTCGATACGCGCTGACAGGGGGATGAAGCGTTAGGAGCCAGCATTTTTTGGGTCTTGGACCGCTGGCTTTGGCCGCGGGCAGCTGCATTTTTCTTGATTTTTTCATCGGGTCAGAAAGCAACGTTAGGCACTGGCAAGGGTTGACACAGGTAACCATTCGACACGCGCTGGCAGGGGGATGAAGCGTTAGGAGCCAGCATTTTTTGGGTCTTGGACCGCTGGCTTTGGCCGCGGGCAGCTGCATTTTTCTTGATTTTTTTATCGGGTCAGAAAGCAACGTTAGGCACTGGCAAGGGTTGAAACAGGTAACCGTTCGACACGCGCTGGCAGGGGGATGAAGCGTTAGGAGCCAGCATTTTTGGGTCTTGGACCGCTGGCTTTGGCCGCGGGCAGCTGCATTTTTCTTGTTTTTTTTATCGGGTCAGAAAGCAACGTTAAGCACTGGCCGGGTTGAAACAGGTAACCATTCGATACGCGCTGGCAGGGGGATGAAGCGTTAGGAGCCAGCATTTTTTGGGTCTTGGACCGCTGGCTTTGGCCGCGGGCAGCTGCATTTTTCTTGATTTTTTTTATCGGGTCAGAAAGCAACGTTAAGCACTGGCCGGGTTGAAACAGGTGACCGTTCGACACGCGCTGACAGGGGGATGAAGCGTTAGGAGCCAGCATTTTTTGGGTCTTGGACCGCTGGCTTTGGCCGCGGGCAGCTGCATTTTTCTTGATTTTTTTATTCTGCCAAAAAGAAGAGTTGCACTCGGCGACATGGTTCAAGTCAAGTAGTCATCGATATACAATATATAACCGCGTTCAGTGACAAGGTATCTTATCATTCGAGTTATCTTGAAGGTATCCCAAAAAAAATCGAGTTGGTTTTCTTCATGGGGTGGTGTTCGCAGCTTGCTAATAGATCCAAATACTGTAATTTCTACCGGAAGGTTTCCGGATGTGTGTGAACAGAAATTGGTTGTGCAACAAGCATATCGGTTTATCTGCTTCAAACATCTTGATCCATGTCCAGGCTGTCGAAAGCCTGTGCGATCCGCTCCTCCAGTGGGGGGCGGACCGCTGACTCCGGCGCAAAGTCTTCGCCCCATAAAATGTGCGGGGGGACCTCACCCTGATACTCCTCTTGGAGTTCAGGGATTTCGGCCCCCCTCAGCACTTGCACTCGGCGCTCGCACTCGCGGCCGCCCCTGCACGCTCGGTCCGTGCCCTTGAAGGGACAGTCGGGCCGGCGGCAGGTGTGCTTCGCTTTCCGCACATGAGCCGGGGCTACCGGCAGGGGGAAATCCGCCGGAACCTCTCTCCCGAAGCGGGCGGACACCTCGTTCAGGCTTGCGTGCTTGCTGAACGGATGGAACGGCCCCTCTGCGAGCATGGCTCTCAGGAACCGTTCCGTGTCCTTTCCGTGCTGCTCCTCCAGCCGCGCCTGCACTGGGCATCCCGCGCCTGCATTGCAGCTGTCGGGATTTGAATTTGGACACGACGGACGCCAGCAGGGGCCTTGGGCCCGCACGCGTCCTTTCGTGCCCACCCAATCCCATTTTGCAGCTGGCGGCGCCTGCTGCGGGCGGGCCAAGGGGTGCAAAGCATCGTCAGGGACAACATCTTTGCCCCCTGCTCGACGCCTCGCAGTCCTGGCCCTGTGCACGACCTTCTTGGCCTGCCCATAGAGTCTGCCGTGGCGGGCTTCCACCTCTTCATTAGGAAGGTGGCCCGGAACTAACTCGGAAGCGCAGACCCCTTGGGCCTGTGCTTCGCGGACTACGCTCAGGCCCTGGCGTGCCTGGGCGGCCAAATCTCGCCGAAAGCAAATGTCAGACTATATGAACCCCCCCCTCGGAGGATAGAATCGAAGATGCGAGGTGTGTACAACTGGTGCAAGACCGGTTCTTATATGGCTTTATCCTTTTTATCATCGTTCCCTTGAACTATCCCATTATAATGATCCACTAACTGGCTCTGTCTTATCCCTTCCATAGTGAAACAGGGGGTCGAACCGGAAACCCAAACAAAAAGGGGAAACCAATCCGGCAACACCTGCATCAAACAAAACAACAAGCGCGCAGCTTTTACGCACTTGAGCCATGAGCATCAAACAGCGGGAGTTAAAGACCTACCCGGTAGTTGTTGGGAAGGTTAACTACGACCCTGAGATAAACTCTAGGCTATCTACATACCTAACGCTTCTAGGTATGAGGTGCTACTACTGTACATAAGGTATTCAGAGTAACTACTTCGGGAATGATGGAATCATAGCTATGGCATGCCTACACTATACCTACTACCTATGCTATACATAGTGGGGCTCAGGGGTCGGTATATTTCAACTCCCCCCTCGCCTGTTCCACACGCACTGCGCATTGGCAGTAACCTACACAACTACTGTCGCGCGAACGGGCGTCCGCAGCGACCTAGGCGTTGGCTTTAAGGTCTAAGGGAAGGTCAGTACGTATTCCTAACAGGATTAGTGCTGCTGCCCATTTGTGTGGAGGCAATGCCTTGGTGAATATGTCTGCCGCCTGATCATCCGTGTGGGTGTACTCTATTTCGGCAGAGTCATCTCTGAAGATCTCAGACAGGCAAGACAAATTAACTTTGTGTGTTCTAGTTATATGGCGAAGCTTGGGACTATATCCTTTCTTCACAACTAGGATTGTTGCTTGATTATCTTCGTGGACCTTAAGGGTTACGGAGCGTGCAAGCAACAGCTCCCATAACTGTAAGGCAGGCAAGCCTTCTTGATAAAGCGAATGGGCTAAACTAACAACCTCGCTTTCCGTGGTCGATCTAGAAGTGGATGTTTGGCGCTTGCTAATCCATGCAAGTGGGAAGAAGGAACTAGGGCCAGTTAAAACCAGAAAGCCACCAGAGGTTGAGCGTGCAGTGGATCTGTCGCCGGCTAAGTCGGCATCGACAAACAGTCTGAGCTCTAGGTCTTCAGGCTTGTCCTGAATGGTACCTACTAACCTGTAGTGTGGGGTTGAGGCTATATACTGGATTAATCTTAGGACCTTCTTATCATCCCCCCTGGACCACGACTGGACTTTTGTGGCCAGATCATTGATAGGCTTGATGATGTCGGGACGTGCAAGTCTACCTAACCAAAGGGCTTTCATCAAAATCTTACATGCATTTGGAGCTAGTTCCCCTTTAGTTTCGTCATCCTCAATGGTGATGGATCCCTCAGGTGGAAATGGCGTGGTGGCATGCTTGAGTTTGGTGACACCAGTTATTGACTTATACAAATCTACGGTCTGCTGAGCGTAGTCTGCCATATCAAAAACCATGCCATTTTGGGCTTGGAAGGCTGCACATTTTTCATGACCTTCGGTCTTGGATAGTGGGGTAACAACATGGTTGCGTCCAAGAATCCTATAGATGGGCTCTGGGGGTTCAATGTCTACCACAGAAGTTAACTTACTCCAGAATGCATCATGCTGGTCGGCGGGGCCAGCTAGAGTTAAATCGTCTACATAAGTTGACAGAAGTAACTTTGTATCTGGGAAGTAAAAATTTCCTGGGTATTCTAGAACTTCCTGTCCACCAAGGTTCTTGATGATGACTTTCAAGTGTTGTTCCCACAGGCCTCCGGCATCAGGATGACCGTATAAGGCTTTAATTAAGAGGACTACGGGCTTAACAAACTGTTGCTTCCAATATTTAGGGCGGAGCTCCGGGGGGAGCTCGATCCAGGTTTTGTATTTGGAAGATAAGAGCGCTTGGACGTAAGCTTTGACTGCATCTGCAGCCGTCGCGCGGTTACCCGGCAGCGACCCGTACGCCAAGCAGGCGTTTAGCCCTTGGACGGAGGTGGGGTTTGCGCCGAGTTCTTGGTAAACCGCGGCTGCACCATGCTCGTCCTTTGCGCAGTCTCCTCTGTACACGATGCGCCCCTTCATTTTGTGAAGGTGTTCCGCGAGCTCGTGGAATTTATTTAATGGACGCGATGGTCATGAGCTGACCAAAGTGTACTGACACACCTGAAGCCTTAGCTTCTCTGCGCACATCTTCCTTTTCGCGGACCGAGCTAAGGTCCCAGGTACCAGCCTTAACCAAACCATCGGCTTCGGCGCGAATTGCCTCGAGGGCCTTGGGATTGGACAGCATCTCTGCACGGGATAAGAGCTTAGTGACCATTGCTTTGATCTCAGGCGTTGGCGCCTTTGGGTCTTCCAGGTGGAAGGCTTGGGCGATCAATTGTTCGTGGTCAAGAAGTTCTGTAACCAACCTATTAGCGGTGGGGTCTGATTCAACAGCTAGAGCTAAATCTTCAAGACCAGCTAATGGGGATACATGCCTAAGGTGCTGCTCAATTTCCCTATGGGGTTGAGGCTCGCTGGTTGCCGGTCGGCAAGGCATAGCAGGAACAGGCTGCTGGGCACATTTTGAGGGATACAAAGCTTGCGCAATTAAACTAGTCATTTGGGGCGGATACATTGCGGAGCGAGTGGTCTCAGCTCCCTCACATCTGGAATGGGGTTGCTGGCACCGACACCGCATGTCTTGAAACGCCTCTACAATTCGGGGAGAAGTGGTCTTGAGTTTCCATGGCTTTTTGATGGGGAAACCATTTCTGTCGGTTAAACCTACGGTACACCCTTCAAAACCAACGGTCATAAACTGGGGATGCTTCTCAAAGAATGCTACAACGTCAGGCCTTTTCCAGCCGGAGCAAGGTCTTGGCCATTCAAACGTTACAGTACCACCATGATTGAGAACCCTTTCAGCACGTTTAGAAAAACTCTTAAACAACCGTTTGGACTCTTTGACCTGGCGGGCAAGCTTCCTCACGAATGCGGCACCACCCTTCTTCCTATTGATGTACTGCCAAGGGGATCCGGATGTGCAAGGGATAGAGGCCCACATATGTGGAGGTGCAACCTTAGCGGCTTCATCTATCTGATAGTCTAGTTGCTCACATTGTGACTCATCTCCCAGGTCTATCCTATCCTTACAAAGTCTAACATGATTAATGCCATATTCTTGGTGAGTAAAACCCATCTGGGAGTCCTCAGAACAAGCAAACTCAAACATGGTTGACTTGGCATTGGGTCTGGAAGCTTTCTTGGCAGCTTTCCGGCTCCTACGATTATCGCGGTTATTTGGCTTACCTACAGCGGGGCAACCAAAAACAGGCAGCGATTTCTGACATAGGTCGGAACATCGATTGGCAACTTGGGGAAGAATAGCTACACCAGAAACAGAAACAGCAGGCTCGGCTGGAGCGCTGGGTTCGGACGACCCTGGTACCTCACCTCTTATGAAGATTTCCTCAACCAGTGCTCTGTCCTCTGCGGAGAGGTGAGATGGTATCGGATCGGGGTCAGGCAGGTCCTCACCCTGGAAGATGATGCCATGTGCTTCATCATCCTTGTCTTCCGCTTCTGTCTCACTTGTGGGAGGTGGAGCTTTCTTTTCCTTTTCAGCTTCTTTCTCTTTTTCAACTAACATTGAGAAGCGGGCTCTGCACTCATCAGTGTGCACACGTGAATGGCCAGTGCAGCCTTTGCAACCAGGTGTCTCTTTCCACTTAAGGATACGGTCTACGGTTATATAAACAGAACGACTTTTGAGACCTGGTGTAGAGGGTGAGGCTATTCCGCCCTCCTTGGGGAAGGGCACATCCTTTAAGGCATATTCAGGCAACTTAAGATCATCTGGGTTATCCCCCCTGATGAGAGCTTGGTGGCGTGAAAAACCTACTGGAAAAACAGGATCACCTTCAGGGACAAAGATTTCTGCTTCTGGAACATCAACGGCTGAATTCCCACCTCTAGTGCGATACTCTTGGTAATCTAACACTCTGAGAATATTTCTATATCGGAAACCGGGATCAATCCTCCAACCCAAAAACAGACCAGGTGACATGTTGGGTTCCAAAGTCCTTTTGGTGGGTGACTTCCTACGGTAATACACTAACTGACCAAAACATAACCTCATGCCATCAAACTTATTCCTAGTAAGCGACTCCCACTGGGTTTTGTCGGGGTCAGCTATTGAAGGCTTGTCGAATGACATTGAAAGGCAAGCATATGGATAGCTATATGTGTGGTACTCATAGGGAAGACCAGATTGGAGGTGAATAGTGCGGCAACATTCTTTCTCCTCTCGAACATCTCTCTCGAGCATGGCATTGTGGGGCCATCTGTTCGGCAACGAGGTTTCTGGAACCATGCCTACGGCATGTGCCGCCTGCTCAAGCTCGCCTGCTTCGTCCATTTTGATGAACGTTCGGGTGGTGAGCTCTGATCCACGCAGTCCTAAGAAATGTCTAAAGTTGCGAGCATGCGCGTCAGCAGTACGTTTGGACAATGGGTATGCAACACGCGCACCGGAGTACGCATCGCGGATGACATGATGCGACCTTATTCCCCCTATACCTACACCCAAATGTTCGGACCCTTTTGCTAAGATAACGTCATCCGTAGCAAGCTGTTCTAGCGGCTGCTTTGGGGGATCAACAAAATCATCGGCTTTGCCATCTTTGACATGTGAAACCCTCATGGCGGTATCTTTTGCTATATGGCACAAAGGACAGTAGGGATTTTTGGGAAAATGGGTACGCAAATGTTCAGGGCTAGTGGCTTGCTGCTTTAGAGCTTCATCCTTAGGCGGCTCACCATCACCTAGCTCTACCAAAAGCTTATCATCCATTGGGTGTTTAGGCTCCGACGCGCTAGAGGGCCCAGCAGCGTCCTCAACAGGCTCAGGATCTAGAATTTCATCTAATTCTGAAGGACTAGGAAGGTCACTACCACCAAAGCTAGGAGCGTAGCCGGGGTC